CATCAGTGTAAAAAATAACAGTACAAAGCACAACAAAGCAAAAATAGACAATTATAAATCAGAGACATCCTGCAGGGGAGGAGGAGGGAGAGGAATTAGAGGGAGGGAAAGAGGGAAGAGCACAGAGGACTGAGGTGATGGTGCACAGGTGCATTGGGGAAGGAAACTCTATGGGGACTACACCTGAGGGGATGAGGGGAAGCAAATATTGTTTTAAAATGAACAATGATGCAAAAAATTTAAAAATTAAAATAATTTTTAAAAATTAAAATAAAATAGCACCTCCCCCCCTGAAAAAAAGAACTTGAGTATGGAGGGATCTTTCAAGGACTTTTACCATCTAAAAAGGGAGAAACGTGGTATTGGAGCTGGAAAAGGCTATGAAGTCTAGAGAAGTTTTATTTTGATTTTTGACATTGGGGGAAATGGTAGCATGTTGGGGAAATGGTAGCATGTTGGGGAAATGGTAGCATGTTGGTTTGCTACAGTAAGGAGTTGCTGAGAGGGAATCATGGTGTGTTGGAAGGGGGGATGGGATCTTGGGACAAGTGAAAAGTTCGCCTTTGGGCAGTTCATTCCCAACAGCAAGGGGGAAGCTGTTGGGTATTGGACTGTCATAAAGGTGGAGAGGACTGTCATGAGAGGGCCTAGCCTAAGGGGAATTCAAAAAAGGCAGGATGATGCCAAAAATATATCCTCTCAATTTCTTAATTCATTTTGTGTTATATCTTGTGTTGCTTAGGACCCGTTTATCCTTAATGATATATGGATATATAGTTCTTATAAATCTTTTTGCCCCAAATTGGTATAAGCCAGAGCATGATTATTTATAAGTAATGACTACAAAGTAGTGAAACTTCACATTTTAATAGACTAGAAGTTCTGGGTCCAAATGGCTATTTGCTCTTCTTACAGTTACTTCTGGGAGACTATTTCAAAGAATATTGGACTCTTTTGTTTTTAATTGCTTTTTAAATTTGAGTTATATTTTTTGAATACCCTCAAAAGTGACAAGTCATGGTCTTTTGTTGGTGGATTTTGTTTAGTGGAAATAGACTAATTTGAATTTGGCAAATGCCTTTCTGTTTTATAGAAAGTTTGGTGTGATCTAGAGCTTTGGGAGGGAAAAGAACCATCAGTAAACAGATTTTGTTCTGTCAGAATAAAAAAAGTGGGGGAAGAGAAAAGACAACTTGCATTTCACTTGCTGGAATTTCTATGTTCTTTTTTCCTTTGAATTTTGTTATGTGTCCATGTGTTACCAATTCTTAAAAAATAGCAGATAAATTCAAGAGTTTTTAGAGCACTTATTGTTTGTTATTATCACTCAACTTCAAGACAGACACATCCTGGGGTCAAGCTACATGAGCCATATAGCATCCTGGTCTTTTGGTTTTGTTTTGGGGGTTTTTGTTGTGGCTGTTGTTGTTTTAGCATCTGTTTTTTAATTCCAGGCACTCCCCATGAATAAGAGTGGGTAGAAATGGGCTTTTGACAGAAAGCATTCCAAACGTGAAAGCACATGGTGTAATCAACTCTTCCTAAGCACTAGTTCTCTTAAGGTACAAGTAAACATCTGCTCTGGCCCCTAGGTGAGCACACACATACTGGGGTATCCCCTGAGGGCCTGTGGGGCGCAGCTTCTCTGGACAGCAGTTGCTGCTGGTACACAGCTCAGCACATCTCCCCCACAGGCTGCAGCATCGTTCATTTTTCTGTCGGTTCCTTCAGTTTGCAAATAATAGTAAATAAGTCTATTCTACAAGGTAAATAATTCAGAAATCTTGAGGGGAGGGGAATGGGTTATGCAGCTAATTCAATGCCATAACTCAGGCATCTATGCCATCTTGTCAAAGACATCAAGAGGTTGAGATGAAGCGTCAAGGGAACAAATCTGCATGGAGGAGATTGTAGAGACACACAGTTAAGTGCAGAGGCTTCTGGCTTAATCCTGAAGTGAGGAGTGTGATTGATATGAAAGTGTCGATGGTGGCTGTCATGGTGTAGCAGTATATCTGCAAGTAGCAGGACACTCAGGGCAATGAGACTGTTCAAGACGACAGAGAGCTTCTGAGGAAAGTGGTTCTGCCACTGCCTTCCCAGTGGGCACTGGAGCCCATCGGAGGTGGGTCCTGGACCAGGCAATCCCCTGGTTCCGATCAGGTCTGAACTTGGTTGCTGTCTTGTTCTGAACTTGACCTGATAAAATTAATCTGAGATGGGATTCGGCCCACAGAACAGGGATGCTCCTACAACTGTCTCTAACTGTCTTTCAAACTTTTTCTACCAATTTTATATCAGTTCAGTGCATATATACATATAAAACATAAACTCACATATTGAAGCAAAACTTGGGTGAAATAATTTGTACTAATTACTTGTGCTGCACTGTGGTAGTTTTCTATTTTTTTAATTGTTACAGACAACCAAATTGATTTAATAAACCACTAATGGGGTCTAGTCATCTGGAAAACACTGTTCTAACCATATAAATTAATCTGTCAGATTCTCACAGGATGGTGAGTTGCACAAAGGTTCTTACATAATTGATTCTCTCCGTGTATCTATCCATTCCTATAGATTTGCGTATATGCACTCAGAACACATTTTGTCCACCTCAACCTGATGTCAGACTGACATTTGTGTGCACTGAACTCACTTCATACCTTGGTTCTCCTGTCCCCATTCTGCCTCTCCCCACTCAGTCCCCATGATAGGTCCCTGAAGTTAAGATAGTTGAATCATAGAATGTCAGGGGTGAAAGACACCTTAAGAATCATTAATATAATCACTCCTTAGTTGCATCTCAGTGGCCTCCCATCTGCTTGCATTCCTCCAGAGACAGAGAGCTCTCCACTTACCGAGAAAATCTCCCTGGACAAAATGGCTAAAACAAAACTTGTCTTCTATGGCTTCATTTATTAGCTTTTTTAATGTCTAAATCAGTGAGTCAAAGCACAAGCACACTGTGCTTGATACAGTGCCCAGCACCTTGAAAGCACCAGATAGAGATTTCTTACTAGTTTTACTAGCAGTGGTTGTATTAGTGCTACTAACATTAGTAATTACTCTATCCCTTTCTCTCCTGACCATCTTTTATGTGTTCAATGGAAGGAACCACGTTGCCTGGTTCGTCTCATGTCTCTGCTACATAGCCCCTGTTCCTTTTCTCCTTCTCAGTGGAGTGTGGTTTCCTGACCTTCCCCATCAGCCCACTCTCATCCTGTTGCAGGTGTGTTCCCAGCAGGCTAATGATCTCTGAAAACGCACTGGACACTGACTGGGCAGCAGTGCAGAGAACAGCAACTCTCACCTCCCATGACCTGAATGCTTGTTGGTTAATAACAGTACCCACAACTACTTAGCCCACATCAGAGCACAGAGAGGTCTGCAAACAGAAATAATGGAAGGTCCCACCTCCCTCCCCATTTATTCCCTTGGGATAAATGAACAACTTGGCACCTTGAGAGGAAGCAGGCCTACTGGGGAGTGGGTACCCATCCAGGAAGAGTTAGGTATCCAGGGACCACACCAACAGACTCAGGCCCAAATAACTACAGGGAAGTGAGCAGTTTGGCGGTGGCCTCGGGAACCTGCCTCCTGTGCATTGAGAACCATCAGTGCTAACTAGTGGAGGTGGCGCCATCTGAATCAACTGGTAGCAGGGAGCATCAGGGGCCTTAGGAAGGAAACTCTCTGAGTATGGGAGGAACTTATCAAGGGCACCTGGCCCAGCCCAGAGCCCAGATAATTGGGGTAATTCTGAATGTGCTAGAAGGAAAGGTCTCTTTTCTTCCCTTCAAATCTGAATGGGTTCTGGACAGATAGATGGGCAACAGCCATTGCCTTAGTCACAAAAACAGCCTGGGACAGGGACAGGCCTGGCTATGTGATTTCCACAGCAACCTTGGAAAGTGGAAAGCCATCAACTTTCCACTTTTCTTTCTCAAGGGGGTTGGTCAGGGATTGATGGTGCCTTTGACTGGAGAGGCTGGAAGTATAGACAAGCAAATTTTTTGAAAGAGAGGTATAGGTTCAAGCTATTTATGTGTTCATTCATTCATGTGAAACTACTTTTCAAAATATTACTTCTCTGGAAAAAGAAAACACAGAATCTCTGAAGCAAAAATAGCAAAAATTCCCTCTTGCCCCGTATAAATCTCCATGCCTGCTTTCCGGCATGATCACCGTTAGGAATGTGAAGTCATCCTTTCAGAGGTTTTGCTTTGTGTTGTGAAGAATATAGACATCTGGTTTGACCAGTTTTATTTTTTTCTTTACAAAAATGATAACATTTGATGATGACAGTTCCAAATCTTGCTTTTTAAAAAATTTCCAGCATTGTTATCGGAGGCTCCTTTCATGTCAGTACACAGAAACCCACCTTGGTCTTTTTGTCACCATCTAGTTTTCACAATTCAAAGAGATGCAGTCAAGTTAAGTAGCCAGATGGTGAGGTCCAGCTGCTGCTGCTTGGCCATCACTCGAGGCCAGTACTGCTCAGCCAGGTCCAGTCCTGCCCAAAGTCATTGTGCTACCAGGACAGGTGGAGACGAGGAAGAGGTCAAGTGGCCCAGTGCACTGGGATGAGCCGTGGGACTGGATGGTGAGCTAGTCTCAGGGTTAGGGTCAGGTGCTGGCCATGGCTGAGTTTGAGGCATCTCCAGTCATCCAGAAGCATTTGTTCTTCCCAGAATGGATCACTACAGGTTCCTCCTCATTCACATTCAACAAACCCCATTTGCATAAGACCTAAAAGCATGCAAAAGGAGTTCCTGCTTTAGAGGAGTTTGCTGCCTGGGATTGAAGAACAGTTTCGGTGCTGACAGAGAAATCCAAAATGTTCTAGAACTTCAAAGGAGGGTGAGATCACATTTGGTGGGAGGGGGCTGGAAACTAGCTCCATTCCGGAGTTCTGCCAAGAGCCAGGTGCTGCACAGAACACTTCCTCTGTGGACGTGATTTCATTTAATCCTCACCTCTCAAAGGTATGAATTATCCCCTCATTTTATAGACTGGGAAAGAGGCTTAGAAGACATGAAGCGACTTGCCCAGGGGAACACAGCTGGAAAAAGGCCAAGCAGAGAGTAGAGCCAGATGTCTCTGACTCCAAGTGCATTTGCAGTTTGCTCGGCTACTACCTGTGATGGCCGGAGGTGAATCTAGAGGTGGGAAGGAGCTTGTCAGGTAAGGACAGGAGGAAGGCATTCCAGTCTTTGAATCTGAACAGAGATTCAGAGGCAGTATGGTACCAGAAATGTGTGGTTAGCTCGAAGGTAGCCTTTCAGGGTTAACCAGAAAAGGAGGTAGGCTCATGGGCAAGGCCTTGAGTTTCTGGGCCAGGGCCTTCAGCCCCTTCTCGAAGGCCACAGATGTCAAGATGGAGGAAAAGGCTCATTCTAGCAGCACTGAAGAGAAGCCCAGTGAGGAAGAGAGGAAGTGATGGCAAAGAAGGGAAGAAGCAAACCGGGAGAGGAGGAAGAAGGGTGTGCTGAAGATCGGGGCACCATACACCGTGACCAAGAGGAGTATATTCCAGGCATGCAAGGGTGGTTGAGTGTACATAGATCAAAGTGATCCCCTCCATCAACAAAGTATTAAATCCTATAATAATATCAATTGATGCAGAGAAAACATTCGATAAGATGTAATACCCATTTATGATGAAATTTCTTAGCAAGATGGGAATACAAGGATCTACCTCAACATCATAAACCTGCAGCCAATAGCATACTTAATGGTGAAAGCCGGAAGAAGGCAAGGAGACCCACCATCACCACTTCTGTTTAATCTAGTACTAGATATTTTATCTAGAACAGAAAACAAGAAATAAAAGGAATCGATTGGGGGAAAAAAGTGGGACTATCATTATTTGTGGATATTATATATAGAAAACCGTAAAGAATCACCAAAAAAGCTATTAGAAACAATAAATACAGTAAAGTGGAAGGTAACAAAATTAACATAAAAACATGTTGCTTTTTTACATGCAGATGAACAAGAAAAAAAAGTAAGAAAATAATTCCATTTACAATCACATCCAAAAAAATTAAATATCTAGGAATTAATATAATTAAGAAGGTGAAGGATATTTATAATGAAAATGACAAGACATTAAGGATACAGAATAAGACAAAGATGGAAAGATATTTCGTGTTCATGGATAGGAGAAATTGATATAGTCAAACTATTTTATCTAAAGTGATACATAGATGTCAAGTAATCCCCATTAAAATGACAATTATATTCTTCAAGGAAACAGAACAGAAAATACTAAAATTTATATAGAGCTGTAAAAGACCCTACATAATTAAACTAATCCCCAGAAAAAAGAAAAATGGAGGCATCATATTACCTGATTTTAAGCTATTATGAAGCAACAATAATTAGAACAATATGGTACTAGAATAAAAATAAGACACACAGACCAATGAACAGAACAGAAAGCACAGAAATAAGTCCACACATATATCAATACCTAATTTATGCAAAGAAGCCACAACCATACTATGGAGAAAGGAGAGTCTTTTTTAACATATGTGGCTGAAAAACTGCATGGACACATGTAAAAGAATGAAGTTGGATCACTTTCTAATTCCATGCATAGAAACAAATCCAAAGTGGACTAAAGACTTGCATCTAAGACCTGCAACACCAAAATGCATGAGAGAAAGCATCAGTGATGCATTTCATCACCACAATGGTAGGTATCCCTCTAGAGATTTGACCCCTATGGCAAGGATGGTAAAAACAAAAATAAATAATTGAGATTACCTCAAATTAAAAAATCTGCTGCACAGCAAAAGAAATATTAGCAGATTAAAAAGTCATTGTACTGAGTGGAAAGAGATATTCACACGTCACACAACTGACATGGGGTTAATATCCAAGGTAGACAAAGACTGTACCTAACTTAACAGCAAAGATCAAACAAGCAACCTAATTAAAAAATGGGCAGGAGCTCTGAATAGACAGATCTTCAAGGATATCCAGAAAGCTAACAATATGAAAAGATACTTGTTATCACTTTTGATAAGGGAGATGCAGTTAAAACCACAATGAGAGATTATCTCACACCTGTGACCACCTTAAGATCATCTCCAAAACAAATGCTGGAGAGGATGTTAGGGGAAAGAACCCTAATACATTGTTGGTGGGACTGTAAACTGATGCAGCCATTTTGGAAAGTGATCTGGACCTACCATAAAATACTGAAAATGGAAATACCATATAATCTGCCATTTGAGCCAGGTGGAGGGTTAGCTGAACAGTACATATCTGAACAATAGGAAACCACTAGCTAAAAAATGCATGTGCTCTGCCATGTTTGTTGCAGCATTGTTTTCAATAGCTAAGATTTGGGAGCAACCTAAGTGCCCACTGACAGAGGCCTGGAGAAAGAAGATGTGGTGTATATTCCACATGTAATGTTATTCAGCTGTAATGAAAGATGAAATGTTACATTTCCAGCAAAATGGAAGGAGCTCGAGGGAATTATGTATGGCTAGAACGTCAAAGAGACAGGCAAATATAAGATTTCACATCTGAATAATAGAGGGAATCCAAGGAAGAAGCAAAGTAATTGGAAGCTGTGACAATGAAAAGTGAAGTTTCTTTGAGACTGAGGTTTAGAGGGAGGTGGGCGAGAAAAAGGATCGAAGGCGGGGCGGGGGGAAATAAAGAGGTTAAATACCTCTAGTAGAAAAATGGGGAGTGTACAAACAGTAAAAAGGAAAAGTGATGATTTGTCCACATCAAAATTAACATTTTTTCAATAAAAAAACAGACAAAATTAAATGATAGGCTGGGATAAAATACTTTCCATGTCTAAAACAGAGTAGATCTAGGAAGACAAAGTTGTCTTGCAAATTAACAAATCAAAACAAATGATAATGATAATTTGTTTTAGCAAAGGAGATAAGGAATTCACAGAAGTTCCGTGGAGGTATCTGCAAGCTCACAGCCCGCAGAGAAATGCAAAGTTTATAAAACTATGACCTGGCTCTCTTAGACCTATAATCCTGCAAAGACCAGAGTCAGATTTTTAAAAATGTAGCCCTATGGGATATCAAAACTCCAAGCTCCATTCTGTTGAAGATGTCCCCCCAACCCAGTCAGGCCATGGGGGACAAAACAGGGGTCCCTGACTTATGGCTTAGCTGAACAGTGTCAGCTTTATGATGGCGCGAAAGCAACACATGTTCATAGAAGCTGTCCTTGGGATTGTGATCTCCTGGGTAGCGACGCAGCGGGATGCTGTCTCAGCACGCTGTCCGGGCAGCAGCAGCAACAGAGGCTCCTGGGGAGCCCACGACGCTCACAAGCTGCAAGGGTCAGCATCCTTCCACCTGCTATTCTCCAGCCTCATCAGGAGAGAGAGAAAGCGATGACTATCACTGTAGCATCCCTGTCTTCCAGCGATTCATTTAGTTCAGTGCATCAAACATCCTCCAGGCCCAACGTGTGCTCAGCTGTGTACACTGATGGTGCCAGTGCATGCGGCCCTTCTGTTTTTCACATTCAGAGCAAGTTTCGATAAGTTCCAACAGACAGTGCTTTCTTGTAAAGCAGGCATTGTGGTAGATGATTTTTCCCAGCTATAGGCTAATGGAAGTGTTCTGAACAAGTTGAAGGTCGGCTGGGCTAAGCTATGATGTTCGGTAGGTTAGATGGATGAAATGCATTTTGATTTCAAAGGATAATTTATTGGGCGGTTGACCCATTGAAGCCAAGGAAGAGCTGTAGTCTTTCTCCCTACACCTGCCTTACCCTTCTGGGCAAGTTAGGCTGCTCAGGATGGAAGGTGCAGGGGAGAAGCAGGAGGGAAGGTAAGGAAGGTCCTGCTTGACTCTTTCCAGCTGCGTGCGGCCTTGGTGCCCTCGGGGAGGCAGGCTTCAGAGCTAGATTCCCTCGTGGGGGAGTCCATGGTCACATAGAGCCTCTCACGCCTCTGAGGCTCTTTTACCTGGGGTCTTCTGACACCTGTGTATATTGTGATTTATAATAAGAAATATATATTTGTCCTTTTTTTGTGACCCTGGCTAAGAGCTGGGTAACTTGCTAAGAGCAGAAATAGGTGTCTTATGTTAATGGTGTTACTTTTAGAAAGTTCCCAGGTCACCTAAGGCTGGGGATTGGTTGGCAGGGAACCAACCACTTGGTCAGAGGGTTGACACTTTCCCTCTTACCCGGCCTCCTCCCTCTACTGGAGAGGAAGATTCTCACGAGACTTTTTTGAGTCTTTTCCCAACCATGGAGAGCATATTATTACCATATTAGGTTGAAATGGGAAAACAAACTCCCAAAGGCAAATGACTCCTTGCATAAGTAGCAGAATTTGGGTGTCAGTCTAAGTGAATATATCACCTAGGAGATCCTAACTAGTCTCCTTCCCCCTTAAGAAGAATTTCTAATTACACTGGTACAGTTATGTACCCCTTAACGACACTGATGAAGCACACATGCCAGCCTGGGTGTGTAGGTAGGCCATGTTCTCTAGGTGTGTGATGACACCCCGTGACATTCACAATGATGAAGTCACTTAATGATGCATTTCTCAGAGTATCCCTGTTGATGGCGACACATGACTATAACACGGGAATACATTCTCCAAGTTCAAGAAATAAATAAAATTTTCATGATAAAATTTTAGCCACCAATTAACCCCTTTAACCACCAGTCCTTATGTAGTGGTGGTATAACCATTGGTCAGACTTAAAATATCCTTTTAGGCTTTTTGTTATGTACACACACATATATGTGTGTGTGTAAATAGCTTCCTGCTGGAAAAATACAGTATTTTATTGGCTAGCTTTTTGTTTATATTCTCTATACAAAAAGTGTCTCTCATCATACATACTTTGTAGCCTCACTTACCATTACTCCCCAAAAAGGGTTAGTATAGGTGTGGGTCCACCCCATTCTTTTTCACTGCTCTATAGTATTCTGTTGAGTGACAATACCGCAACTTAGCCAGTCCCCTATTGATGGACAATGAAAGAATTTCTAATTTTTCAAGCAATGTATGTGTTGTCTGAATAAGCTGCAGAGCTGCAGGGACCCATGCTGGCAGAACTCAGGACTCAAGAGGCACTGCAGTGAGGCTCACTGGCCTTGAGAAGGGGTACTGCCCAGCACAAGGGAATTTGGTCTAGCTGCATCTTTAGCCAGAGGGGAAAACATTTCTTTTTCTTGAAAACTGGGATTTCTCGGTGGATTTTATCAACTCTGGGAAATAGTTTTCAAATATTTTTCTGTGACTCATTAAAAACTACATATTAGGGGGCCTCCCCTGGTGGCGCAGCGGTTGAGCGCTGGGCTGCGAGGCTGCCCGCAGCCTCTGCAGCACTGGTTGGTTCCCCGGCCACCAGCGAGGGTCCCACCAAAAAAAAAAAAAAAAAAAAAACAAAACTACAGATTAGGGCCTCCCTGGTGGCGCAAGGGGTTAAGACGCAACTTATGAAGCTGTCCACAGCCTCTGCAGCATGAGTTTGATCCCCTGGCTGGTCAGGGAACAACCCACGTGTCACAGCAGACCTCTCCTGACTGGCCTGCTATTCCCCTCAGCAGTGTACTTACGTCAATCTGCCTGTTCTGTTCCCCACTCTGTCTCTGGTGAATCTTTTCACACCCCCCCACACCTCTGGCCTGTACCCCAGCTCTTGTATGCATAAATAAATATTTTTTAAAAAGTACATATTACATCACCATATGTAGCTGAAACAGGTTTGCTAAAACATTACCTTCCCTCACATGGGCTCTGTGGCTGAGACTTGGTCTAGCACCCCTTTGTGGATTCTTAGAAATAGCACACACTGAGCTTTTTTATTGCTAGTTCAAGAGGCCTCTGAGCAATGTGGGATTCCACCCCACCCCCTGGGAGTCACAGTTCTGGACTCCTTCCAGCACACCAGTCCTAGTACTCCTGGGCACCACCATCCTGGAAAGCCATATAAAGGGGACTCTGCGGGCCTGGTGCTTTGGTACCTTTGTTTAGACCATTCTACTCATTTTTGTCTACCTTAAGAAATCTTCTGCCTAAGTGTTAATATTTATCATTTACAGCCGGCCACTGCCCCCTTCCAGAAGTGAACACAGTGAAACGTATGACAGTCGTGCACTGTCAGACCCCAGAGGAGCACCAGAATGGACATGAGAGAGACAGCACGTCATCTGAGACTGGCCACACCCCAAGGCATTGTCATGGGGCTTCAGCGATGCATTTTGCTCTTGGGGCCGCTGATGCTGCTGGGGCCAGGTAAGTGTGCCTTTCTTTTCTCAGGGGTTTGTTTTATTTTTGCTCAATGAGGAAGGCAGATCTCAGGTTGAGTTCTGTGGGCTTGCCCGCACTCTTCAGTGCTATGATTTGCCTGTTGACTCGGAGTGAATGAGTGGGCTCCTCGCCGGGCTTTGGATTTCTCCTGATGCTAAGACTGAGAAGATTGTATTCTTCTGCGACCCTCTCTGCCCCAAGTCTCCTGCTCCCTGATTCTCCCTTGTTTGCTTTGTTCAGAAAGACAGAATCATTTAAACTGAAAATGGCCTTGAAAATTATCTTTTACCCCCTCCAAGTGAGAGACCCTAGCCCTCAACAGGAAAACACTTGCCTTGGAGCCGCCAGAGGGAAAGAATGAGGTAAGGGTAGAGGCCTGGGCCTGGCTGGGGTCCAAGCACCAGCTCTGCTACTTGCCTTATATAAGTCACCCTCTCTGAGCCTCAGGTGTTAGGCAAATATGAGGCCAGAGTGTGCAGGGTGCAGGTTGAAGAGGTGCCCTTGTTATGCCCTTGTTATAACAAGGTCCCCTTGTTGTAATGCTTGTTATGCCTACTGCACAGAGTGATTGCATTTTCTCATTGCTAATGAAACCAAAAAGCATTTTCTATTTTTCATTTTTATTAACTATTTGTGAAGTGCCTCTTCAAGTCTCCCCCCACCCAAATTATTTTAAGGAGACTTTCATACATGCTGTGCTCTTGTTCTCAGTGGCTGGTTATATGTATCACAAGCTCATCAACTACTCTGAAGCTTGTCTTTCTGTTCTCTTTGTGGAGACTTTAGATGGAAAATTCTGTTTTTCTTTGAATCACTGAGCTGAAACTCACGTCAACACTGTAAAGAAGAGAGATTCTTTATTTTGTGGAAATCAATGAAACCCCTTGAATGAGAATAAACAGGCTGTTTGCCCAGTTGGCTGATAGCAAGGGAGTCAACCACGTCACTTGCATTGGGAAGAGACTCCAAGGCAGGCAGAGCCATGGGAAAGCTGGCTGATGAGACAGGGGGAGCCTTAGGTATGTGCTGATTGCAGGTTGTTGGAGTGGTGAAGCAAGGGGAGGGGAGGTTAGAAGAGAGACATCTTAAGTGATGTGTTTGGGAGTATATTTGACTTTCTCTAGTTGGTCCTTAGTTGAAACCAGAAACAGAAATAGGGCCACTGCAATCATGGACCAACTCCTCACTGTTCTGGGTGGAGGGCCACGGAGGAGGTGATGGTTTGCAGGGCTGGCTGCTGCAGAGGTGTGTGTCAGAGTTCCATTGTGCACTTATATGTTCCCACTTGCGGTATGTGGATTTTAAATTGTGTCTTTTAGAGTTTGTGCTCTGGGCATCTTCTGTACGAATGCCTCTCTTGCCTTGAGATCATGAAGATATCCTAAATTTCTTTCTGACAGCTTTATAAGTTTTCTTTTCTCATTTGGGTCTTCCATAACTGTGGGGTTGATTTTTGTGACTAGTGTGAGAGGAACCCAACTTTAGATACTTTTTTTCCCAAGCAAGATACCTGGTTGGTTCAGCACCATTTATTGAAAAGCTTACTAGTAAGCTTGCTTGCAAAGTCAGTTTTCTCATCCCTCTGAAGAGCCACCACTCTTATAGAGTGGTGAATTGGCTCTGGGACAATAGGGGTTTGAACTGTGCAGGTCCACTTATATAGTTTTCTGTCCACAGATTCTGTATTCACCAATTCAGCCAGCCTCCGGATATTGGTTGGTGGAATCAGGCAGACGCTGAGTCCCTGGATATGGAGGACTGGCTATAAGGGACTTGAGCATCCTTGTATCTTTTGGTATCTGAGGAGCTGGAGGGTAGAGGTCCTGAAATAAGTCCTCCTTGCATACCAAGGAATGACTGCAGTTAAGTTTTGGGGGAGGTCAAAAGTCATGTGGGTTTTGTACTGCCTGGGGTGGGTGCCTCTAACTCCTGCATTGTTCAAGAGTAGACTGAATTAGTGTGTTTTTGGTATTCATTAATATGGATTCATATGTTCATTGTCATGTTTTGGTATTCAAATTGGTACTCATTTGATATTCATATGAATTCTGTTTCAAAACTCCTTTTTGCTTTAATACCTTTGCCTATCCCTATGCCAATAGCATGGTGTCTTAATTCTGTAGCTGTATAGAACATTTTATTACTTGGGAAAAGCCTTTGTTTTTTCTTCTTTAGAGATGACTTGTTTTTGAACTTCATAGGCATTTGACTCTCAACTTGTTGATTTCTACCAAAGAAAACCTGTTGGGATTTTGATAGGGATTGCTTTGAATTCTATGAATCAAATTGGTTCACAATATTGAGTCTTCCAACCATGGGCATATGTTTATGTTTTTAATGCCTCTCAAAGTTTTATGGTTTTCTCTGTTGAGTTGTCTTGCCCATCTTTTGCTAAATTTGTTCCTCGGTCTGTGATATTTTTGTTGTGTAGCAAATAGCATTATTTTTTTATTTGAAAAGTGTTTGTTATTGGCATATAGAAATAAAACTGATTTTTACATATTGATTTTGAACTAAATTAAACTTGTAAACTTTAGGTCATCCTCTGCATATTCTTTTGTTTTTTTAAAAAAAAATATCTATATACCCCATCTTGTCAGTAATGACAGTTGTATTGCCCTCTTCTCAGCCTGTATCCCTTCTATGTCTTTTGCCTGTGATGACCGGGGCCTCCATTACAGTCGTTCTTGGGAGAGATGGTTGGGGTCATTCTTATCTTATTCCAAGTTCAAATTGAACGTGTTTAATGTTTCACCATCAAGGTAGTATTTGCTGCAGGCTTTTATTTAGAAACTCCTCAAGAGATTAAAAAAGTTCTATTGTATTCCTAGTTTGCTAAAAGGTTTTTATTTTTTAAAAAAAAATCATGAGCAGCTGTTGAATTTTATTTAACCTGCTACAAAATATGAAATACAAAATCTACTAATGTGGTGAACTCAGTTAACTGACTCTTTATAAGTTTGTTCTCCTTTTTTAGTCTTTATTTCACTACTTATTTAGATGATAGCCTTTTAGAATATAATTTACATTAAATTTTATCTATTATTTCTTGAGTTTAGTTGGGTGTCTATTTAATTGTCTTGTGTTGTTCTTTTGCTATATAATTTTTTAACTTGAAGTAATCCCAATTATTTATTTTTGTTTTTAATTCCCTTGTCATAGGGATTGAGTCACCAAAAATATCTTTATTACTGATATCCTGGCATGTATCACCAAAGTTTTCTGTTATGTATTTTATATATATTGTTGCAAGACTTATATCTAAATCTTTAATCCATTTGGAATTTATTTTTGTGGATGGTATTAGCTCAATGCTTCTTTTAAAAATAATTCTGTGTTCCTATAAATGCCCTCAAATTTATCTTTTTTAAGCATCGTAGTTTTATATTCTGTCAGTAATGCCAATGTCCAAAGTCTTTGATTTATTTCTTCCCTATTTTATTCTATTCTTGCTCTTTGACACCTCATTTGTTTATATGCTTGGTTATTTTTTTATTGTGTGGTGCTTTGACTCCTTAAATTATTTGTGTGATTCTTTGAGGTCTAGGACAAAGAGGCCTGTGTTCAGAGACTATAGACATCATTCTCTGAGGCACTGGGGAAACCACATGAAGTTATATGAGGATCCTTCAAACTAAATTCATGGTGTGAGTTTCCTTAGAACAGCCAAGCCCCTGCTAAGCTCTGTCTGTAAATACCAACTTCCCTTTAAGAAGGATATACTATTATCCTCATTTTACAGATGAGAAAAACCAAGACTCACAAGTTAAATAATTTGCCTACCTTCATCCAGTTAATAGATACAGGAGTCAGAATACAGTCCTGAGACAATCCGAGCCAGGGCCTTCCCCCATCACCCTGCATTGCAGTAGAGCCATAGGGAGGAAAGAATCAAACTTGAACTTTTGTTTAAACCTTAAAATGGGCTCAAAAATCCAACACATAGAAAACAGGAGCATCATTATCCCCAAAATGCAACTGACTAAAGCAAGTTGGTTGGAAATTACTGTTTCTTATAAAATACAGTTTCACTAGAATTTTACTTCCTTGAAATGGGTCAGTTCCCCCACAAGATTATCATTCTTAGGAATAAAAACTCATCACCTTGGTAATGGACCCATGCCAGGCCTGTTGGTGCAAAGTTGAGGAGACTCCCTGTGTGAAGAAACCCTCTTATTAGAACAGGTAAAGACAGCCAACATTTTTGCAAAGGCCTAGAATCCTTCCTGGAGGTTACCGGTCATGCCTTCTGAAAGTATTATCTTTCAAATAAGAGTAGAAAGCAACTGCGGAGAACTTTTGGTTACCCAAGTCCTTCCAGTCACGAATGAGAGAAGGGAGGCGACTTGCTGGAGTCACATATCTAGATGGGGTCAGAGCCACCCCTGAAACTCTGGTGTGAGACTCTCCTCTACATCAGATTCCTGGCTCTCCAGTCCCACCCCAACTCCAACTCACATGCTTCCTCCAAATTCTGCTCTGAGCAGCAAGTACAGGCATAGAATTTTCTTTAAGGGCTCAGGAGTTCTGCATTCCTGGAATATCATCTGTACCTTGTAGATTTTTAGGACTTTGTTGTCAATCATCATTTCATCAAGTTGCATTTTTGCTACTGTCAGTTACCTGTCTGAGCATCTTTCTGTGTGCCCAGCTTGGGTTGAACCTGCCTGAGCCTGGCTGGTAGATAATCAACCAAATGTAAGGAGTCCTCTGGGGAGAGAGAACTGATCAGCATAAAATCACTGGGAAAGAATTAAGTACCAAAATAGGTGCAAGAAACTGTAATAAAAGCAACAGGATTCAGAGAAGTGAAAGATGAACGTGGGCTGGAAAAGTTTCACGTGGGAGGCAAAAGTCAATTGAGCACTGAAGCATGAGGGGGATCAAGATAAACAGTGGAACAGGCAAGGTGTGCAGGTGGGGGAACAGCATACCCCAAGGCAAAGTGGGGGCCCCACATGGTGGGTTTGAGGAGCAGTGAACATACCTGCTGAACTGCAGTGTCGTGTTGCTGTTGGCTGAGGTAAAGGACTTTAATTCCCAAGACAAGGAGAGCGATCGAGATGATGGAGGGTCTCAGTTTAAAGACATCTCTAAAATGCTTTCATATAATTCATTTTGTTTCCATTTATAATAGCTGAACCCTCTGGAGGTTAAGTGACCAGCCCAAGGTCACACAGCAAGCCTGCAATGTGAATTTGCTGTAGTGGGACAAGGGGAGGCATTAAAGGTTCTGTAAGCAGGGGGGTGGCATGATGCCAGTGGTGATTTAGGCAAGATGAATCTGCTAGCTTCAGATATAAAGGGTCCTGAGTCAAAAAATAGGCACTGGTCAATTTTTGTGCTTGTTTTTTCACAAAGGGTCCCCACAGGAATTTGCTGGACCCTGAAACGGTGAGTGTTCTTATCCGGGCTTACACAACCATTTCCTCTTGCATCTCTTTGAGAAATAATGGTCCTGGCAAGTCTCCTTTCATAGTGAACCTCCCAATTGTGTCTGGGGTGGGAAGAACTTTTTGATGGGGAGACTATGAGGTCTCCACCTCCTTTGGAGCTCACTAATCATTGCCACTGGCTGCACTCAGCTTGAGCCCCTTTAAAGTTCTGACCCACAGTGGCTGAGGTAGAACTGGGAGTGGTGGTGGGGAATACTAGTGCAAGAGGAGCAAGGGTCTGGCCTGCCACACTGGACCACCTGTGCACCTTCACCGTGGACCCTCTGCTGTGGATGACTCTTTCTTGGTTCTGGAAGGCATTTGCCCTCATGAGGAATTTGAGGAAAATGCAATCTAAAAGTGAGGCATTTCCTATCTGAAGTGGAAGGGGGAAATTTCAAGTCAATGTGGAGTCTGCTTTCTCCTATTAGGATTCTCCCTAGGGTGTTCTTCCTTCTCTCACAGGACAGAGCGTGTGTGGTGTTGGGTTTTTGGTGGTCAGCAGGGGTCTGAAGGGCTTATACGGCATGCAATGCTCCTTAACCTAGTCTGCTTTATCTGTCTCGAGAGTAAATCATAAAAAGACTATTTAAAAAGCTTATTACAGGTGTTCTATAGCCCAAGTCCCAACTATATGGAAACATTCTTTTGTCATGTCTGCAAGACCAGGATTTTCCACTGCTCTCACCCATCAGTCTAGATTTATCATGAGGGTGCCAAAATGTGATGCAGGATTAACACCATCAACCTTTGGGCAGACACAACTTCTAGATGATGAGTTTCCAAAACTGCCAGAGAGAATCTGGAAAGTCCCTAACCACCATGCATGGCCATGGCCTGTGCTGATGACCACAGGGTGATACTACCACTCAGAGAGGGTGGCATTCCCAGCAGAGAGCACAGAAGGAACAAAAAACTCACCTGGACCTTCCCCTTGCTGGCTTAGCAGCTCAGCCCACTGCGTAGGCCTGCCATCGCCTTGCTGGTGTATCTGTCAGCTGACTGACATCACCGTGCCTCACTGAGCCTGTGAAAGTCTCAACAACAGGGTCATAAATCCTGCCTCTACATACCCCAAAGGTTGCTGAGAGGATATTACACTTTTCAGAGTCCAAGAATTTAATATACACAGGGGAGCGACCTTAAGTCCACATGTGTTGACCTTGACAGTCCCCACCAGTGCCCCAGACAAGCGCCTTCCTTTCATGTAGGGACACAAGCCCCCCCGCGTGTGTACAACCCTCTCCTGCCCCACCGTACTTTCCCGTTCTTTTGTCTTCACAAACGCCCTCTGATAAGGTAGGGGAGTCAGACTTGTCCCCATTTAGTAGGTGAGGAAATCAAGGTTCAGAAAGATTAAATACTTGGTCAAGGTCCAAGCAGGGGTGGAAAATCATGCTGAAGAAACATTAAACATGAGAAAGGATAAAGCAGATCTGTCAATTAGGAGAGTATAAGCTGCAGTTGGATACCCCTGGACAGTATTAGGCTAACATACTTTGGGTTTTCTTGAAGAGTTTAGAGCCTTGACCTTAAAAGCCCATGCACATCACTCAAAGGCTTTGAAAAACTGCTGGTGCCAGCTTTCCCAGACCCAGCCCAGGTCGATTAAATCTGCATCTCTATGTGTGGAGGCTAGGCAGGGGCATGGTGGAAAGCTGCTGCTCAAAAGGTGTTGCCCTAAGGGAGAATGGCCTTCCAAGGCCAGATATCTGATGGCCCTTTGTGGGTGTCACAGCTTTGTCCAGCTGGAATGATGGATCTTAGAGAAACCTGTTTCACAGATTGTTGCACAGATATCTTTTCTCTTTCAGTGAGAAGGCTGTGCCAGCAGTGACCAGTCTGGTAAAATGTAAAGGTAGATCCCAGACCCTGTCTAAGGCTATTATTGATCACCAGATGTGCCGCCTTCTCATTGCACCTTGATGGCTTATTTTCAGTTCTGGTCTAGGTCAGGCAGTGGTTGGCAAATCCAGCCTTCTGCCTGTTTTTGGTATTACTTGTTAGCTTAGAAGGATTTTTACATTTTTCATTTTTTTTATGTGGGTGTTTGGATGTTCCAGCACCATTTGTTGAAAAGAATATCTTCTCTCCGTTGTATTGCCTTTTCTCTTTTGTCAGAGATTAGTTGACAACATTTATGTAGCTCTATTTCTGAACTCTATCCCGTTTCATGGTTCGTTCTATTAATATTTGTCTATTCTTCTGCCAGTATCACACTGTTCTGATGACTGTAGCTTTTTTAGTATGTCTTGAAGATGGATAGTGACTGTCTATTCAATAGTCTCTTGATTATTCTAGGTCTTTTGCCAATTAGTTTGTCAAGATTCATAAAGATTTCTTCATTTTTAAATGTTTGAGAAAAGTTCAGAGGATTTCATGACACATGAAGATTATATGAAATTCAAATTTCATTCTCTTTATTCTGTTTACTGTCTGTGGCAGCATTCACATTATAACTGCAAAGATGAATGGTTGCCACAGAGACCAGACAGTGAAAAAAACTAAAATACTGGCTATCTGACAGTTACAGAAAATGTACCCACACTTGGTCTAGATCTTAGGCTGTGACTTACTTAGCTTGATGGTTGAGTCTGATGTCCCTTTTCAAATCCTGTCATCACCATTTGCTAACCGTGTCACCTTTGGAATATCACAAAACCTTTCTTGATCTATTTCTTGTGCGTAAAGTGGAAATGATAGTATTTCTCATAAAGTTGTCATGAGCATTAAATGAAGGGAAATTGCAGGTCAATGAAACTTGCAAATCTGGATGAGAGTTAGTTCCATCTAAATAACCTGGACTGTATTTGCTTTCTTTTAGGGATCACCCAGGCTGGAGGGTCTCCTGAAGAGAACGCTTCGGAAGAGGAACAATGGCCAAAGGTGAGGGCTCTGTCCCAATGGGAAGTGTGTGTGTGTGGGGAGCCTGGGGGGTCCCTTATAGTGGGTAGGTCCAAGTCTTGATGCAAGTTGGCCAGTCCCTCCCTGAGGCCTTAAAACAGTGGACCAATGAGCAGCTCCCCCCAGCAACAGCTGGGTTGCCTGGCAGAGCAGGGGCAGCCTGCTGTCCATGTCCATGAATCTGGGGCTCATCATTCCTGCAGACTAAGCAGGCAGTTCCCAGAAGTGTCCACAAAGTGTTATAAATGGACTTGTTATCTTTGTGAACCTTGAAGCAGATGCTGGGGGTTATCTGAAAGCATCTGGGTAGGTTCTTCCCAGAACATTCACAAGAAAAGCATTGAGTAACATGCCTTCTCACTTCCTGCCATCAGGAATACAAAAGAAATTAGCTTGTCTCCCCTGGTGCTAGCAAGATGTGCTCAAGCACCTCAGTTACTGTGCGCTGAACACTGTTGATTTCCCTTCCACTCATTTCTGGGGAGAAGACATATGGTCTCCTGTCCTGGTCTCCCATGTGGGTCACGAAACTGAGGCAGTGAATGATTGTCTGAGGAGGCCTGAGGCGTCTGGAGGGCCCTAGCTCTGGTCACCAGTTCCGCCTCTGCTCTCAGTAGCCCATCTAAACCTAGAACACACTGACTTGGTGAGAACAAGGGAGACTCCCAAGGTCACCCCATTTCTAGCACAGATAAACCTGATGCTTCATATACTCACTTCTGTGTAAATAATCAAAATTAGAAGGAAAGTAGGTAATACAAATAAATATAATAACACAAAATGGAGTTTTTATTTTTCAGTCTACTTGCATTAGGTCTCTTCTTAATGATTTTTTTTTAATTAAGGTAAAATATCCCTAACATAGCATTCACCATCTAACCACTTTGAGCACACAATTCAGTGGTGTTGAGTACGTGCACATTGTTGTCAGCCGTTGCCACCATCCATCCCCAGGACATTGTCTTCATACAAATTTGTATCCCTTCCTTTCCACTCCACTGTTCGGGCCGTCCTTACCCACCATCAGCTGAGATCATTGTCAGCAGACCCGCGTCCCCTTGTCCTCAGTGAACTGGGTGGGGAGTTAGAAGAACATGACTGTGGACCACCATTGCTTCTGGATTTTGAGCCTGAATAGAACAAGTACATGGTCATTTCTCCACCAAGGGTTCAGGGCCTGCAATATTTCCATACAAGACAGTTGATGTTTCTGATGTTTGGTTTTAGTTGATGATACTGAAGAATTTGCCATTCTCATGTGACCCGAAGAAGTTAGGATCCCATGTGCCATCTGAGTCAGGTATGTGACCCCAAGTCATGAGTCAGGAAGTCAGCATCTTCTTTCAGTTGTGACCAGCAAGGCTCTAGCCCTCCTCCTCCTGCACCTTGCAGTTGTTTGAGGCCTCCCTTTTCCCCATCCTTACTCCCGCACCCCTCCTATATCCCCCCCTCAGTCATTTCTATGGAGGGACTCACCCCAACACACCACCCAGAGGTAATTTGCCAATAGTGACTTGCCTGGGTGAGGGCCACCTCTAGGGGCCACCTCTAGGGGCCACCTCCCTGTGGGTGGACCACGACCTGGGAGCTGTGGATTGGAGCTGGTCACTCACCTGCCTTCCCTATTCCTGTAATGAGACCACAGCAGCTTCTCTAGTGAGTGTTCACCTATAATGGGCTCGGTGTGTTCAGTAGGGGGCTGTTCAGAATGTTGCTTTTGACTTCTCTGGCTTTATACTATAAGTGGCTGCATTATAGATTGTGTTCAATGACTTTATTTATGTTTGCGTTGCATTGACTTACTAGGGTTTCCAGTTACACATAAAATTCCTACTATTCCATTATGTAAATAATGTGGGCAGTGAAACTTATGTAGTTCTTAAGATGGCTTCTGTAAGATGTGGTACATATACACCATGGAATATTACTCAGCAATCAAAAAAGATAACCTAGTGCAATTTGCAGCAACATGGATGGAGCTAGAAGGAACCATGCTCAGCAAAATAAGCCAGAAAGAAAAAGAAAAATACCGGATGGTCTCACTCATTGCAGGAATTTAGAAAACCTAAATAAGGGACCAGGAAAAAGATGATAATAATAAAGTAAAAATCAAAATCAACAAGCAACTATAAACCAGAGACACACTATTGGGGGGAGGTGGGGAGGGATTAGGGTTGAAATAAAGGGGGTGGGAATTGTATGGGGAATATAACCAAGATGAAAATGCATACATTGTGCAAAAATGAAAAAGGATGTAAAAAATATATAAAATTTAAAAAAAGATGACTTCTCTAGTAGTTTTATCTTTAATGCTGCCATAATATGAACAGGAGTATGTCAGTAGCTTCTAGGGAGACTTCATTCTAAAAATGTGAGTGGTCCAGGGTCTCCATGGTGTACCATTTGCGTACAGCCTGCACCTGAAGTTTGTGTGGGCAATTGCTTCGAGTGGCAGTCTTCAAGCTGGCATGATCCCTTTTGTACTCAGGTGGCTTTCATTTAAATTGTTCCCCTTAAAAAAATAAATAAATAAATTGTTCCCCTTGCTTAGTAATGGTGGCCCAGAATGCAGAGCCTGGGGTAGAGGGAAGCAAGAAGCCAAAAGGCCAGGTGAGAGGGGACACAAGTGACCTGCCATAGACAGTGTCTGGGAGATCCTGGCCCAGCTAGTGGTGCGGTGTCTGTGGGCAGGGGCTTCTTTTGAGCAAAGTTCCCTGGCTCTCCCCGAATGCTTGTTCCATAGCTTTTCACTCCCACAGCTGACAGACTCAACCCCAGCAGCTGTCAACAGGCTGGGGTGGGGGGTATCATGGGGAATGTACACCTGACCTCCTTACATGGGTTCTTATTTTCACAGTCCACTCTCTGAAACCTTCTGATATTAAATTTGTGGCAACCATTGGCAATATGGAAACAGTGAGTATTTCCAGGAGATAGAGGTGGGAGGCAGGGCTGGGACTGGTGACCCCCTGAAGGAGTGCCTAGGTACCAGGTTCCGCTTGGGGAGGAAGAACATAGAGTTAGAGAAACACTAAAACCCAGGGACTTCTGGTCCTTTTTTTTTTTCTAATCGCATATATACCTTCTTTTACATTAGGGTGAGAAAACTTTTGAAGTTCCTTATTAATTTAAACCATTGATAAATTAACTCAAAGATGACACCATATTTTATTAGTAATGTATTAAATTTTTTATTTAAGAAATAGAGGGAAATGCCTGTGTTTATTTTTAAAAACATACCCATCTTCACTAACACATTTTAACAGGTGCATTTTATATGGCCAGGTGAAGGAGAAAGAGATAAAGATGGAAAGGGAGAAGATAAAGATGGAGAAGATAAAGATAAGCAGGGGTGGGGGGGTCTGGAGAGCAGAGTAGGAGAGCAGAACACATGCCTTGTGACTCCCTAGTCCTGACTTCCTACAAGGCCTGGTCCTAGCCAAGCTCTAGGCCCCTGCCCTCTCCCCCACACCTCTCCTCTCCCTGACACCCCTCCAGTCCCAGCATCACCCAGAGAACAGAGCACTTTCCAGTATTCCTGGCTGTGCCTCCTACACCGGATACCCCCACCCTGCAGCAGTCCCTTCCCACCTCCACCTCTTCTTTCTAATGGTGGCCCAGGGAGCAGGGCCCTCCCCTGGCCCTGTTGGAGTCCTACTTCCTGCCCCCGCAGCCCAGCCAGCCACCTCCCTGCACCCCAGCTCACTACCGATCCACCCTCTGTGGCAGCCACGAGTGAAGCATGAAACTGCCTTAGAAAGCTGGCTTAGCCCAGCCAGGCCAGTCCTTGTTTTATTCCAACTGCTCCGCTGGAGTCGTGAGGTGCCCTGTGATTTGTGACTGTGTGTAGAGGAGGGTGAGAGTGGAGATTTGCCCCTGGGAGAAAGAGGTGAAGGGGAAGATGGGGCTAAGTGAGAGAGGGAGTCCCATGTGGTGCCTGCGGACCCCAAGGTCGCTGCAGCTGGGTCACACTGCAGAGCCCAGACTGTGTGACACCTGCTGGTGACCCTCCTGCTCCTCCACTGCGGCACGGAAATTCACTGCTGGGAAATCTCTCCCCAAGTTGGGTTTCTGAAGTTAGAGCTATCCCAGCGCTGAAAAAGCTTCCCCGTCCATGAATTATTCAGACCCCACGGCTCCTGCCTGTCCCTCCTCACCATTTCTCCTCCTGTGAGCCCCAGGCCTGCGGAACAGTACAGCTTCAGTCCACAGTGGTCCCAGCCCCAGAACACTGCTTCTGCAAGCACCGCCTCCCGCAGGGTAAACCCCAAAAGCACAATTCCTGGGAGGGGCCATCCTCTCTCTGCTCTGAGACAGCCTTGACCTTGTACCCCCTTTAGAAGCACATTAAACTGGCGCAGCGGTTGAGCGCTGGGTTGCGAAGCTGCCCACAGCCTCTGCAGGGCTGGTACGATCCCTGGCTGCCAGGAAGTGTCCCACATGGTGCACAGACCTCTCCTGCTGCGCCCGCTGCTCCCCTCAGCAGTGTACTTTGTCAGTCTGCCTGTTCTGCTCTCTGCTCTGGTTCTAGTGAATTCTCTCACCCTCCCACGCTTCTGACTATACCCAGTGCTTGTATAAATAAATAAATAAATCTTTAAAAAAAAGATACCCTTTAAAAAAAAAAGCACATTAAGCCAGGGGAAACCATGGGAGACTGTGAATTTAAAAAGAAACAAGTCTGTGATGCTTTTGCGCCAAGTCCCTGGGGCTTTCTGGCCCTAACTCTGCGTATTAGCTCCCTGTGACTAGTTAGCGCTTGTGCAATTGCTCTGGACTCTCTTTTCCTCATAGAACTTTAAAGATCAAATTAGAAAGGTTCATACAACATAATTTCAAAATAGCACTTGATATATATGTTCAATGTAGGAAACAGTCCAAACACACGTATATAGTATAAAAAGTTGAAGACCCCCATCCGTGTCACCTCCTCCACCTCAGTATAGAGGGGGTAGGGAAGTATAATCTAAGTAGGGCCATGATGCAATGGACTGTTTGTGACTTGTCTTAGACATTTTTCCAGGCCGGAGGCTACATCCCTCTACCTCAAATCCCTTAAAGACAGGGCCCATGCCCCCTGACTTTGCGTCTTCAGTGCCCTCAGACTTTCAGCCAACAGAATGTGGAGAGAAATGACAGGCAGCAGGCAAAGGGGAGATGCGGGGGCGCCTGGCCTTCCCTCATCCCCACTTTCCTCTTTACTCCCATGTTCTCTCCTCGGCCTTCCCTTCCCTCCTGTCTTCCTCACCATGGAGCTTCTTCTGAGGCAGAGCCCTGCTGTGCTGCGGATCCCCTGGTTGGATCTGCCTGCTTAGCTTCGGCCCCAGGAGTCCTGCTTCCCTCCCTGCTTTGCTCCCTGCCTTCCCTGTCTGGCCTCTGTGTTGATGATCTCCGACTCGAATGTAGTGTGACCTCTGCTTAACTTGTTACCTTTCTTGGAAATTTTGCTTTCAAACTGCCTCTTATTGAGGGGTACAGGACTCCATGCTACTTAAAGGAGTATCAGGGCCCACCTGCCCACCCCAGAGGGTCCAGAGGTGACCAGTTCATAGACCGCTTGTCCGTTGAGTGGGTGGGTACGGGCAGAGAGGCTCTTGGAAGGGAAGCTGCAGCAGGCTGGGGTGAGGGAGTGTGGTTTTAACTGCCACCACCACACCTGGAGACAGACGGCCTGCTAGGAATTTTAAGACAGATAATTAGCATCAGAACCTGCAAATATATACTACTGATAATAGCTAATGCTTTCGGAATGCTTAGTATGCATGGGGCACAATTCCAAGCGTCCCAGGATACTTGGAAGACAAGATTCCCAGCTAAGGAGCCATGGTCTCATCTGCAACCCTGCAACCAGGGACCTCTCCAACATTTTACCAGGAGGAAAGTCATTCAAAAAGTATTGATCAAGAAATACTGATTGCATACTCATGAGGTGTCGGCACTGCTTTAAGTCCTAGGAATAGAGTCAAGACACCAATTTCCACCCCCATGGTGCTTATATTTCTAGACTGGGGAGACAGACAATAAGCAAAACAAACTAGATCGTGGACGGTCACCACAAAACATGCTTTTTGTTTCTATGTTGAATGCTATGGAGTCTGAGAATGTGTTGGAATCTGAGTTCTTCTACCCTGTTCTACTCTGAGGGAACCATCCTCCCCTTCACTTGCTCTGAGTTCTGACCTACAAGCTTCTGAGGAAGCCTGCAGTCTATCCTCCCTGCAAAGCCAGCTGCTGGATGTGGCCTTTGCGTGGGCCACGGGGGGAGGGGCCTGTTTTAGGGGGAGGGGTGCCCACCAGGCAGCCGGGCTCTCCTGAGGACTGACAGTGGCCTTCACCTGCTGGCTGGCTGACACCACATATCTTTTCCAGTTTCAAGGATCAGTCTACAAGGAGCAGAAGCTCAAATGGTAAGTACTGTGGAACCAGGGCAAGATCCTGAGGGAGCATCAGAGGTGACCTGGCCTCATCTTGCTTCACTGTTGGGAACCCACGAGCTAGCCAGACGCCGCCTTGCTCCGGCTCCCTGGAGCAGGTGGCAGAGCTGAGAGCAGCTCCCTGGCTGACTCTCTGGTGTCCTCGGATACCCCGGCTCCTCTGGGTGAATAAGGGAGGAAAATTGGGAAAGGTTGAGTGTGGGTTCCATGCATCCCACCACCTATCTCTGCAGGGTGGGCCTGGGTCCCCTTCCAGCTTTGGGCCAGACCAGCGATGGGGACGGGGTTCTGGAAAGAGCTGTTCACCCCATTTTGGCAAGTCTGTTGCCACCTGCGGTGTGTCTCTGGCTCAGGAGGGCTAGTCCCGAACCAGAGCAAGGCCGGGTCAAAGCATCCTGTGGAACTGACCGCAGCAGCGGAGGGAAGGGCTGATGGTAGGCGGCGCATGTCTGACAGCTGGCGTCTGACTCACTTGCAGGACTGGGCAGAGGCCACAGGAGGTGTGCCAGCACATGGTGACAGGTGAGCCTCGAGCTTGCACAGCAGGGTCCAGTTGTCCCCATCCCTCCCAACAGCAGCATTTCGGTCAGGGAGGAGAATTCCCCCGTGGAGAGAAGCGGGAGGCATTCTGAGAGGACAGACTGAAAAGCCGCACTGAAAGGAGGCCGTGAGAAGTGTATCCCAGGGTCTCTGAGCAGGGAGAAGCCAGGGGGGATGGGCTTAAAATTAGGAAGTAGGGGATAGGGGTGGGGAGTGGCTGGGCCAGGGTCCTGGTTCCCCCGCAGCAGGACCCCAGGGCTGACTTAAGGATTTCTCTGGGGAAACCCAACACAGTTCCCTGCCCCACCCCCAAGGCGAAGACCCAGTCTATTTCATTTTATGTAACTCGCATTTGTAAAATATATCAGTTGGGTTCAGGAAAATGAAATGAAGAAAATACAAAATCGTAATCCCACATTCTAGAGAAAATCATTATGAATCTTTTTATCTGTGAACATGCTTATGAATATGCTATCTCTAGCCTGCTTGTCTTTTTTTTTCTTTCATTTACTGTCAGAGGTCCCTCATGACTCTATTAAGTCATCCTGCAACCCGAGTCCCTTAACTCCAGCTCAGTTAGCCTAGTGGCTTGTTAGCATCACCTGTGCTTGGGGCTCGTGTGTCAAGAACTGGGAAGCCACTTTTCACCTCCTAATGAGAGTGAGGAGACTCAGACTGCATCACAAATGCTCTGCTGAGCTGACACTGCAGTGGAGCTCGATGTCATGTGAGGTGGCTGGGGCCCTGTCAGTTCAGCCAGGGACTTCACCACGGGCCTGTGAGTAGGCTGCTGGCAGGCCGGAATGACAGGCAGATTTGCGTGAGACGATCTTAGGTCATTCTGATCACAAAGAAGCAATACAATACAAATACCTTTGATCTGGAGAGCCAATCTTTCCAAAAGACCTAGCTCCGACACTCACAGTGCCTCACTGCCACCTACACCCCCCAACACCCCCACTTTGTAGTCTTCAGTTGCCCTTGAATTCTGTTTTCTCACCACATGTGGGAATGGACTCTTTCTGCAAGCTGGCCAGGGGCTAAAAAAGCTTATTGGTGTTGAGAATCAAGACATCCAGTCGCACACGAGTTGGGTGGGTGCTCCCGCTGACAAGGCTGAGTGACTGTCTCCTGCCGTCTGGCCCTGCTCCCCACACAGTCAGCCAGAATGGCAGCCACCTTCAGAGGAGCTACAACTGCCTCTGGATTCAGCTCCCACAAAGCCCCAGGCATTTCTGGATGGGGCCAAAAAGAAAGGGAGGCAGGGTGGGGGTGGAGGCATCACCCCCATGTCACTTTCCTCAGTGCTCTGCCCTCTCCTCTCTCGGAAGCAAGACACAGTGAACTGCTGGTGACAGCGCTATTTTTAGCGGTCCTCTGGCTGTCAGCTCTGGGACATGAGCTCTGTGTGCTCCCCAGAGCTTTCCCACCCTGCTGTCACTCTTCAGGGGGAGGTGGGGGGGCTGGGAGGCAGCCTTCCCAAGTCCTGTCCCAGCCCTGCTTTCCCTAACGAGCTGATAGTGCATGGCAGTAAAAAGCTTTGGCATCTGGAGCTCTGATCCAAGTCCCGGCAGCTTCTGTTAGTCATGAGCGCTTGGGTGGCAAGCTTAGCTTCTCTCAGCCTCAGTTTCCCCTTCACACAAGTAAAGTGTATAGTGCTGGGCCTGGCCTAATACTTGAGAGATGCTAGTATTTAGCTCAGTTCACTCCTGGGGGCCTGCTGCTGTGGGAAGTTGACCTTAGAGCCCATTCACCATGTGAAGGTCATGCTGGGAAACAGGGGGAGCCACCCTGGCACCTCACCCAGTATTTCTAACCCTAACCCTGCAGTTGTCAAGGCAACAACCTCAAAGCACCTCTCTCTCTAGTCCTTTCAGATGTCATCAGATATTTCAATCCCTCTGTCCTGAGGCCCAAGTGTGTCCCTGAAAGAGAAGTGGTGCCCCACAATGGAATTATGTAAGTCTCTTCTGGCTCTTTCCAGGGCTATGGACACCTGATGATCTTGAAGATACATGCAGGAGTATTTGGGAGGGGGATCGGGCTTGCAAGTCCAAAGTTCAAAATAGGGGTCTGCATTAAATCAAAATCAAATGCATTTCCTCCTGCATTGCATTGATTTCAGTCTATCTGATGAGCCTAATTTTCAGTGTCCACCCTCCAGAAGGCAGGGGCGGTATGGCCTCAGGCCTGGGGACCGTGCTCAGAGGGACAAGGGCCTAGTTTCCAGCCTCAGCAACATTCTGCTTTTTCTCTCTGTTCCTCTCCCTCTGTGCAGAGACTTGCAGACTCAGGCCACGGAACTGGTGAAGAGCATGAAAGTAAACCAGGTAAGAATCTCTCTGACCCTGGGGTCAGGGCACCCTGTGTCTGGCACCTGTTGCTCTGGCCACTGCACTCTGAACTCAGCACCTAGTGTGGCCTGGGCTTTCCAGAAATGTCCTGCTATGATGATCCTTTAGAGGCCATTAAAACACAGGGCCACTTTTTACGTTCTGTCATCTGCCCAAAGTCTGACTAAGTGACTTTTTGCTAGGGAGGAGGTTGAGAACTGGGGTTCCAGGATAAGACTGGATTAAGTGTGAACCCTGAATTCCCCACTTACTAGCTGTGGAATGTTGGCTAAGGCACTTAACCTCTCTGAGCTTCAGTTTTCCCATTTCTGAAATGGGGATAATTGAAGGGCCTGCAGCACAGAGTTTAGGGGAATTAGATGAGGTAGTGGATGTGCCTGGCACAGAGGCTCAGTTAAAGCCTCTGGCTGTCACTGTTGAGGTGTCAATGGCTGTTAATATTCCAGGTCTTAGGTGGAGGCCTCAGTATCCTACACTCTGGGGCCCTACATTTCAGATACTACCCAATAACTCATATGAGTTTGTTATAAGCAGCCTCCCACCTTTTTTCTTCTTCTTATGGGCAAGTATCAAACAAATCAGTTTGCTGCCAAGCTGGCTCTACCCAAGTGCTGGGCCATGACCACTGTCTCTACTGTCCCAGCCTGTCACCCTCTCATAAGAGTTCAGGCAGTAAAGCCAGGTCATTGCCTGAGCTTCTCCATAAGGTTGGTTTCTCCCTCACAAGAGATCTCCAGGATTGCTGGAATAATCATAAGAGTCTAGAAAATAGCCTGGAGGTCCTGAAGCCAACCCCAGAATTTTACAGATGAGGAAACTGAAGTCCCAAGAAGACACGTGGCTGTCCAAGCTCACAGAGGTAGTGAGAGCTGAAATCTAAGGTGCCTGATTCCCAGCCCAGTGTACCCTGCTGCCCCCTAAAAGTCAAAATGAAAGTTCACTTTTTGTTCCACAAACAGCCCATGCTCATTATAGAAAATCAGAGAACACGGGTCAACAAAAACTTTAAAACCATCCTTAGTCTAAGCCCTGGAGATAATAACTGTTGATGACATAGTTTCATGTTTTTTTTCTGAAAGCATGTGTTTGATAATGTCCTAAAATGGGGATGGAATGTAGATACCTTTTATAACATTCATAACCAATATTATATATTCAATATAATATTGAATATCATAGTCATTACATTTTCCAGCCTGATTTTATGGCTACATAGTGTCCCACAATTTACACAGTAATTCCCTCCTTTAGACATTGATATTGTTGCCAGTGTTTCACCCTGTGACTAGCCTTCATCATTGCCTTCCTGGGTGGTTACACAACTTTAGATTCCCACCATACACTTTGAAAAAAATCCATAAATTTGATTTTATAGGGGTGGGTAGATGGCATTGAAAGACGTGGAAGAAAGACGTTCTTTTGGTAGCAACTCTTACCAATGTCTGTTATTTTTTTAAGATTTATTTATACAAGAACTGGGGTACAGGCCAGAGCCATGGAGGGTGAGAAGATTCACCAGAGACAGAATGGGGAGCAGAACAGGCAGACAGACAGAAAACTGCTGAGGGGAGCAGCGGGCGTGACCAGAGAGGTCTGCTGTGCCATGTGGGTCTCTCCCTTGCCAGCCAGAAATTGGATCCGCGCTACAGAGGCTGCGGGCAGCTTCACAGCGCTGCGCTCAATCCTCTGTGCCAGGAGGGAGGCCCACCAAGGTCTATCTTTGATGCTGTTCCCTTTTCTTCAGCAACTTGACTTTCAAAATGACTGGAAGCTCATCAATGTGTTCTTCAGTAATGCCAGCCGGTGTCAGCTGTGTGCCCCTGCCCAACAGGTAAATGCAGACTGGGAGGGAGAGGGGTCGCAACACTGGGGAGGGAGCATGGAGCCACCTTCTTGACACCTGTCAGGCTGGGGCACTGCTCCTGAAGTAAGGCAAATAGAGGTATTGAAGGCTCGAGAAACCACATACAGGGACAGGTGTTTCTAATTTGCCAGCCTGCATTCAGAAAAAGGAAATGTGCAGATAAGCTGTGTCAACAATCATTCTACTACTGAGCAAAGCCAATGTCCAAATAAACATCACTTTACCTCATTTAACTCTGATCTCACTTAGGCACTGAATGTAAGAATCCAGCAAGATGTGTGCTCCTCTCAGCCCTTTGGAGTTTTGTTCACCATGAGCTCTGACGAGACCCCTGTGGTCTTTGTAGCAAGCTGTGCCTCCTAGACTCTGGCTTTCCTGGGAACAGGACCTAAAGCACATTGCTTTGCTTTTTTATGTGGCTATCTGTGACTTACATCTTTTTTTTTTTTGCCATTAAACTGATCATTTCTACTTAAGAAATTTCTGTTTTAAGAGAGATAATGACAAACTAGAATCTGTCCATGGAAAAACCAGGATAATGAAATTTCTAGAAATTATCTTAGATGAAATAGTTGAAGAATTCAACTACCTATTTATTGAACAAAAGCAGAGTAAATGAACAAGGGGATGTTTTGATCTGAAGATAAACAGCTTCAAACGTTCAGAAAACTATTACACACACACACACACACACACATATTCTCACACTCACACTTTAGTACTTTTCCAAACAACAGAACTTGAACCAGAACTTGACACATCTTTACTGAAGAGTGTCCAAGTGAAGACCAGTTGGAAGTTCAGGGTGGCTCAGCCATCTAGACCATGTGACATAAATGCCACGAGACTTTTCCGGAAAATGAATTCTGGTGGCCACCACACTAGTCCTGCCACTTGTGATGGCCCAATTCTCTGCCCACTGTCCTCTCAGCACCTCCACCAGGCCAAGGCACAGGCATGGGTGACGTTTCTTGACATGTGGTCTGTCCTCTCTTCTGTGACCCCTCCCACAACCTGTACTCCTGTCTTCCTCCCAACACCCATGCCCCACTGACTCCTGGCACACTGTCAGCCCTCCCCTCCCCGCCCCCACCTTAGCGACATTGGGCCCCGGAGAATACTGACTGAGGCCTGCCGCCCCTCGCCAGCTCTTGCTGAACAACATTCCCACAGGAGCTCCTGGGTTGGCAGCATTTAGATCTTAAAGGTTTGTTGCTCTATTTAACCCTCTACTTCCTCCCATGCCAAGTGCAATTTCCATGTCCTGTTTTATTCTCTTCCTCCCTCGTGGGTCATTACGCACACCAGCATTTTTGGGCGAATTGAGGATTCATGCATTGACATGCTAAAGCATGCATTTGGGCATTGCTGCATTCCTCTCTACAGCCTCTTGTCCATCCGTCCATATTCCTGTGTAAATTCATTCTCTTCTTCATACACAGGCACATGCTGCTCTCTTTAGGATGAGTTTGTTCATGCTTGAGTGTGCTTCATTTTTTTTTTAATATTTGAATGCAATCATTGATGCTTATACTCATTCATCATTTCTTCCATATACTTGTGCTACCTTCAAGCTTTCCTAGGGTAATTTTGCATTCTTTCATGGCATTTATGTCATCGAGCATTCTTGCTACAGAGTGCGCATGCCTGTGTGCATTCATCCATTTGTGCATTATTTACTTTTGTTAATTTTTAGGTACACAAGCTGTGCACAAATGCTTCCTCCTCCCAAGAAAAAAAAAAACAAAAACATTGCAGTTAAAGCTAAAATATCCTTTGGCCACCAGCCACAATCCACTCCCTCTTATTTCTAAACTTTTTACATATCTATGAATCCTAGTATTATTTTGCATGTGTGTGTGAGAGAATGAGAGATTTAATGTAAATAGCATTTGTAATTATTGAGCAATTATCTTCACTAACCAAGTATTTTTGCGAGTTAGTCATGTCGATACGTATGGACTGAGTTTATTCATACTTAGAATCGCACACCTTTAATTTGTAAACATATGACAGAAGTAATTATGCCTTGCTTCTAGTTTCTAAGTGGCTATAAGCCAGTGACTTGATTCCATAAATTTACTTCATTGTAACAATGCTATGAGCATCCACTCAGGTTTGCTCTTTAATGCCTTTTTCTTCCATCTTGATTTTCCTTTTGTACAAGCCCCACCAGGCTTTGGAGCCTGGACTGAACCCCACTTCCTTCTTTTCCCCACTCCTAGGCCTCCTCTCTTGGCTGCCTGGGCCCTTCCTTCTCTTCCCTCTGCTCCTCCACACACTCTGGACCCAGACTTGCCTTTTACCTGTAGCGTCTCTGGTGGCATCTTGGCCACCGCGCCCTCTGCTCCTCCCCCGGGAATAGCCCCACACCCCACTGGAGTTCTTACACTGCATTTTTATCCCTAAAACACACCCCAGGCATGGTCTGTCCCTCAGGGTTGTTCTGAAGACCCCAGGGGCCTCGGGAGGAGCCTCTGAGGGCAAAGGCAAGGCTGAGATGGGGGCTCCTGGTTTCCCCGACTTCCCAGGGCAACTCTGCCTGTGCCTGTGTCATATGTCAAGTTGTCACATGAGATCAAGGTGTCTTACTGTTAAGGGGAAATGTTAAAGTCCTGTCCTGGTCTGCTCAGAACCTGGAATTCTGAAGAGAACTTTGGCTTCTTTCAAGGGGAATAGGTAAGGGCCTGGATTTGCTCATTAAGGGTGTCTTAGGGCCAGAGTCCTGCCAGAGCAAGCTCGTGCTCTCCCCTTGGCGGGAACAGTGCTCCCTTGCGGCTGCTTGGTGGGTCCAGCTGCTCTGGGGTAGAAGCTTCAGAAGTGGACAGTAAACTGGGTCATAGCAGTGATGCTGGGACGCCAAAATCTAGTTTTATTCACAAGATCAAAAATAAGCTAAAAGAAAAGACAAAAATGAAGGAAAAAAACCCAAAATGTATCACACTGCAAGAAATGCACACGTTTATTCACTGCAAATGCTTAGAAATGGGCATCAACATTTTGGAAGGTAGACAGGCAATAGGATGCAAGAAATGGAGATAGGTCTCTTTTGGCTAACTGAACCCACTTCCTTGGGGATAAAACCCAAGGAAATAATTTATTAGAAAAAGTTAAACCTGGCCTTAGCACATCATTGACACAGAGCTTCCTTCTAAGTCTGGGGGCAGAAGATTCAATAGAAACGTGCAAGTTTATTTAGACAAAAATTTTTCCTGACTTTGGGTTCAAGGAGTTTATTTTGTATGACCTTATAAGCAGGGACATCGTACTGGGGTGGCATCTTCCCCTAGAGTTAGTGCCCTAAGTGACAACCATTCAGTACCTGAAATGCCTGGGTGGCCCATTTCATCTGCAGCCCTGAATAAGCAGAGTCTCTAAAGGCAAGGTTCACCCTCAGAGGAGAACCACATGGGGCTCCCCCATTTCCCTGGGAATGCTGGATGCCCCAAATGCGGTACAGACCAGGAATAGACACTCTCCTCTTCACAAGAGAAAGTGTGAAGCTTAGTGTCAACCTCAGGGAGCGACACAGCTGGACAGAGGCTGTGGTCACTACTGCGACAGCGGGCAGAGTCGGCTTCCAGAGGGCGAAACAGGCACGGAGACAGGGGCCGGGGCTGCCCTCCCGCAGTCCCAGCGCTGTGACTGGCAGCTGTCTCCAGTCACTGCTTGTGTCCCCTGGGGAAAGAAACAACTTCCAGACCTTAAGGTCGGAGCCAAGACCCTTCAGGGGACAGCCAGCCAGTTCGCAGGCAGGTTAGGAGTTTGTAGTTGTTGTAAAGTTGTTGTTGTTGTTGTTGTTTTACCCTGAAAAGTTAAACCGAGAGCTTTGAAGTACACTCGCATTTGTTTTCATCATCTACAAGGCATCGGCTGGGTGGCAGCTGTTCTTAAGCATCAGTGACAGGAGCCCTGTTCTCACGTGGGGCGAGGGTGTCGGGAGAGGTTAGAGCACCAGGCAGAAGCTTTGAGGTACATCTGCCTCCTTAGATCCAGGTGTCATTGTGTTCCCCTTTGAACCTGACTCCTTCAGATAAAAGCTATTCCGTTTGCCTTTGGGAGACCGTCTGCCCTCCCAGCCCTCTCTGTGAGCTCTAGCCCTGACCTCCATTTGTACTTCCCTGAGATGAACTTTTCATTTGTGGGAGTTCAGTTTTTCCTGGTGAATGACAGATCGGGGAAATTAGAGAAGGAGAAAGCAGAAAGACCTGGAGGCTCTGGGAGCGCGACACTTTGTGGGAAACAGGTCTAGAGCCAACCTTTGTCGCCATCTTCTCGACCAAGGGCAGGCGTTGGGGAGGGAAGGCGCAGGCTGGCTGTGAGCCTGGGCGTCCTTGCTCCTGCTCCCCCATCCCCACCTGGCTCAGCACATTTCTCCTCTCACAGCAGAGTTTCGTGTCAGATGCCATGGACAAGCTGACTGAAACCCTGGACTACCTGTACCGTGAGGTAAAGCTTGTGGGTCCCCAGTGACGGAGGACCACATCCTGGGAGTGTCCCTGTGGGTGCCTTCGGGAGCCAGGAGGAAGCTGCCCTGTCCAGGATTTGTGGGGCGGGCTCTGGCTCACTCTCAAATGGCCTCCACTGGGATGGGGGGACGGGACTCCTAGGGGGGAAATGGAGACCCTAGGGCAAGAGAAAACTCAGGAAAAGCCAGTCGCTTTTCCCTTTGTGAGAACACAGGCTGTGTATGAAACGCTTTCCTCTTGCCCAGGTCATTTCTGACAGAGACTTCTGGGAAGGAAGGGGGAATATAGTCCTTGCTGAGGTCTGAGTGACCCCACTCCTTCCTGAGATCTGACTGAGTCTGGGGCAGTGACAGCCTGGAGAGGCCTCGAGGACTTTCTTGACCATGATGAGTGCCTCAGGTTCTGGGAATCCCAGGGAGCTCTGTGGCTCTCACTGCACTCCTTTTACCCCTGGAGGGCGACTTTCGGTCAGGAAGGCTCTGTAGCCTGTCGCTAGCATGGTGGGGGCTCTGTCCAAAGTGAGGGTGTGATGACACTGCTGGAGTGCGCAGCTGGCATCGCTGCGCTCACCCCAACCAAGCATCTCCCAAGAGGGTCTGCCTGTCATGCCCACCCAGAGCCCAGAACCCAAACCGGGCTCAAGCCAGGGGCCCCAGAGCAGCCCCTGGGCAGTGGGGGTGACTTACAAATGATGTCCTTCTCCTGTGCATCCTCCTAGGTGCCCAAAGCATTTGTGAACCTGGTGGATTTCTCTGAGGTTTTGTGGGATTCTTCCTTGTATCTGGGGCCTCAGCTCAGGTAAAAAGGGCCATGGAAAGGGACCAGCATTTTCTGTGTGGCTGCCGTGTGCCAGGTGCCATGGGGATGACTCCTTCACATACGTGAACCCAGTGAGGACAGCCAGGAGGGTAGCAGGAAGGAAGCCATGTGTGCACCCAGCCGGTGATGTGGGGCGGCTGGAGGCAGCCTCTGTCAAGTCTCAGTCTGGTGGATGTGGTTCTGGGTGCCCCTACCCCCACCAAAATCATTCAAGAGTTTAAAAAAAAAAAAAAAGCTTTAGCAAAACATCCACATGCCAAGAAGTGTTACTTCTGGAAATTGGAAAGACAAATAATTAAGCCTAAAAATATTTTATCTTCACAGAATTTGATTCCTACATATTTACAAATTTTTCATAGAATTTAAACCCTGTGAACCCAAGAAACCTTAACATTTCTGACTTCGCACCCAGAGAAGTTCATGTGGGAAGTCAGGACAGATGGGTCCGGGTAAGAGAGGACGAGCTGAGGGAAAGCGGGGTTTGCAGAGCAAGCAAGAGAAAGGGGCACAAGATAGGGGAGAAAGAACTGGGGGTGGGTTCTGGTGTGGGGAGCCACAAGAGGAGGCAGTGTGTGGGGAGACAGAGGGGGCGGGAGCGCCTCTCCACATCCCTTGCCCACACTAGAGAAGGAAAGGATGGCGGGGAACCAGATCTATTCTCCCGCCATTTGCTTCCTTCCTTCTCCTTCCCCCTCCAAGACTTCCAGCTTCTCCCTCCCCACAGCCTACGCCACTCCCAGGTCTCCTGGCCCCTGTGTCTCCCAGGAGGCAGCCTGCATGGCTCACACCGCCTCAAAGAGCTCACTTCCCCCTTGCTCTAACCCGCAGCCCTGAAGCAGAGTCCTGCGGGTGCTCAGTGGAGACCTCGGTGCTGTCCAGGGCTGTGACGCAGTGGACCTATCAGGTCTGGGCGATGGGGCGCTGGCTCACAGGCGAGGGGCCTCGTGGAGGAGATCAGGGGTGGGAGGAGCAATTAGGAACCAAGTTGGGTCCTGTGGGACGTCCCCAGGGGAATTCGGGAACAAGTAGGGGCCATGTTTGGGGGTGTAAGACTCTGCCAGTGGAATTCAGGCACCAAAGAGGGTACTTCCTGGTGATGATGCATATTCCTGTATGTAAAATGGGGATGGCAATGCTGGGGGGCTGAGTAGTGATACTAAAGGTAAAAGATGATGAAGAACTCTGGAAAGGCTGAAAAGCCTTTGATCATCATCCCAGCTTGTGCCACTATGGCCTGTGACTGGTGAGCTGGTTTTGTCCAGCCTAGGCTCGGTCCCCAGACTACAGCCCCAGGTCAAGTCAGGCCTCTTGAAGATGTGCTTTCCAGTTTAGGGAGGAGACCCCAGGGGAGTGTGAATGGTTCAGAGGAAGCTATTGTCTCTGTCAGCACCCAGCTCAAAGCTCAGTTCCTACTGACAGATGTTAACATGATGATTTTAGTTTAAGAAAAAAGTTACACATCAACCTGCGTGGCACTTCTCTCACTCTGAAAATGAGGGCCTTCTGAGTAATTAATGGAAAATCCCTCCACAAGACTTTGCCCTTGAGAGAACATGGGCTCTAGCCTAGTGCTGGCCTGGTCTATGTTAATACTTGAGCTTCTAGAAAATATATTTTGGGCCTGTGTCTGTATTACCAGCTGCGTCAGAAGAAAACGAAAACTGAATTTAGTTCATCCAGGGACCCTGAGGTGCGAGATGAGAGCTCCAGAAGAGCACTGAATTCAGAACAGCCTGGTGTGCTGGGTGGTTGTGAGGTGGGTGGGGGTGGGGGGGCGCCGAGCTCCCTGGCCAGGCCGGGCTAGCTGCCCCACCGGTGTTCCTGGCTGCACGCCTCTCTCCCTTCTTCAGGAAGCCTGGCATCACCTCCTGGCCTCCAGCAGGTACAATGAGCAAGACTCCTTCGCCCTGGTCTTCCAGCCGTTCTTCTATGAGGCAGACCTGACCCCCCTCTGGGTGAGTGCAGGGGCCCTGAGGAGCCTGGCCACACACCCTCCCTCTCCCACTCACCTCTGCTGAGGCCCGGATCCAGGGGGTCTCACCAAGTCTAGGGTGTGCAGTCTCAGGAAAGTACCGCAATGGTCTCCTACATTCTTGTACAGTTTCCCCATGGGGCTGGAGAGCCCTTGGGGCCAGAGCCCTGGAGGTAAAGAGCTGGGGCTCCAGTCAGAGGGCTCTTGGCTCTGGAGGAGGCCAGCGTGTTCCCTCAGGCAGGTGCTTCAGCTCTCCGTGCCTGGCTCGGCCAGCATCTGTGAAGTCAGGGCCCTCGTTCCTATTCCCTCCCTCTAGCGTGGGGGTCAGGATGGTCAGCAAATAACTCAGAACCACCCCCCCCCCAGCTACTGTCATTCCTGAGGGGAAAATTTGTCAAGTACCACATCTCACCTCTAGTTTCTCCTCCCTTTCCCCGGCACCTTCCTCTCCATCCATCCCTGGAAGGTTTGAGCTGTGCCTGTGCCCCATCTCTGCAGGTCACTCGGCAAACACCCCTTGCCCAGTGGGCCAGCCCACCAGCACCCCCTGGGGTCCATGTGTGCTCAGCAAGTTCTCAGTGGTGCCCCAGGGTTTCATCGGACACTTGCCCTCCCTCCCAGCTCCTGGGAGGCCTCCAGACCTCACCTGTGATAAAATAGAGGCTTAAAGGGAGGAGAAGGAATGTAAGTTCCTAGCACCGCTCCCCCCTATTGAGACAGTCACCCACACAACCCAGCCACCACTCCTGTTGACTCATGTGGAGCACTCCGCAACCGCAAGGAGGAGCCGGACCTACTCCAGGGTAGTGGCCCTGTAGGTACCCACCATTATGGATGGGGGAGGGCAGAGAGAAAGCACTTGGAAGAGACAAAGCCACCCCATCTCTGACAGAGCTACAAAGTATGTGGCAGGTCCCCCCACCTTGGGGGCCAGCAGCGGTTCTTATTGGTTCTCTTTCAGGAGAAACGGCCACTGCAGGATCCCACCACACTGGCCTTGCATCTCTGGGATAATATGGTGAGCGACTGGGGGTGCTGGGAGGTGACTGTGCCATCCTGGGGGCATTGGCCTGCAGAAGGGGATGGTGAGGGCTTCACTACCACGTCTACTCTGCCCACTGCTTCAACAGGGGCCTGCAGGACACCAGCAGGATTCCAGAATGGAGATACAGGTTCCCCCGGGACCCCACCCATATGCTGGGATGGCCCAGCTCTGACATCCTGGCAGTTCCACCTTCTCATCTAGGGCAGAGCTGCCGTCTCGCCAGTGAGCCAGACTCTGGGTGCAGCAGCCTCAGTCCTGTTCCTCTAGAAGGCAGGGAATTTCCTCAGAGTCCACATGGAAGGCTTCATGTGAAGTGGGCACTGGGGGGTGGGCTCATGTTGCGATTCTGGTCCAGCTTACAGGCCATCGTGTGCTTTCAAAGGCCCAGGGTGGTGCTGGGGATAAGCCTGGACTTTAGAGAGATGAAAACCTGGATCAAATCCTAATTCTGCTTCTCATAAGCTGCAGGCGCTTAGGTCTCAACTCCCTCTTTGCAAAACCCAGCTCATAACTTTTTTTTTTTTTTTTAGAGGCATGCTTTTTTTTTATTTATTTGTTTGCTGGTTTGTTTGTTTGTTTTTGTTATACATGCACTGGGTACAGTCAGAAGCGCGGGAGGGTGAGAGAATTCACCAGAGCCAGAGCGGGGAACAGAGCAGGCAGAAGGACCGAAGTACACTGCTGAGGGGAGCAGCGGGCGGCAGGAGAGGTCTGCGCGCCCTGTGGGACCCTCCTCCGGTGGCCGGGGAGAAGCCGGGGATCGAACAGGCGCCGCAGAGGCCGCGGGCAGCTTCGCAACCCAGCGCTCAACCACTGCGCCACTGGGGAGGCCCCCAGCTCATAACCTTTGACCCTACATGTCAACTGTGTAGCTCACTCCTAGCCTATAGTAAGTACCCCACACATGACAACTCTTTTTACTAGAAATATGACAGGCTTTCCCCAGGCCTCCAGGCGCCCTCCAGACTATTTGGGATTACTCAGTCATGGAATTGTGACTTTCCAGGGCACCAGACAGACCTGATTTTGCCATTTATTTTTTTCCCATCCAAGCTGCCCTATTTTTAGAATTCCAGTGACAGAAACTTGTTTTTTTTTTTCTAAATTTCTTTCTCTTCAACTGGTGTGCTGAGCTGAGCTCGGTGAGCAGCTGTGTTTGAGTGTGAGTTAGTAACACAGTGGGTAAGGAGGAGGGGCCGGTGACTGGCCTCAGGCAGCCCATGCCAACAGAACCAGCACCCTCTGGAGAGGCACCCCATTTCCTTAACAAAGGGCCCCTGCAGTGGGCCTGGCTGCCGGACCCCTCTTTTTATCATCTAAGTGGCGATGATCCCCCATCCCTCATTTCTGAATTCTGGACATTCTAGTCATACGGGGACTGTGCCATGTCGCTCTGTGCCCCTATTAATGACTCTGGCAGATCCAGGACCTGTCACTTGGCCCCCTCACAATGGTGCAAGCTGCCTCCCGTGACAGGGTTGCATTCCCTCTTGGACGTGGACACAAGGGACGCATGAGGAGAGGCCTCTGCTTTACACGAGAAATCTGTGCTTGCCCCTCCTTCCTATTCTGACTCTTCTCCCAGGGAAATTTAATTAGTGAGCTGGCCAGAAGCTGGGCAGCAAGGAGGGGCAAGAGAAGCCAACTGAAGAAAGTACCTGGATGACCCAGGAGCAGTATGACCCACTGAGAGGCTCTCAGTGGGATCCAGAAACCAATGACCTCATCCCAGCTCAGCATCTCCACGGTCCCTTTCTCCTGTTAAATCAGGGGGTGGACTAGGATGCAGAGGCCCCTTGGGTAGGCAGCAGAATCCCCCCAAGGGGAAGGCCACTTACAATGCAGAGAATTCGGATCCCAGTCCAGAATTTCTGACTCGATAGGTTGTGGGATGGAGGCAGTGTGATGCGGAGGCCCCCTGGCCAGGGTCAGGCTTGGAGAACACCACACTAACGTGATGTCTTAGTGGTACCCTGAAATGCTGCCACCTGTGCAAACTTCTCAACTTCCTTCCCAGATGAAGCCCGTGGAAGAGAAAGATGAGACACTGAGTACAAGAGAGCAGAACACTGTGAAATGTCCCCCTCAGGTAAGCAAGAACTGGGGAGGGGAAGGGAGTCTCTTGCTGAACGGGGCAGAGAGGTGGCGTCACCAAGAGAGATTTTCTGTGAAGCGGGGTCTTTCCAGACCTGAGATATTAGCCCCCTTAGACTCCTGCCTGGGTCTGTTCTTCTGATCCTGTGTACTTGACACACCTAAGGTTCACCCCTGGGGGTCAGGAGAGCCGCCGTTGCAGAACCAGGGTCTCTGGCCATCTGTGGAGGGCATCGGAACAGAAGCCCCAGCCCCCAGCCCACCTGGCCTGGAATGTGAATAGTGGCGTCTTAACTATGTGTCTGACGTGCAGCAGGTATAGAATTGATGTTATTGAAGAAACAAATAAGAAAATAACAAATGAGGAAATTCCTTTTATAATTTAATGCTAGTCAAATTTTTTACCTTAATGAATTGGTAAGATTTTTTTGTGACTAGACTATAAGAACTCTATAATTCATCCTGTTTTCCTCTTTGTTCTGACTACCAGGAAGCTTCCAATTAAGCTCTTTTCATAGAAATATGTTACTTTGACTGGTTGTGTGAGTCTCCAGGTAAAGAGCAAGAGGTGCTCAGAGAGAGCTTTCACATCCAGCGATACTGCTGAATGATAAAGCCTGAAGATAGGGGGTACAGTCATGATTAACGACACACTGCTCTTCTCTGCAGGAGTACCCCTATCTGTTCACCTACAGGAACAGTGACTACCCACCCAGGTTGCTACCATTCAACAAGACACTTGAGGTATGGAGAGGTTTTCTGGGACCTGACCAGCATTCAAATTAACGAGGGCCCCTGCCTAGTGCAGAGTCTCTGGAAGCTTCTGTGTGGCTCTTTATGCCCCAGAACCCATGGGTGGGCCAGGAAGGTGAAGGATGCCCCATAAGTCTCTACAAAAGCCTCAGCACCCAGCAACCTGTGGGCTCACGGAGTACGTTGGGGTGCTCAGCACTTCCTGATTTCCATTTGTTTTGATGTGAGACAAGATTCTGCAGGCCCTCCCTAAATCTGACAAGACCCCTGAAACTCAGCAGAGCCTTTAATCTGAAGGGAAAGTTCAGAAAGGTGGAGAGGTGTAGGGAAGTCTGGACGCAGACAGTGTAGTGACACAGAGGCCTCAGAAGTTGGTACATGCCTGCAGGGGCCAGCTCACATGTCCCCACATCCGGCTTGTTCCTTATTTCCCGAGTCTTTCCTGATTCTTCCTGTGAAGGCTGGAGAGGGCAGCCTGCATTCCTCGGAAGAACCAAGAAACAGTGCAAGGCTGACATCCTCATTCTCGAAAACCAGAGACCAGTTATGGTCGAGAGTTGAAACTAATTGGGTCCTGGCACATCCCCACCCCCCTGCTGTATACAAGGGTGAGGTGTGAGTCAGGTGGCGGAGGCCAGCTGATGACCTGGACCCTATCACCAGAAACACAGCATGGAACACTCGATTTGTCAACTTGTTCCACACTCTCAGACTAATATATCACCAGTGAGGATACACCTGGCAGGCAGCATGACACAGGGAGGTGAGAGAAAAGGCTCTGGGTTCAAATCCAGGCTCTTCTACTTATAGGCTCTGTGTCAGGTGTTGCTATTAATTTCACCTGATAAGAAGGGATGGTACATTCCTACAGGGTACAGTCACTGAATACCTGCTCTGTGCAAGTAGAATGGAGACTCACTGAAGGCAGGGGCTCAGACCAGGTACTCAATCACTATTTGTTGAATGACCAACTGTTTGGATGGGCAGATATCAGGCATAAGATGTTAAAAAAAATTAAAAATACATTGCTCGTATCAAGGACCTCTTTCTAGTGAGTGATAAGTACTCACCAATAAGCACTGTGATGGAAGTTCCCATGGGTGTTGTAGGAACACAGGAGAAAAGCTGAGAGGAAATTGAAGAAGTCTTCTTCACAAAGATACTCATGACCTCAGCCTTGAAGGATGACTAAGGCTGAGCCGGGTGGAGGGAAGTGGAGGGAAGGGAAGGGGGCAAGTGAGCATGTTGGTGAGTGCATGGGCAGAGACGTGGAGCGCCTAAGATCTGGGCCAAGGACTGAGCATATATGAGCAACTCTTATGCCATGCTAAGGGGGTGGGACTTTATGCGATGTTTACACAGTAGAAATTTTTTCAACAAAGAAATATTTGTTAAGCATCTACTGTGTGCTATTCTGGACTCTGGGGATGCAACAATACACAGATGAAACCACCTGTTTTCACTGGGAATTTGGGCCAGGGAGTGACATGGTTAAATTACACTGAGGGAGGGAGACCTGGTTGAATGGGTTCAGAAGGCTGGGGAAGAAGCCCACGAGACAGAGGTGGTGACGCTGTGAGTACTGCAGTAGTCCAGGCAAGAAATAACAAACATCCACACGCAGGCCAAGGTCCAGGGACGAGCAAAGAGATCTCAGGCTTGGGAGCATTTGGAAAGGATGTCGTAGACCCTCTGGCATGTTGAATGAGAGGGAGAAATCTTAAAAAATTGACATTAAGTTTCTATGTTAAGTGGTATTTTCCATAATAGAGGTCTCATTTATTACTGAATTTCCTACGTTGCAAGATCTGTTTTTTCTTATTGTTCTGTGTGTCTCATTTCAGCAAGAAGAGGGAGTACAACTCGAGTGTCACGACAGGAATCCCTCCAGGGATGTCCCCACATCAGGTATATGACTTGAGTCAAGTGACTTTTAACTCATTTGAAACTAAAATCACCAAAATAAGGGTCACTCCACATGACAGGTATGACAGGTATTTCCCACCATCTGAGATACACCTGGGAGGTTTTTTCTAGGACAATGGAAATAACTGGATTTGTAGGTGCGTGCCTGTGTCTGTTTATTCTGTGACTGAAACATGATAGTGACGTCATTCTCAGATCATTTATTTTTTATTTTTTTTTTTAGAGGCATGTTATTATTTATTTATTTGTTTGTTTGTTTGTTTATACATGCACTGGGTACAGTCAGAAGCGCGGGAAGGTGAGAGAATTCACCAGAGCCAGAGCGGGAGCAGAGCAGGCAGAAGGACCGAAGTACACTGCTGAGGGGAGCAGCGGGCGGCAGGAGAGGTCTGCACGCCATGCGGGATCCTCCTCTGGTGGCCGGGGAGCAGCCGGGGATCGAACCGGCACCCCAGAGGCCGCGGGCAGCTTCACAACCCAGCGCTCAACCGCTGCGCCACCGGGGAGGCCCTCAGATCATTTATTGAACCTGAACTGCGGGCCACATTCTACATAAGAGCCCCGTGGTAGTCAAGTGAGTGGACTTCATGGTCCCTGCCTTCATGAGGTGAATTTTTTTCTTCCCAAATAAACCTACCTTTAAGCAAGAAGCAGAAGTAGTTCACGTCCCTGTCAGAGCCCAGCACAGAACGTTCTCAGACACGGCACAGAACAGCCAAACAAAGTTGGTTTAAGTTGTTGGGTTGCGCGAGACAGAACCCCCGAGTGCCAAATCTCTTCCTCTTTTTCGGTTGGCAGGATGGTTTCCCCAGTCACTGCTCTAGCCCAGCGCTTTCTGTTATTCATGATGTTTCATCCTAGTGTGGATGGCCTTCTGATGACAGACCCCCTCTGTAGAAATCTTGAATTAAATCTGTTTTTTGATTTCTTTCAAGGTGGTGGACAGTTTGTACTAGATGTTTAGTTTTTCAGCCCATATAAATTTAATCTTATCTCTATATAGTTCTTTTCCCAAGGAGAGCAACTGCTAAAATGCTTTGCTCTATCTCCAGGCTTATCTTTCGTCATCCATCATGATATTAACAAAGCCTATAGCAAGCCCCACAGAATGGGGAGTCAAGGAAATGCGCTGGACTCTGTCTTAATAACACTCCAGAGCAGTCACTCCTCCCACCGCATTATCTCTTAGAGGGAATCCTCCAGAATGACTAATAGGAGAAACCACCCCCTCCCCCCCAAAAAAAGTTTATCTACACACTCATAGCTGTAGATACCATGTGAGTGTGTGTGTGTCTTTCTGTCTCCTACAAACTTAGGAGACAGGAATGGCAGATTTCACCTGCCTTTTTAGCAAACTTTAATGTGCTTTGAAGGAAACCTATTCATGTCTTCCACATTTTATCAGCCCCTATGATTTCTCTAACCCCCGCCCACTAGCTAGTGTTCCCAGAATTCACTGTAATACACATTCTGGCAATGAGAATATGGTGGCGACTGTCATCACCAGGAGCTAAAATAGACCTCGAGTTTGAGGGGAGGAGCACTTATTTTCCATTTTGTTGCCTTGCCCCCCATTCCCACCCCCACAGCCTGATTTCTTTGAGAAGAGGTCATTTTTAAGTTGTCAGGCTCAGCCCCGGTGGATGTGTGCTAATGCACACAGCTGGCTTTATGATTTCATATTGTTCATCTAAGCACATATCCTTGGGCCCACCCCAAACCTTACTAAATCAGAAACCGTGAGGGCGGGGGTTGGGGGCAGCCATCTGTGTTTTAATGAGCTCTCCAGATGATTCTGGTGCATGCTCAGATTTGAGGACCAATAATCTATATATTTTGCACATACACATTTCACGACTATGAATGTGTTCATTGGTATGCTGTCCGAGGAAGAGGCAGGGACTTTTGCTTTTCTGATGAGAGCAAATCCTCAGTGGGAGTGGCAATTCCCCTTGTGCAAACAGCAAGGAAATCAGGTAGATGAGATGTCTCCATGGAGGACCCGGGCCTGCAGATTCCTTTGAACAGCTTTCCCTGGTTGAGTGCAGCTTTCCTATGTAGGAATCCCGATGCAGCTGTGACTTGACTGTGGATGGGTAACATGGGCCAGTTGTGCCAAAAGCAGCTCATTCTCTGTTTCACTGCATGTGTTGTAGAATGACTTTGCAAAGAAAAGCTGTTGAGAAAGTCTCCTTGCCGATGTGTTTTAGTTTATGCATCTTAAGCAAAGACCCATTAAAATAAATGCTGGGCTTCTTCCCCTGGGGGTTAGGCTCTCTGGGCACAGACTCTACAAGAGGCTTCTTCCTGGGCATGAAAGCTGCTTGATGGCGGTAGTAGTCTACCACTTGAGTAGCAGTCTCAAGTGCAACCTTGACATCTGAGAGGAGATGTCGCTGTGGCAGAGTCAAGGTGAGAATGAAAGTGAGATATGCTAGGGCGTTGGGGGGGTGGTGGTACTGGTGGACAGTGGGAGGTAAGCTTGCAATTTGAAGACCCAGAGCTATATATGGCCTAAGGAATTTTAGGGGAGTGCCCAAAATGCACTTGGATTCACTTGTGGCTGAGGTAAGGGGGTGGGTATGTGTATAGCACAGGTGTGTGAATGCAGGTGATAATAGCAATATTCACATTAGTCTCCGGATTTGTCACCAGACACAAAAGGCCTGTGACTCTAACCTTCCTTCCCAGTGTTATTTTATATTGGTCTTACTGTCCCCTCACATAGGCCAAATGGAGCAATGAGCTGTTTTATAGGCATCTCGTGCTTGGCCACACTGCACCCATCCTTTATGCTGCTCGCCATCATTTTGCCTCATCCCCCTTCATCCTCACTGCATCATATCCTGAGTTTCAGTCCAAACACTGTCTTCTCTAGGAAGCCTGCTCTAACCCCCTCTCAAGCCTTGCCCACACCCCAAGAGGTAAATCATCCCTCCAGCTCCAGAACTTCTTATCACTTTATACCCTTCATAGTGGTTTTCAGCCTGTAAATTACCATAACTAGGAATGTTTCTCACTGTCTCCTTAGCCTGAGAACATTTGGAGAGCAGTCTCCATTTCTGATCACTATGTGGTCCTCCAGAACATTCAGCCACAGCTAAGTGTTGAATATTTGTGATATGAGTCAATAGCAACTTTGATACATCCTTAAACTCAACATAAAAAAATAGTGTCAAACTGTGGAGAACAGTTTGATGGTTCCTCAAAAATCTAACATAGGATTATAATAAGATCCACCAATTCCACTCCTAGGAATATACCTAAAATAGTAGGAATTGGGCATTCAATTAAGTAATTGTACATGAATGTTCACTCATAGAATAATTCATAGTGACAAAAGATGTTCACAACCCCAAATGTTCATCAGTGGATGAATGGATAAACAAAATGTGGTTTGGCCATACAGTAGAATATTATTCAGCCATAAGAAACAAAGTATTGGCGCTGGCTATTATGTGGTGATCCTTGAAAATACGATGTAAAGTGAAAGAAGTCGGGCACAAATGGTCACAAGTCGTGTGATTCCATGTGTGTGAAATTGAGACGAGGTAAATCCATTGACAAAAAGCAGATTAATGGCTGCCAGGGAGAGAGGTAAGGATGGGGGGTGACTGGTTAATGAGTGCAGAGGTGATGAAAAGGTATTTGGAATGAAATAGAGGTAGTAATTGCACAGTATTCTGATTGTATTAAATGCCACTGAATTGTCAACGTTAAGATGATTAATTTTATGGTAAAGGTAAATGAACTTCACTTTCATTTTAAAAATGTGCTGGTATAAAAGCATTTCCCTTTTCACTCTGGAACAGAGCTGATTTTTTTTTACAAGGGGATATTTTGCCCCAAATATCACAGGTCCTGGAATAGATTTAAAATTAAATTTCCATTGTAATTCCCTCCTTACACCCACATCACATTGCCAGGGGCTATTTCATACTCTGAGGGAAACACCTTATGGTATCAGGTTTCACTAAACAGATTCCCCTCTTAAAGCCAGGTCTACCTTCAGCTCCTGAAACCATAGGCCCCAAAGGGTCAGGCAGTGGACCTCAAGTGGACATCAAGTTTTCAACATATTTGTTCAAGCGGAATTGCTGTTCGAAACAGGCTTTCCCTGAGAGAGTGTCACTTGTTTTCAAGGAGCTAGGAACCCTGGTCTTCCATTCACTGCTGCTTGTGTTCTCAGTTCACAGTCTGAGGCCTGCTGACATCAAAGTCATCGGAGCCCTGGGCGACTCTCTGACGGTGAGTTACCCCCACTGTTTTTAGAAAGGGGCAGAAGAGGGGCCTCTCTGGTGGTGCAGGCGGTTGAGTGCTGCGCCGTGAAGCTGCCCGTGGCCTCTGCAGCGCGGGTTTGATCCCTGCCGGCCAGCGAGAATCCCACATGGCGAAGCAGACCTCTCCTGTCTCGCCCACTGCTCCCCTCAGTCTTGTTTCATCAGTCTGCCTGTTCTATTCCCAGCTCTCTCTCCAGTGAATCCTCTCACCCTCCCATGCATCTAGCCTGTACCCTGGTTCTTGTATAAAAATAAATAAATCTTTAAAAAAGAGAGAGAGAGAGCGAGAAAAGGGGCAGAAGAGAAGCTGGAGAGAGATTTCACTCCCAGCTCTTCACTGCTGACACCTTCCGACTTGACCCCAGCCCCTCTCCACCCCCACCCCCCGCCTACCCTGGAATGAGCATTCCTGCCCTTCCTGGTCTTCTCACCCCCATTCAAACCTCTTTACTCCTCTCCCAGCACTGGGCAGTGGAGGGTACGTCTGTGATGGAGGTGACCAGTCCACCATAGTGGGGCAGAATTGAAAAGAATGACAACATGTTGCCTTTTGTGATGGTTCCCAACTTTTTTTAAAAATGAGGGAAAACAGGGCCCCAAAATGTGTCCCTTTGAAAATATGGACCCTGTCAGCTAAGTCTCAGAGTGCTTTTGCTAGCTGAGTGACACTTGACCTCTGCCCCGGCAGGGTTTCTCGGGGCCAGGCCAAGCTGTGGACAGTGCTCTCCCTTACAGCAAGATGTGGTACTGCCTAGACCCTGGATTCTAGAGGGTACCCAGGAGGCCTAGTCAGGACAAGACACAGACCTGCGGGATGGAGGTGGGCAGGCTGGCAGGGACACTCACTCCCTTGCTGTTCCCTTTCAGGCAGCGAATGGGGCCTCTGCTCAGGATATCCTTGGTCTGACGACTGAGTTTCGAGGTGTGTCCTGGAGGTGAGTGAGGGTATGGCCAGGTTCTAAAGATCTCTTTATTGCAGGACAGGGCTGATCCCTGAACATCATAGAAAACAATTCCTCAAGAAGAGGTGCTTATCAGCTTCCCCAAACCACTATATTCCCAACAGGGGCCCGAGACCTTACCAGAAGTGTGGAAGAAAAACTACCATAAATATTTGGGTTGGAAAAGTTTTTCTACTTTCCATTTTTTCCTCTGGGAAGCACTCTCAGGAGGGAGGCACTGGCCTCTGGAACCAGTTGTGTGTGAGCTCCAGCTGCCCAGTGCTGTGTAACCACAGGCAAGTTACTTAGCTTCTCTGAGCATGTGTCCTTGTCTTTAAAGCTGGGACAGTAATACTCCCTGAGCACTGTCGCAAGGATTGGAGAGAATCTAAGTACCCAGCATGGTACCTGACACTAAGTAGATATAAATGGTAGCTGGTATCATTATTAAACCATCTTTGTTTTATAGACACCAAAGCAAGGTTCAGAGAGGCCAAGTAACCTGTCCAAGGTCACACAGTCAGATGTTAAAAGAGCAAGAAGTAAAGCAAATTGTTCAGGCCCGTAATCATGTACTGCTGCTTGCAGGCTGGTTCTGTTCTGCTGAGGTCAAGCCCAGGCTGTCATAGCTGCAGTGAGCAGCGCTCCTGCTTAACCTCTGTGCTGTGAACTCTGGCTTGTGCCAAGCATTACACAGCAGTTTTTGTGATTGCTCAGTCTGGAATCTGGCACCTCTGCAGCAGCTTGAACCTAAGTGTTGACGCTCTTGCATGTCACGTGTCCTTGGCAGAAATTGAGGGACTGTGGGGAAGCAGGGAATCCAGTCAAGTCTGGAATGCTGTGCATTTTTATGCCTGGAAATCCATCCAGCTCTCGGGGATGGATTGACTTGAAAGAGGGGCTGCTCTCTAAAAGACAGCCTTTGAAAACAGACTCTCCCAAGACAAAGAGGAAAAAAAGTATGAGGGAAAACTTTTTTTATAATTGTGCTTTTAATAAAAATAATAAAGTACACAGGCCTGTGGTGGCCTGTGGGGTGGAGCTGCTGTGTCCTTTCGGAAGATAAGGGTAAGCGTTCCCGGCTTAGACGTAAAAGCGCCAAGTTGAAAACAAAAAACAGAAAAATCTGTCATGGCTTTAAAAATCAGCGTTTTGTTTGGATGTTCTGGTTTGTGGTATTCTGTGCTGTATTCTGTGTTTTTCAGTTTTTCTGTTAAAATAGGGAGGGAAGAACAAACCGAAGCCCAGGATGTCTCTCAGGAGGAGGAAGCTGGCGTGGTGGTGTGAGGGGCTTTGGTATGGCTGGCACGTGGAAACTTTCATTTTCTTTTTTGTTCTCCCAATACAGTATCGGCGGGGACAGGAGCCTGCAGGCGGTGGTCACCCTGCCCAGTGAGTAAGCGCGCCTGCGAGGCTGGGCGCCTCGAGGCCACCTGAGCGTTTCTGCAGCTCCCCCTGGTGGCGGCCGTGGGCGTGGCGGGGAGGCGGGAGAGGGTGTGAGTGGGTGCAGAGGGTGTGAGTGGGTGCAGAATGTGTGACTGCTTCCCGGAGGCACTTGCCCTGTTGGGCTTCCTGAGAATGAGGAAGGGGCTGCAGATTTTGTAAAAGAGAATGTATTTGTTCAAGGAACGAAGAAAGTAGGAGAGGGCAAAGAGCTCAGGCAAAATTTTGGTGCAGATCGATTAAGAAATGATTCAAGAATGAAGGAAAGGAGGGCCTCCCCGGTGGCGCAGCAGTTGAGCACTGGGTTGTGAAGCTGCCCGCGGCCTCTGCAGCGCCGGTTCGATCCCCGGCTGCTCCCCGGCCACCGGAGGAGGGTCCCGCTTGGCGCGCAGACCTCTCCTGCCGCCCGCTGCTCCCCTCAGCAGTGTACTTCGGTCCTTCTGCCTGCTCTGCTCCCCGCTCTGGCTCTGGTGAATTCTCCCACCCTCCCGTGCTTCTGACTGTACCCAGTGCATGTATAAACAAAACAAACAAACAAATAAATAAATAAAAGCATGCCTCTAAAAAAAAAAAAAAAAGAATGAAGGAAAGGAAACTCATCTCTTCTTGGCCTGTCATTCTGAGCAGAGCGCCTCTGAGGGAGGCACCCATCTAGCCATGGGCTGATGAGGCACTGCTGTGCAAAGACCAGGCTGCCCCTGAAGGGGCGATTGCAGCACTATGAGACCAGGCCATGCAAAAACAGCCATATTTGGGCTCAGTGTTTTATTTAAGTTATTTCACCAACGACCTACTTGGAATGACTTTTTAAATCCTTTTTTTGTTGAAGTTTCAGCAGTGCATCATTATAAATCAGTATCTGTGTATCCTACATTTAGTTCACCACAAAATTCCAATTTTTTAAAGCCTGACTATACTCTCTGAAGGACCTTGTCTTATTCATCTTTTATTCTGCTTCATGCATTCACATCCCAGTGCATGTTCTTAAAATGACACACATAAATATGTAAGTATGCAATAAATGTTTAAACTGAATTTTTTGCTCTTAAAATCTTCTGGCTAATAATTTTGCCTGAGAGGGATTTCATTTGTTCCATTTTCTTTTACTTTCTATATAGATCACCCTTTATAATCTACCTTTAGAGGTAAAGACTTATTAGAACTTTAAGTTACCAAGACTTTGATGATAGGGGCAACTTAATTTCCATGTTTGCAGAGCTAATTGGATTTCATATTTGTAACCTTGTTTTTGCTGTTTGCCAATCCTGTTGAATTTAGGTACAGTTCTGTGGCACAGCTACTCCCTATCTTCTAAGCTGATACAATAAATAAACTCCGCTATTGCTGGGTGCTGGCTTAGGATACTTTTGTGAATGTGACTGACTGGGCTATAAGCTAGCCTGGTATCTACAACAGCTTGCTGAGCTCTCTGATTCCTATTCTGTTATCATTCATAAGGTGATTAGAAATCATCTGGCTTAAGATATTTCACCAGAGTGATTTACAGTGTCACCCCTTAGCTGGACTCTCTGACACAATTAGTCCAGCGCTGGAACAGTGCCAGGTCAGATTATTCCGTACTAGAGATATGAAGACAGTTTGATTGTGGGATCTGGAAAAGCAGATCAGTGAGAAATAAATACATGGAAAAATATTAGTAAACTTAAGAGAAAGTAGAGTCAGGTGAGGATCTCAATCCAACTCCCTGTTCACTTTTATCCCATAAATATTTCCGTTCTGAGTGTTTGGGAAATAGAGGAATGATGCAAGCTCCCTGCCCTGACCAAAGTCTCTTTGAGGATGTCTTTCTAAAGACAGCCACATTACCAATAATTATAGCCATGTGCAAAATTTAGGAAAAATAAATAAAGCCTTCTGAAAGGGGCTTTAAGAATTAGATTTACTATTGTTAAAATGACAATAGTCCCCAAATTAATCTACTAATTGAATGTAATCACAACCAAATTCCAGCTGAGCACTTTACAGAAATGGACAGGTTGATCCTAAATTCACATGGAGATTTATGAGATCCTGCATAGCCAAAATAATCTTGAAAAAGACAAACAAATTCATAAAATTCTTTTCCCTGATTTTAAAACTTACTATAAAGCTAGAATAATTAAGACAGTGTGGCATCAGTATAAGGATGGGCATATAGACAAGTGGAACAAAAATGAGGAGTCCAGAAATAAACCATCTTTATGGTTAACTCATTTTCCACAAAAGTGCTAAGACCATTGGGAACTGTCTTTTCAATAAATGATCTGGGACAACTGGATCACCACATACAAAAGAATAAAATTAAACCCCTTCTCAAATATAAAGAAGTATTCAAAATGGAACATAAACCTAAATGTGAGAACTAAACCTATTTAGAAGAAAATAGAGGAGCAAATCTTTATGACCTCAGGCTCAACAAAGCCTCCTTAGATTCAATGCCAAATGTACCCACAACAGAAGAAAGAATACACTGGACAAAATGAAACACACGTGCTCTTCAAATACCCTATGAACTATTCATTTTACTTCCAACATAATTACTTCTTTGTATGAATATGTTCATAGCAATGTTATTTGTAATATACAGAAATTGGAAACTACTCAAATTTCTGTTAACATTGAAACAAAATATTGTTAAATGTTCAAATGATGGAAAATGTACAATTAAACTATTGTTACATTCGACGGCACAAATGAATTCTACAACACAATATTGAGCAAAGGAAACCAAATAAAAAGTCATATAAATCAATAAATCTACACAAAAATTTAAAAAACAGGCAAGACTAAAGCATGGAATTAAAAGTAGGGGTAAGGCATCTTGTGGGATTTAATGACTAGGAGAAAGCTCTAAAGTTTTTCTGAAGGTTCCAGAGATACTTTATTTCCTGGACTGAGCTCTTCTAGTTACCAAGCTGTGCTACCTTTGTGAAAACACTGAGTTAGAAAGTTGTAATTTATATACTACTCTGCACATATATTTCAAAAAACATTTCAAAGAATGAAGAAAGTGAAAAGACAACTCAGATTGGGAGAAAATATTTGCAAATCATATCTGACAAGAAACTTATATTTGGAAAACAGAATTCATATAACTCATTAATAAAAACTTAATATTTAATATCCCAGCTAAAAATGGGTGACGGCCACATTATGTACTTAACACCAGTAGACTGTACACTTAAAATGGTTAAGATGGTACATTTTATGTGCATTTTACCACAATTAAACACGAAAGAAAGGATCAAATAAACATTTCTCTAAAGAAGCTACACAAATGGTCAAAGAAGCACATGAAAAGATGCTCAACATTTGTAATTGTCAATGAAAATCAAACCACAATGAGATACTCTATTTTACATCCACGAGTAAGGTTATAAATAAAAAGACAGATAATAACAAAGGTTGGTGAGGCTATAGAGATTGAAACCCTCATGTGCTGCTGATGGAAATGTGAAATGGTGCAGCTGCTTTGGAAAACAGATTGTAAGTTCCTTAACACACCACTACCGTATGATCCAGCTATTCCACTCCTACATATAGACATCTGAGAGAAATCTACACCTAACTGTGCCTTGGTCACGTGCTTATGCAGAGTTCCTAAAAGCTTTTTTCATATAGCAAAAAGAACAACGAAAATGCCTATTTGCTCATACAGTATGTACATACAATGGAATATCACTTGGTAATAAAAAGGAATGGACTACTAAAACATACCACCACATGTGTGAACATTGAAAACATATTAAATAAAGGAAGCCAGCCAGAAAAGACATATGGGATTCCATCTCTATCTCTAGAAAAAGCAAATTTATAAAGGTCAGTAGTTGCCACAGATTTGGAAGGAATGGAGAGTGACTAAAATGAATATTAGGCGTTTGGGGGTGGGGTGGGGGGAGATGAAAATGTTGTAAAGTCGATTGTCGTGATGAAGCTATTAAACTATGCTTGAATGACTTTAGTAAATTTTATGGTATATGAATATATCCATAAAGCTATTAAATATTTAGAAATAAAGAAAAATGCAAGTGGGAAGCATTTGTTTCTCCAGCAAGAAGTCATGGAGCCCCAGTAGCGCTGCCCGTGTGGCTAAGCATCAGCTCTCACTTTTCTTTCCAAGCAGTGAACACAGCGACGGGGAGGGCTACAGGGTAGAGGCTATACTTTGTCCCCAGTACCTGCGGGCACCCCTCAAAGGAACTTTTTTTTTTTTAAATAATAAATTTTATTTTTATATTCCCCCATACAATTGCAAAAGCCCCATTCTGACCCCAATCCTTCCCTTCCCGCCCCCCACCCCCAAAAAGTGTCTCTGGTTCATAGTTTTTTGTTGATTTTGATTTTCACTTTCTTATATTCATTTTCCTGGTCCCTTATTTAAGTTTTCTAGATTCCTGCTATGAGTGAGACCATCCGGTATTTTTCTTTTTCTTTTTGGCTTATTTCACTGAGCATGATCCCTTCCAGCGCCATCCATGTTGCTGCAAATTGCATGTGTTTATCTTTTTTGAATGCTGAGTAATATTCCATGGTGTATATGGACCACATCTTCTTGATCCAGTCATCTATTTTTGGGCATTTGGGTTGTTTCCAAAGCTTAGCTATTGTAAACAGTGCTGCTATAAACATAGGGGTGCAGGTGCTCTTTGGAATTGATGTTTCTGTGTCCTTTGGGTAAATACCTAGGAGTGGAATTGCTGGATCATATGGAAGCTCTATGTTTAGTAGGTCCAGAAATCTCCACACAGCTCTCCACAGTGGTTGGACCAGTTTGCACTCCCACCAACAGTGCAGAAGAGTTCCTTTTTCTCCACACCCTCGCCAACATTTGTTGTTGCTAGTTTTTTTAATATGTGCCATTCTCACTGGTGTGAGATGGTATCTCATGGTAGTTTTGATTTGCATTTCCCTGATGACAAGTGATGTTGAACATTTTTTCATATGTCTGTTGGCCATTTGCATTTCCTCTTCAGAGAAGTTTCTTTTTAGCTCTTCTGCCCATTTTTTGACTGGATTATTTTCTTTGTTGTTGCTGAGTCTCATGAGCTCTTTGCAGATTTTTGTGATCAGTCCTTTATCATTAGTGTTGGGTGCAAAAATGTTCTCCCAGTTGGTGGGGTTTCTCTTTGTTTTTGTTATTGTCTCTTTTGCTGTGCAGAAGCTCTTTAATTTGATGTAGTCCCAGCTGTTTATCTTCCTCAAAGGAACTTGAACCTGGAGATAGCTTTGGGGTAGTTACTAAGCATGTCTTCCTTGGGTTTCCAGACATCTTCCGAGAGTTCAACCATAAACTGAGGGGCTTCTCCATTGGCACTGGGAAGGAAAACTCCCCCACAGCCTTCCTAAACCAGGCTGTGTCAGGAGCCAAATCCACGTGAGTATGGCAAGCCACACAGGCATGCTGGGCACCTGGTGGGGGGCTTGGTCGAAATAGGTGTATGGTTGAAGGCTGGGGCCAGGCCTAGGACATGAGATGAGGACTCAAAGCTGACTGGGTAAGCTCTCTTGGTACATTTTATGTGCATTTTACCAGGCTCTAGGTGCACTTCACTCTGGTGCATCAGGTTCATGCTTTGAGCAAATGACTTTGCGTCATCTGAGTCTCATGAGTCCCAGTTGTGAGCACTGTGCTTGTCAAGACGCTCTCTCCATGTTGCTTTTTCCCTCCCTTCCTCAGACATGCTTTTTAGGCAGACTTTTCAGATTCTAGAATTTGCAGCTTTCCTCTGTAATGGGTGAGGAGGGGAAGCTCTTGATTCTGAGACCTGATTTCCCCCTACACCCTGCCCCCATCTTAGCCTCATCTAAGCTTTGGTCTGACCGTGAGGCTCTCCCACGAGATAAGGTGAGCTCAGTGCCGTGTGAATGCAGAAGACCTGGCAAGCTGCAAATAGCACACAGGTTGCATCAGGGTGTTGCAGGATGTGCTGTATCAAGGTGCAGGGGATGCCAGTGGTGGGTCCCAGGCCGGCAACTCACTCTCTCCAAGATCCTGAAATCCTTTGGTTTTCCTGCCTTGTCAGAAAACGACTGAATCTTTTACTGGGATACCCCCAAATGTCAATTTATAGGGCTCTTGAGCTAGAATATTTCCCCAGGAAAACATTCTCCCTTCTTCTGATTGGTGTGGAAGTATGAGAGTGTGTGTGTGTGTGTGCATGCGCGCGTGTGTGCGCGCGTGCGCTACTCAACAGCTCTATGAGGAAGTCATCTTACAAAAGGAAAATCTGAGGATTTGCGAAGTTAGTACTTCATCAAGGTCTCTGAGTGGATGGTGGAACCAGGATTCAAACTCACACGGTCTGGCACCAACACCGGCTGTTACTACCCAGGGCTGCTTTGCCCATCTTAGTGACTGCCTCCAGTGACCCCCTAAGATACAGGTTTTCTCTCCATGTTGGCAGTATTTTGGGATGGAGAATATTGCTCCCATTCCCAGGGATAGCAGAAGGCAGCCAAGAGTCAAACCCTAGGGTGTCTGTGTGACTACCAGGTGAGCTTGGGAGCACAGGAGCTGGGGTGTTGACCCCCATGGAAATAAGCTCGGCCCAGCCATGCCTGGTTGGGAAGAGGAAGGAAAGCATGTAACCCAATATGCCAATGAGAAAGCACTCCTGTTCTCACCCCTTACTCCTCTCCAAAGAGGAATCCCAGCTCCCCCACCACGACCCTGTGGAGACTGAATGAGGAAGGGACTCTGGACAAGGACATGGACTTCAGGCCAACTTCCTTGCAGGAGGATTCGATTCCTGCTTGCTGCTAAGTCCCCGGCCCTTCTCAGATTCACAGTCCCTTCCTCTCAGCAACTCCTTCCTGTGTTTGTCCACAGGGGGCTAATGGCCCAGGCCAGGCAGCTGGTAACCCGGCTGAGGAATGACAAGGTGAGTCTGGGGAAGCCACTACTGGGGCTCACTCAAGATATGACTCCTTGGAACAGGGAATGGGCAGGAGAAATCCATGGAGGACAGGTAAGCTGTGGAGGGAAGAGGGCCACATGGAAGTCCAGAGATTCACCTTCAAAAAACATATATATGATTTTAGCACTGACAACCTTGGCCTATGACCTCAGGACTCCCAAACCAAAGAACTGAAAATGCTTACATCCACTAAGCCCTCTGGAATGACCCATCCCTGCTAATGTTCAGCACCTTTGTGTTTTCCTTAACTTCACTCAGCAGCAAAGCACTTACTTGTTCATATCCTATTCATTTCAGGATATAGATTTTCAACAAGATTGGAAGATAATAACCATATTTATAGGAGGCAATGATCTCTGTGCTTTCTGCAATGACCCGGTAGGTCTCCAGGCCTTAACTCAAGACCCTTCTCCCACCTTCCACCCCCACCAGGCAAGGGAAGTGTTTCCAGCCCAGGTTTTGGGGTGGTGCAGCTGGGTAGGGGCTTGTGCTTGGTGCTCATGATCCAGCTTGGCTGCAGCCTGGGATTAACTCCAAGGTTGAGAGGGCATTCACATCCAGGGAGAGATTTGACGGGACAGCAGGGCTGCTTGTGAAATTGATCCTGATTAGATTTTCTATTGGGGCCAAGATAATATGCCAATGGTCTAGAAAAATCTGGCGTGTCTTTGTAGATCATATCAAGTCGATGCCTTTCTCCACTGCTCACCTCCCTCACCATCTCCACGTCCGTGGCATCGCTCACTAGTATGGGATAGTTCATTTCCTAAGGCAGGCAGGTAGGCAGGATTCAGAGTGAAACAATATTCTGGCTGCTGACGTGGGGGTGTGGTGTCTCTTCCTGGGACCCCAGAATCTCTGAGCTGGAAGAAGAGTCACAAGCCCTACTGACATATCTCCTACCCAAGCAGGAATCCCTTACAGAGAATCTGTTGACTATGCCCAGAGATGGACAGTTGTTTGAAGGGCGAGGTGGCCTGAATTAGCATTACAAGCAGGTGTGGATTGTTCTGTGGTGTTTCCATCTGCCTGTTTTTAACTTTGCTGCTTCTGCTTCTGTTGGGTCTATCTGGGCCTCTTCCAACCTCAAATCAACTTTAAATCAAATTTAAAAATTTGTTTTTATTCTGTAAGCTATAATACATACAGGAAACACATCAAAGTGTAAGAAAAAAATATTCTCTGTAATTGCAACAACCAAAAATGCCATTGTTAATATTTTGGTAAATGTCACTGTAGCTTTTCTGTGAATTTGGAGAAATTATTATTTTTAAAAATAGTTTTCGGAAAATATTGATTGACTACCTGCTTTATTTCAAGCATACATTGGAAAGATACTCGCTTGTCAATGTTTACTGTTCTGTGTAAAATAATTCTTAGCAACTATATAGTCGTCCATAATAGATAATGGCCTTTATTTACCTTCCTGTTCCCAATTATTGGATACTTTGCTTCTAATTTTGCCTGGGTTTTTAACATTAATAATTTTAATTAATTTGATTGATTTGGGTATGTAATTAAGCTTACATTACTCTTAATTTTAACTATTATAAATAACACCTGGATTATATATTTTGGCCATTTTCTATTAAGGTAGTTATCTTTTTCCTATTGATTTGTAAAGCCCCCTTATATTAGTACTAACATTGCCTCTTTATTGTTTTCCATAAATTGCTAGTATTCTCCAATCAAGCATTTTTTTTTCCACCAGCGACATAACAGTATGGAGTGTTTTATTTCTAGCATGATTGACTAAGCTCATTGAAAGACAGGGCACTGTACTAGGAGCTAAGCAGGCAGATGGAACAGACTCCGTCCTCAAGAACACACACTGCCAGGGCAGGAGACACAGACGCATCACCAGATGCAGGACAAGGGCGGCCCAGGTGGTCCTAGGGGTGCACGCAGGGGAGAGGCGACTCTCCAGTCAGAGTTACCCCCGTAACTCGAGGGTGGGTGTCAAGGTTTCCACAAGGCAGGAGGTCCCGAGCTGGGACTGCCAGGACATTTGTCAGGCAGAAAGGGACCAGCGGATCCAAGTTCAGGGAGCAGTGATTCTGGCTGAAGCCTGGGGGCCTCTGCCCCCCCCACCCCATCTCACCCCAGCCCCTCAGCCTACCTTCCTGGCATCAAGGTCACCAGGGTTTCAACTGTGGTGTGACGGGCCACAATGGGGCCTTGGGGCTGAGAGGGAAGGTGTGTCTCACTCCCTGGGGCCCAGCCTTGACCTGGGCTAGAGCCGGGCTCTTGGTTGTGCTTCCTTCAGAGAAAGGATCTCAGGGCTTTTTAAAAAAGTTTTAAAACCACATTTATTGAGATCAGGAGAAATGACTCATAAAATGTAGTATTTATGCTTGGGGGAGGGGCTTTCACAGAACCCTCTTCCCTTCCCATTATCTTACCTAATTGGGTCAGAAGGTGGCCCCAGGCATGTGAGGCTCTAGGCAGAGATCAGATCACGGGGCAGGAAGACGTTCAAGCTGCAGAAGATCTGAGCACTTGTCTGCTCCAATACCCTGCTTTAGAGGAGCCCAGAAATGGGATGTGCCTTTCCTAATATGTAAGTGGGTCCAGAACTTTCTGTAGCTCCATGCAGAAGATAGGCTTACAACCATGCCTAGCCCAGAGACAGTGGGGTGGGTCTGGTGGGCCTTGAGGCCCCCAAGGCAAACCTCTGTTTTAATGTTGCCCACCCCGGCTGAAATACAGGAGGAGGGGACGCGAGAGGAAGTGGCCCTGATCTGCAGAGAGATTGGGTGATAAGTGGTGTTAGAGACATTTCCTCTTCCTGCAGCAATTTCATTCTCCTGAACATGTCATGTTCAACGTCCGGAATGCTCTGGACATCCTCCATACTGAGGTACGGAGCCTGGGCCAAGCGGCTTTCCTTCTTGGCCTCAGAACTCACCTAAAGGCAGCTCTGGTTTCCTCCTTGAGATCTCCCTGCCAGGTCCCCTTTACCTGGAGACCAGCACGGGCCATACCACCAGTTCACGGTCCCAGTAACCCATGCATATAGGTGTCCATGGAGAGCAGACAAGAGGGGGGTGAGAGGGAAGAGGGAGTGGACCAACCAGAGGAAAGGTCGTAGACCTGATATCCAGCAGGAGCAACTGGCCCTAGCCCCAGATGAGCCTGGAGCTGCCCAGCCTCGAACCCCTCAAGGACTGATCTCCCCCATGCTCAGGTTCCTCGGACATTTGTGAACCTGGTAAATACGATGGAGATTATCTGCCTGAGGGAGCTGTACAAGGAGAGGAGGCTCCGCTGCCCACTGCAACTCATGGCGTGAGATGGAAATTCCTCCCCCTGTTCTCAAAAAGACCACGGGACCCTTGGCAGGAAGTGACTCTAACCAGTTAGAAAACCCAAAGCAGACGTGTAAGGCGTGGTGAGGCCACCCCATTTTCTAACTTGACAAGGCCTAATGGAGGGGCCATCCCAGGGTTTCTGCGATGCCGATACGAGCCTCAGCTGTGCTTGCAGCATGCATTACCCCCACCCACACGTCTGTGGTCATGGCAAACAGGCCGTTCTTCAGTCCTCCAGGGAGGGAGGAGTAAAGCACGAGGGGTGGAGTGGGCTGGCAGGGACCAGGCTAGGGTCACCAAGCCACTGCTATCATCTACTTTTACATGTGTTCAGGGGCTTTCCCATCGTCCCTTCTCCACCCATTTCTAGGATAGCAGGAGTCTATTTAGTGTGGGTACTCCAGGGTAGGCATTCACAAGTGTCAGGTAGTTATCGATCCTAGAAGAGAGGAAGGTCAAGTCAGAATCAGCAGAATCTAGAGGACAGGAAGGCCCTGAGAGGTCTTCACACCCCCAGCCTCCAGAGCCGGCCAAGATGGCGCCTCCTCTGGAGTACACAACTCACCACCCTTGACAATGCAACGTCCTTCTAAACCAAACAACAGCATTTCTCACAGCTATCCTTCCAGTAAAATCTCCTCTGACCATTAGTCCTGGTCACTTTGTTCCACACATACTTTGTTCCACACATATACACGCACATACACATGTACACGTACACACCCCAGGTCTATAGTTCTCTTTTCACAGGCCCCCACCACAGCCCTGAGCAGATTATGTGGTAATTATTCACCCGCCTCTCTCCCATCGCCAGACTCTGAGTCACTGTGAGCACAGTATAGGGACTCAGCAATTGTTTGCTGAATGACTGAGTGAATAATTCACAAGTACCAGATTTGCTCTTAGAGATCCAGGGGTGTCTTGGCTGTTCCCCTGAAGATCCATGCCAAACCTCAGCTGGAGGCCCAGACTGCACGGTCCCCACCCCCTCCCTTCTCAACCCTCCCTACCCTGCCCCCCCAAGAAGGCCTGAGGATGCTGGACAGAGGAAGTTCAGGCACTGCATGACACACACCTATTAACGCGGGTGATGTCAGGAGTGCTATTTTCAGCTGCTGACTCACCCCCTGGCTCCCACTTTCTCCAGTCACTGGGTCACTGGAAGAGGGGGGGAAAAGGGGAATTCAGCGTATTTATTCCATTCTAGAACAGCTCACCCAAAAGTCTCTTGCTCGCAGTCACTGCAGGGTTTCTAGTTAATTAAAGCTAAAGGTTCAGAGCAGGCATTTGCTAGGTTCATTCTTCAGATCCAAAATAGCCAAGTCACCGTCAGGCTCAACAGATTCAGTGTCACCTTGCCCTGCTACCCTCCAGGGCTCTGAACTCCAGTGGTTGTGCTGTCCTTGGTGCCCAGTCTGCCTTGAGCCATCCACAAGTATCATCTCCTCATCGCGCAAGCCCAAGCTTGCCAATCTGTAAACTGATCTGCAAATTCAGAGCTTCCGGCTTGCACAGAGGCAATTTCACTGGGCACCCAGACCTCAGCTTCCAGCCAGACAGCCTGGAATTCAAGTCCTGCCTCCCACACTCATTGTCCATATGATCCTGAGAAAGCATCTAGACACACTGAGCCTCAGTTTTCTCATCCATAAAATGGGAACGGTGATAATAAAACTTCTAGAATAATGAAGAGGCTTAAATAAGTGAATGCCCATAAAGCTCTCAGCTCAGTAAACATTCCGTGTACGGCAGCCAATATTATCATTGTTGTCACTCTTACTTAAGAGGAGGTGTCCCTTCTTAGTACTTTCCTGTCCTTGGATGGTCATAGGTAGCGCAGCTCCATGGAAGTCACTCCTGCAGATGTTATAAGTGACTCATTTCCATAAGCAAAGCCAAGTCGGAAATTCTCCACCTTCATCTGGTACAGTGGCTAGGTGAGCCAGCCAGGCACATGATAGCTCCGAGTGTAGCGTGTTCTGGACCTCAAGCCCATGTTTCCACACCATGCATCCTGGTGGTGACTGGTGAAGCAGGGGTATCCCTTGGTTTTGGTCAGCAGGGCCTTGTGTTCCTGTGTCGTGAAGCCTGTAGATGACTCCGCAGAACTTGCTCTCCTCGCTGACATGAGCAAGAAGTATCAGGTAAGCAGAGAAAAGGTCTGTCCTCCCAGTAACTTTCCAGGCCTGGTAGAGTGGGCAGCAAATAGTTTCCAGGGTCCAACCTTCAAGCTCACAGACTCCTTAGAGTAGAACCCTCCCCTGCAGACTCAGGTGGGCAGCCGTACCTGCCAAGGGTGTTGGAACTTTGGAGCTCAGGGGAATGAGCTTCTGCTTATCATCTTGGGATGACTCCCCTGCTGTGCCTCCTGCCCCGCAGGCACCTGTGTCTCCATGGCCCACAGCAGGAGTGGTTGGCAGCGAGGCGATGGCCCTGAGAGCCCACCTGAAAACAAAAACCATGCAATTCTGGTTCACTTGGGCAGATTTATTATTTCAGCAGAATATCTGGAAGAGCTAGTGAGCTAGGGTCATAGGACAAGGCCCTAGAAGTTATGGAATCGTGGCATCTTAGGGACCAAGCCCTAAGAGTCCAATCTGGCTGAAGAGCTCGTCCGGTGGAGGCGTCATGCACTGCGCTGTCACAGCTGCTTTAGGGTACAGCTGCCACTGGTAGCAGAATAGACTTTGCTGTTCCTCCATCCTTCTGTTGCTGCCCTCCAGCCTGAAGCCTGGGTGGGAGCTCTGATTGCAAGAGCACTGGGCACGTGCTCAGGCCCTCACTGGGAGGGGCGCTGAGAAAGTGAGCATATGTCTTTTTCATTTTCTACCGTAGGAAGCAGACTGCTTTTCATACGGTGGCGTTTTTCAAATATAGGAAGTAGGTTCAGATGCTGAGCAGCCAAGATGAACTCTTCACCACAATTGCTCTCACTGACCTCTCTAGTGAGGCCAGCTATTTCCAAGTCTGGCGCCCAGGCCCTGACCTGGTATCCTGGAGACGCTCATGGCTCAGCTCTGTGAAGGCGCGTGACCTTCCTGAGAAACCACTCAATCCCTACTTCCTGCCAAAGCTATGGTTTGCGTCACTCTCCCTGGAGATAGCCACTGTGTGCTGGGCACCCTAGTGCTACCTCGCGTTTGTCAAGTGTGCATGTTTCTACTGTGAGCCACTGTGACTGATCCTCAGAATAACCAGGAGCACTGGAAGGGACTTTAAGATGGCCGAGGCCTTACTGAGCATCCTCTGTTGATGGAGGGGCAAATCGAGGGCCAGAGAAGGGAAGCAGCTGGCTGGAAGTCACACAGCCAGGTTGTGGTATTGTCCCTTCCTCTTCTCTTCTTAGCGGCCACCTTCGCTCCTTCCCTTTTCCCCTTCGGCCTTACTCAAGCCTCTGTAACTAGAGGAGATTCCCCTGGGAGGTCAAAAGTGAGCACTGCCTAGCACAGGCGTGGGCTCACTTTCTGGCTGCCCCTGAGTCTCCTGCAGTGACCACACTGATGTCCCCAGGCGTGGGATCCTGCCTCCTCTCCAGCCAGGGCTCCACCCCAAATGGTGGAAATCTGGCGAAATGGCAGACCTGGTAGGAGGGAGAGCCCAAAGTGGCTAATGGGTTCTCCTGGAGCTGGGCCCAAGTGGAAGCTGTGGAAGCCACAGCTCTGTCACCCTGTTAGAAAGGTCTTCAAGGCACGGGTGCTCACACACACCCACATGAACAGTATAAACCAGCACCCACTGCCGTGGTGGGTGCACCTTTGATTTTCTAAAACAGTGTAGAACAGAAATAAATGTATGGATTATCCCCCAAAAGTCAATCAAATTTGCCTCCCCACCCCATCTTTCATCAGAATAACTTTAGAAGGGTAGCCAAGCTGATGCTTAGATTTTTCCTTCTCTGCTCTTCTCCCAGCCTAGCTCAAACTAGGCCACGTGAGTAGAGCCTGGGCCAGGGGTTAAAATAAAGGCTGATGTAGAAAGTAGCTAGTTGGCTCCTGATCAGCTGAGAAGTTGGTGCAAATTGATTTCACTCAAAGGTCAGACTGTTTGATTCTCTGGAGGCGAGATGGCACATCTGGTGGGCAGATGCTGCATACCCACCTGTGCCCTATCCCTCCCACAGGACCAGGCCTACGAGCTGGTGGACAGTGGGCGCTACGACACGGGGGATGATTTCACAGTGGTTGTGCAGCCGTTGTTTGAAAGACTTGTCTTGCCGAGGAGCCAGGTAAAGAAAGGGGCGTCAGGGGTCCCCGGGGCTGCAGGGAGCAGCGTTGCATCCTGGTGTCTCTCTAACATGTCCGCTTTTCATCCTGTGACCAGGGGTTACCTGACAAGTCTTTCTTTGCGCCTGACTGTTTCCACTTCAGCAAGAAGGCTCACGGGCGTGCAGCCAGCGCCCTCTGGAACAACATGGTAAGAGGACAGCGTAGACCAAGGTACCCTCGCTCTGACGAAAAGATGACCCCAGAGCAGAGCCCATGGTGATGGGTCATGGGGGGTGATGGATCGTGGTGGTGGGAGAACTATGGAGCTTACACCTGAGGGGAGACTCAAATACTGCACAAAAAGGAGCAATGATGTAAGAAAATAGTTTAATAGTAATAGAAAAAATGACCCAGAAACTTTCAGGGGACCTCAGAGGCCCAGCCCTTAGGCTGTGATTGCCTGAACAGCAGTGATAATAACATTCATTTCCCCTCTCCCCACCCCAGCCCTGCATCCTGGCCTCTCCCTGCTTGGCCCTCCTTCTCACTAGACATCTTTCTGCTTTTTGCTTTAGCTGGAACCTGTTGGCCAGAAGACAAAACAGTATAATTTTGAAAGCATGATCCCTCTCTCATGTCCAGCAGAGGTAGAGTGAAAAGCACATCCTTTTAATGGGTGTTTCTAAAGTCTACTTTCCAGTCTTTTAAAGTCTTGCGTTAAGGTTTCTCAGTTCACTTCATCCCAGGTCCTCATCCCCACCCCAGACCCGTTCACCTGTCTGCCCATTCCAGCCTCAGGCTAGCCATCCACAACACCCACCGTGGCCAGGGAGTCCCAGTGGTGGGGCCGGTACCCCACAGTTCCTGTCATGGGGAGCCCCAGCACACTGTGGGGCTGCATGTGGCTCTTTCCAGCCAGGAAGGGGAGCAGGACACCAGCACCCAGCTCCCACTGTGAAGGCTGGGGCAGGGGAGAACATCGGGGTAGCTAGTGCACAATGGGCACAGCAGGCCAGGGCTGAGGAATGTGCACAGGAGGGGCTGAAAGGGGTTATGCAGAGGTCAGCACTTCTTGAGGGTTGGCTGAGCAAGAGCAAGCTGCGCAGGAAGCAGTGGAGTGTGCTGCATTGCTCCCTCCTCTTCTCACAGAACCAGCCATTTCTGCGCACCTACAAGAACAGCCTGGAGGTACCTGCTTGTCCTTTCCTTTTGGCTCACCAGCCAGCGCGTGGGCACCCCCTGAGCCAGGAATGGCTCAGCAGTGCTGGGTGGGCCATGGGCAGGAGTTCCTAATGGATAGCCAAGGGGGACTCACACTCTGTTAGAAAGTCCACCCAGCTCCACCACTAGATGGGGTGGAGGGTAGGGCACGCGCCATTGATGACCGCCTGCCCTCAAATCCAGCCTCTCCCAGACGTTCACAGGATAACTAGTCTCTCATAAAGCTGCTGCAGACAGAGAGGGTGGTGTGGGCTTCCCATTTCTGTTGATGCCCTAATTCTGGCATTGGTGGGGAGATGGGCTGAACTGGGTGAGCAGACCCCAATCTGGCTGATCATCAGAATCAGCTAGGAAGACTTGAAATGCCTTTCTAGCTCCTCCCCAGAGTGGGGCCCAGAACCCATTCGAGCTCTCTGGTGAGCCGGCCTCTCTGGTCATTTCAACCCTGAGATCTGTGACTCACTCTCCCACACTTAGGAGCACGGGAGTTTCCTGCGATGCAAGGACACAGCTGCTTCTGCCTGGCCACCCGACTCAGGTAACACCCCTAACACCCCACCCCTCCACCAGGTGCGCTCCGGTAAGACTTTTCATAAGCTAATGAAATGCCACCTGCTTGCTCCCTCCTGGGTGGTCACCTGGGAAGAGCTCCTGCTTTATCCCCTCCACCCTGTGCCCAGGAGGCCCACCCAGGAGCTGTCTGCTGCCCTCCCACTTCAGCCTGTAAATGGGAGCACACGTGAGGGAGACCAGTGGTGTGACCTCACTGAAGCCCAGAGGTAGGGGTGAGGTGCCAAGGGCATCCCAGGAGGGCACCAGCTCTGTGGGGCATTGGTAAGCCCAGCACAGAGCCCCAGACCCTGTCACTGCTGTCTCCTACAGTCAGGCTAGAGTTCCCTGCACTCTAGGAGAGTGGACAGGCAGTGGGCTGGGAGGACCATTTCTTACATTCTTAGTGAAAATCCAGAATCCAGCTCTAAGTGGGCTGTGCACCAGACCCTGCCCCTCATCTCAGCTGGTCCGGTGCCCATCTTCTCATGCACTTAGGCCACAGGTGGCATCGCTCAAGCCCTACCATCCATCTACCCATCCTTTCTCCCTCGGCCTCTCTCTCCCAGTGGGTCCAGAGTTCATATGTTGTGTCTCTCATGGCCCAAATGCACACGCAGCCCATGTTTCCAGTCTTGCTTAAAGCAAGAACCTCTGGACTCTGACTGTAGCTTTCTCCCTGTGAACTCAAGTGTGTCTGTCTGTCTTTCCAGTGCATTCCCTGAAAGCTGCAGACATCAAAGTTGTGGCCGCTTTGGGGGACTCTCTGATCGTAAGAACTCTCGGGCTCCATGTGGGGAGGCTTGCTGGGGTCGACTCCCGGTCTGAGTCATTATTCAGCTTCTTCCTCCTGGTCCCATCCATTGGAGAGCTTGGTGGTGGTTTGATTTTGCAGCCACTGTCTCAGGGCTGAACTAAATTGTCTCAGATAGTAGAGGTTTTGAACACCTAACAGATTTGTCATTGGACTCAAAAATCTTCTGAGCCTACCTGTGTGAGTGCGCTTTTCCTTTTGGATTATCATGTTAGGAGCAGCTCAGACCTTCACACCTATTTCCTCTGTGCATCGGCATGGAAAGCAGCAAAAATGCCACAATTATGTCTGAAACTCTGCTCCTAAGTTCCAAAAATAGGGCTGTTTTCCCCTTGCAGGTCACCACTTTCTGGCAGCACTTCTAAGGCCAGGAGATTACCTTCCAGATTGTCCCAGGGGGAAAGAGGAGAAATGTGATGCTTCTGAGAAGCCTGTCCATGGCAGTCCACTCGAATCTGTGGCTTCTTTCTTCATGCTTATAAATGACAGCATGATACTGGTGGGGATGATTTAACAGTCTCACATCTGCAAGCCCTGTAGAGTTTCCAAAAGCCTTTTTTGCCACTGTGAGCCAATTTGGACATAGAACAAGCTCTGGAGACAGGCAGGGCAAGAACTGAGATCAGCACCCAGGCAGCTGAGATTTGGGGAAGTTGCACCCCAGAACCCCAGCAGGTGGGATCTGCTGACTCCCAATCCTGGGCTCTGTCCACACCACTCTGAGCACTTGGGGACTGGCCCACAGCCTCCCTTTTCTCTGACTTGCTGGTTTTCCTGTGGATTTGTTTTTAAAGGCTGGCAGTGGAATTAACTTCAGAGCAAATGACTTTGACATGCAGTATCGTGGGCTGTCATTCAGGTAATGTTGACCTTTGTCCCCTCCCTGCCCTGTGCTCACCTCCAGAGTCTGAGGTTGTCTCCTGGAAGTGCATAACTATCCTGAAAGCCAGCACCACATCTGGAAAGGGGCTTGCAGAAGGAAAACATTTTTATAACACATGAGAATGGAGAGGCTATTTTACTGTTGATAAACTTTTTTTTAATTGTGCAGAGAAAGAAAAACCAGAATTCTTATCAGACTTCTGGATTAACAAATCCAACATGTAAAGCACCAAATCTCTGACTCTTCAGCCTCCTGTTTGCACATATATGTGCTTGTGTAGCTGTCCCTACATCACATTGTCTGTGTGTATTTATCCGTGTCCTTCTGTAGTCGCCCCTCTGCCTTCACCAGTGTGTGCACAGTGTGCAGAAGCCCCAGCCAGGCACGCCTGAGCCTCTGCCAGCACCAAGCGAGCATTGAGATGGGTGGGTGAGGGGAAACAGGCTCATGCTCAGGTGCCCAGCATTTTTTTAAAAATAAGAGATACCTGAGCACTCCAGGAATATAGGAGAGGGATAACCAACCTTGCTGGCAGGGGTGGCAAGGCTTCACCGAGAAGGTAGACCCCAGGCTCGTCTTGACAGGTCAGCCATGTGATAGGGAGAACGGGCCAGAGGGCAGAGCAGACACGGAGGCAGATAAGCTCAAGTTGCGTCAGGCGAATGGTTGGGCGTGGGAATTATTAAGTTTCTTTCATTCCTGATGCTGTTCGTGTTTACTATGCCTTCAAGTTGTTGGAGATTTGCTCAGAATGCGTTGGGGTGGGAGACGACACCACAGTCAGCCACAAGAGGGCAGGGTGCTAATGAGAAGTCGGGCTATCTAGGCATGCAAGGCCAGGCCCTCCCTTTCCGTCAGCGTGAATGTAAATGAAATGTTTCTTCCAAGAAAATGAGAGGGAACAGCATGGAGGCAGTCCAGACTATGACAGTTCTCTCTGCTTAACCTGGAGGAAAGTGCCAGGAAGAAAGATTTTCCTGCACAGGAAAGAGGTCCTCGCCCAGCCTGTACCCTCGTGGGATTGGATCCAGGGAGTTGGTTGCATGAGGACATTACCCCCTGATTGCCTAGGTGAATGCCTCCCAGCTTCCCAGGTCCCCACACCCCCTCCAGAAAGGCCTGGGGCCTCCTGACCACTCTGCCCAAATGTGCTGGGGCTGTGAGAAATAGAAAAGCCAGAGTGACAAAAAAGCAGGGCCTATTAGCACAAAGAAAATGCCTGAGGGGGTGAATGCGGCTTTTGGCCTTAGCTAAAGGCAATGACCTCTCCTTATAGAGAAGGAAAATGGAAGATAAAGGAGACAAGTCAGCCAACAGATGGCAGATAAGCCACCTGGTGGTGCTGTCTGGGGAAGAGAGATCTGCCTGACTAGACAATACTCCATTCCTGAGATTCAGATCCAAACAAGTGATCTGATCTTCTGCTAAATGTTTCTCTCTGAAACAGTGGAAAGCATCAGTCATTGCTCTGTTTTTTCCTAGAAGTGAGATTGAGCAAGGCCTCATGTTTCAATCTTCTAGTTCTAACTTCCAGTTAGTTGCTTCCCTTTAAGCCCTTTACCTGTTCTAAATATTTCAAATACCTACCCCTTGATCCACCTGTGTTGAAGAGGAAGGCTGTGGGTCAGCCTCTGATCAACAGTTTGGCATTGGTAGAACAATGACTAGTGTTTTCCAAAGTGCGTTCTATGGAACACTAGCCCAGACACATTCCTGAAGAAGGAATTTTTGGGAAACACTCCCTACTATATTATTCCTCAGGGGAATTTATGTGATGTTAGCATGTTAAGCAGCCCTATCTGAAGAACTCTTGAAATTGCAACTGTTTCTTCCAGTGTTTTCCTGAAATCCCAGAACTCTTTCTTTATTCACAATATTGGTATCCTTTGGGAAATGTACATGTAGTAGGCTGATCTGAGAAAAGCAATTTTCTGAAGCTGTTAAAGCCTCTAGATTGGAAATACTAGACAATTAATGATTTTAGGTAAATTAAAAGCACAATTTGAACCTCTTCCTCCAAAAAAGCAGGAAGTGGACCTCATGGAGTTAGATGGAGGGGAATTAGACCCAGCATTCTTGGGAGATGGGGAGCTGTTAGCAGGATCTGCAGAAGTAGGTTTGGCTATATTTCCAAACTGCTTAAGCTGTGAGAATCATAAGCAGTGAAAGGCCCCAGCTCTGGCTGGCTTACCACTACGGCAGGCCCAGGGGGGCTTTAGGGCTTTGACTTTTCTTCCACTGAAATAAGTTTGCTTGCCTGGTATCAAGTTTGCTTGCCTGTGCTTACTGGACCACAGTAAGATTCACTTGTCAAAAAAACATTACTTTGTCCTATCACTAAGGAACGCAATCTCGTATTACTAGAATGCCTTTAATAAATGGTATTAAGCATCTGCTCTGTGCTTCCCTTGGCACGTATGTAAGATACAACCACTGGTGTGATATAAATTACATGAATCTGAGGGTGTTATAGGACAGGGAGAGGGGCAGCTCAAACCCCGCAAACCTGCCTATTCTAAATGGATTCTGCCATCCGCCGCATCAATACAAAACATAGGAGACTTTAATGGGAAGGAACTTTAATAAAACTAGGAAACAATACAGGTAAGGCCAAGAGTCTAGTTTCTAAATGAAGCACCCAAAGTTACCCGTCCCCTCGTGGGTAAAAGTCCATCCAAATGGGATTGGCCCAGAGCAAGGCCCCAACGCCTGCCACAAGTCTAAAGCATCTTCCAGTGGGGACCCACAGAAAAGGGCCAGAAGCAACCAGACAAGCCCGGAAGGAAAAGAGCAAAATCAACATCAAGATAAAAGCTGCCATGGTCACCTCCCCACGGGTCTCACCCACATCTGTGTCACCCAGTCCACGACCAAAAGACAAGCACAGTTTCTTCACGTGTCTCCTGGCTCCATCCTGCTTCCTTCCTCAGTCTCTTCTGCAGCCCATCCTCTTCCTGCTCAGCTCCACCCTCCCTTGGGTGGGGCAGGGAACCTGGAACCTCCCCCTTTCCTGGGGACCACCGGGTTACAATGGTCTCACCTAGACTGTTTAGATGGTTTATTTTCTTTCATGTTTCATATAGTTTTGATCAACATGAGGACTCAGATACACGTTCCTCCATGTTTATATAATTCTCTATTTTCTTCTGGAAATAGTCACTCTAGAATGGGCTCAGAGAGATTTCTGTAGATGGTCTTGATTAATCACCACGTTTGTTTTAGAACAAAAATATCTCTTTAGGTAAGAAATTTCAAGCGAGGATACTGTATGTGTGGGTATCTATGCATGTCTCTATGCTTATGAGTTTATTGACAGTGCAAAAGAGGGCAGAGTTAAAACACAGTGACTGGAGAAGCTGTTTGGATATAAAATGTCCATTTAAGCATAAAGTATTCTGTTAAGTGTCTTTAGTCCAAGGAAAAGAAGTTCAGGAAACAGCTAAAACAGTCGCTTCATGCAGAAATTCAAATAGACGCCCAGCCACTGGCCCGGCTAGGTTCCAACACCTGATGGGAAGAGGAAGAGGGATCCTAAGTGATATGGAAGGGCAGGTCTTACTGTTCTCTCCCTGCCTTCTGGGGTTGCTTGCCTGCCTTTGACATGAGCCCTAGACCACCCTGGTGTGTAATAAAACAAATTCATTCCAAGCATTCTTTGAAGGACAACTTTATACCAAGCATTCTTTGAATGAGAAACAGTCATAACTTTGGTGACCTGTCCTTTGGAAGTTTCCACTGATGAACTGGATGCTAACTCTATATTCTCAAAATCTACTGGCCTAGAAGAACATGCTGGGATTGAGGCAGGAGGTATGGAAGAAAGGTAACAAATACGGTACATCGGAACTTTGGGCTTGTTGAAATGGAAATGCTTCTCTCCTTGCCTCCCACTTGTCTTGAGGTCAGATTGAGGGCCACAAATCTAGATTAGCTCAGATGAAGCAGACGGGGCGTTGGAGGCAGGAAGAGGCCTCTGCACCTTCCAGTAACATGTCCCTGACTGGGGCAGAGGCAGAGGTGAGGTTATCTAAAGGTTTCCAGCTCAGGCTGGTTTGGGGTGACCTTTACAGATTTTCATTTCCTTTGGAATTTAACCCCTGTGTACCTTGGTAAAACATTTACTCTGTCAATTGGAGATAGTCACACTTACCTTGTCTGCTTGCTGGGAGATGCCAGGTGCCCCATGAGTGCTTGTTCTCAGCCACTTGCCCTCCCTCCTTATTTGGGGGAGGGAAGAAACAGCTCTCTTTGGCCTCCAAATGCTGGATTTAAAGTGAACCAACCCATTGGGGAATTCCAATTTTCTCTGAAACCCTTAAAATAAAATGGGTCTGGCCCATCTTCCTGGCACTCCTGGCACTGGGGCGCTCCTTTGCAGGTTTCATAGACTCTGGCTCTCTCATTCCCTACAGTGCAGGAGGGGACGGCTACCTGGAGAACGTGAGCACCTTAGCCAGTAAGTAACCACCAGGGACCTGTGTCTGCCTGTCCCTGCCTTATGACACATCCCCACCCTCCCCACTCCCCACTTCCTGACAGTGCCTTTTAGCTAAGAAAGGAGGAAAAAAAACATATACCCTTGAGTTAGGAGAGGCCCAAGGACAGGCAGCTGAAGAGCGTGGAGTAAGCACTGGAGTCTGGGGACCTGGGATCAAACCTTAGCCCGTCTGTATGCTTAACCAGGTGACTCAGGGCAAGTTACCAAACCTTCTGATTTGTTCAACAAGGTGCTGAGACAATCAGATGAAATAATATTTGTAGCATTGTGAACTGTAAAAAAAAAAAAAAAAGGAAAAATTGAGAAGCTCTCCTTGCTGCCTTGGCCCAGCCTGTCATCAAGTCTTTTCAGTTCAGAGACCCCAGCTCCAGCTTGGCACTTGCTCCTCTTCACTACTTCCCCTGGCCTGCCTCCCCCTGACCTGATAGGATGGAAATGTAGCCCAGTGGGGGGCCCTAGATGATGCCCTGGCCTGCCTTCCTGAGTTTTGTGTCCCGTGTACCCCTCCTTTTACAGATATTTTCCGGAAGTTCAACAAAAATCTCATAGGCTTCGCGGTGGGCACGGGTGACGTCAATAGCCAAAATGCCTTCTTCAATCAGGCTGTTCCTAACGCCCTGGCTAAGTATGCCACTTGGGGAGCAGGGCCCAGGGGGTCGGGAGCGGGACCCACAATGTCTCCTTGAGGGTGATGGTGCCGCCCTCTGTGTAGTGCAGAATTGAGAGCCTCACGCTGCTCTGCCCTGGCGGCCTGTGACTAAGGCGGAGTGGCTGGAACTTGGCAAGGAGTGAGCCCCTAGAGATGGAACTCCTGCCCTTGCTTCTGTGCAGCATGTTCTAATTACTTGATTGATGGACATACCTCTGATTTTTTCAAACTTAACCACTGGACAGTGGTGCTAAAGAGATTCATGCTCTCCAAGTCCCACAAAAGGCAGTTCTCCCAAAAGATCAGGGAATGCCTGCCAAGTGGATGAGCAAGCCAGTCTCCAGCCTCATAGGGCTCTGGGGTACCGAGCCATGTCCTGTCCCTAGCCTGTCACAGAGCTAACAGGAAATGAGAAGCCAGAGACAGCAAAACAGAACTTCCCAGCCTCTCAGGAGGATGTCCCAAGAAGCCCAGACAGCCTGCATGTCCTTGGTCCATGCAGCTCCTGGGCCAGCGGCTGAGACTCAGGCACACACACTCTGGCATGGGTGCGGCCCCCAGACCTGCGTGCCCAGCCTGCGAAGAACTTTCTTGGTGATAGAGACATCTGGGGACTGGTGGGGACTGTGAATCCATCTCACCCAGGCCTGTAACTGGGTCCTGAACTAGTGGGGAGCTTGAGTGCCCAAGATCTAGTGCTTCCAGAAATTATAAACCCAGACATATGAACAGTTTATGTTTATTCCTCATCTCAAGCATTTAGATAGTTTACAAAATGTAACCTATGTAAGAGAAAAAAATCACAGCCTCTGCAGGGAATGGAGTAGGGGGTGGGGGAGAGGAGGAAACTGTCAGTGTGAGGTTTTTTGTGGTGATTGTGCCTGAATCATCAAACCCAGCTGCCTGGCAGCCAGGGTGAAAAGGGAAAGCATGTTAAAACTTTCATACGTCTAATTTCACAATCTGTATCAGCCCTTCAAATAGCTTCCTAGCAGGGAATCCTAAAAGACAGTTTGCATGTGGAGTCCTAGGGAGGAATTGGTGAGCAACAGATAGGTAACTGGCAGAACCCTTTTGACTACAACTTTAGGGCAAACACATGACTGGCTTTTCAGAGGGTTATTTGTGGTAATAATTCCAGAACAGGCAAGTCACTCCTCATCCCTGCTGCCTCATATAGTAGGGATAACGCCATGGAAAATGCCAGTGCAGGCCCGTTAAGAGGAAAAACTTTGGGTGCCATTCACGAACAAGACTGATATCCTCTCCTCCTCAGGGATTTAAAGAATCAAGTTCAGGCTCTGGCACAGAAGATGAAAACTGACCATGTGAGTCAGATTTATGGGTTTATTTTTAAACACTGATCTTACCCCTCACCCAATGTCTGCAAATGAAATGGTCTGCTGGGAGAAGCAGTAAGTCCCCCGTCAGCAGAGGCATTCAAGCAGTGGTAGGGCAGTCCCTGCAGGAAGCCCTCTGGAGGAGACTGTGTCAGTGGGGAGGAGGTTTGTGGCTGGTCACAATGACCTTGAAGTCCCGCCTGATGCTCAGATTCTGTGGTCTATAAATGTCTCCAATTCCTTCAAGTCTGAGATTCAATTCTATTATTTCAAGTGGGCAAAAAAATGGATTTCCTAGAGCTGTGATGGTTTTATTCATTTGTTTGTTGGAAATCATCCATTTTCTTCCCTCTGTGCAGAGAGTCAAGCCTAATGAAAGCTGGAAGGTCATCACGGTGATGATTGGAGCCAGTGATTTATGTGAATTCTGCAAGAATCCGGTAATGGGGCTGGCACCAGACCTTCTGCTCCTGGCTTTGATCTTAGGCCTTGGAGTTTCTCTTTAAGAACAGTACCTAGAGGGCCTCCCCGGTGGCGCAGTGATTGAGTGCTGGGTTGCGAAGCTGCCCACAGCCTCTGCAGCGCCAGTTCGATCCCTGGCCGCTGGACGATTCCTGGCCACTGGGTGAGGGTCCCACATGGTGCGCAGACCTCTCCTGCCACCTGCTGATCCCCTCAGCAGTGTATCATCAGTCTGCCTATTCTGTTTCCTGCTCTGGCTCTGGTGAATTCTCTCACCCTCCCGCGCTTCTGACTGTACCCAATGCTTGTATAAATAAATAAATATATATTTTTTTAATTTTAAAAAAGGAACAGTACCTAGAACCAGCCCTCTGACTGTCCAGCTACAACTATGTGTGAACATGCACAAGCACAATTCACCGTCATGCACATGAGCAAACCTGCCCGCACACTTCTTACCCCCTGGCCGTCAGGTTTCTGGCTGCTCCTCTGTATCTCAGGTGGTATGAGGTCGCAGGTGGCTGATACATGTTCTAGTCCCCTCTCTTACATCCCAGAGAATTCAGAAACAAAAGACACCAGATCCAAGCAGTAAGAAGGAGGACTCTACCTTCTGCTGCTGAAATAAAGCTCTGGTGGCAGGGCCGAGCCTTCTGGCTGGCCCATCTTTGACAGCAGCCAATAGGGTGCTGTTCATCTCAAAATCTGACCTGAGCTGGTCACAGCTAGACACCAGAGAGAGAAAGTTCCTTGGAGGCAGAGGGAGATGTACAAGTGCCCCTCCACTCTCTCCCCCTAACCAGTGTCTCCTCTCCCTCCCTCCCTCCCCCTCCCAGGACGAGTATTCTGCAGACAAATTTTTGACCCATCTCCGTGAGGCCTTGGACACTCTGCGTGAAAAGGTGGGTGGGAGGTTCCCTCAATCTGGAAGTAGCTCAAGCAAGGGAAGGGGGGCCAGTAAAAGCAGATGGGGAAGAACAATGGGAATCGCCCTTCCCTGAAGCAGAGAGCCAAGGGCATGCATTCCTGCCCTTTCCAGAGTTGGGCCCTGCCCCCAGGGAAGCCTCATTCCACGTGGAGTCAGCCCGTGTGTGCACTGCGCATTCCCTCCCTGTCCCACTGCCCTGGGCAGTCCCTGGTGGTAGCAGCTGGGGGTTCTTTGGGCTGGACACTACACTCAGCGAGAGCGTGTGCCCAAAGCCAGCCCCTTTTTAGTCTTGTGCCCAGCAGGCTCTCTCCCACACCCTGGCTAGGGTGAGCTGTCAGGGAGGGAGCACACTGACAACCAGATGCTTCTCTGGTGGCTGAGTCCCCCAGGCCTGTTCAATGGTCAGTCCAGGCTAGGCTGGAGGGAAAAGGTCACTGGTAATGTCCTGGCAAACATGTCGCCAATGTAAAGCTGATGGACCCGGGGTCACTAAATGATGGCCAGAGGGAGCCGAGCTCTCAGCATTTAGATCCCGGTTGGCCATATTCTCCCACTGTAGGAGTGCTGGTCACAGCCTGCACAGCCCTAGGTGCTAGCCCTGTGTGGGCGCCTCCCTCAGAACCCCAGTCTGGTGACAACTGAGCTAGAGTTCTCCAGGGGCCTTGGAAGCAGTTCCCACCTCTCAGGGCCCTAGCGCAGCCTGAGGGAGAAGGCCCAGGAGGTCTCTCACCAGCAGCCTCGTCTTTAGGTACCCAAATCCCTGGTCAACCTTGTGGACTTCATGAACCCCAGCATCGTCCGGCAGGTGTTCCAGGACAACCCAAGCAAGTGCCCAGTGAAGCAGGCCAGGTAGGCAGGAGCTGATGCCCGGGAGAAGCGCTCTCCCACCTCTGGCTCACACACTGGTCACTGCTTGGAGTCTTTGTAACTTGCTCTGCTGCTGGGCACAAATCTATACCGGGGTCTGCCCAGCCTATTGCTTTCTGGGAGGTCGGAGCCATAGATACCTTAGCCAACCTCAGGGTGCCCTGTGGGCCCTCTGTTGTATAGGGGAGTCGTAGGGGGAGGGGTCAGGGCTGGGACAAAGGCTGGTGTTTGACAGGCCAGGTCACACAGACGATGGAAAGGGGCAACCGTGTGAGGTTGTTCACGTATGTGGTTCAGCCATGACAGAAAGCAAGGAGAGGAGCCGCACAACTGAGTTTCCTTTGTGGAGGAAGATGGGAATTGGGAAGGACCCAGGGACTTCAAATTGAGGGTGTCGTGGCTCTTAAACTGGGGGAGAGGTGCATGGTGTTTGTGTTATTATTCATCCCTTTCATGTACACCCATGTCTTGAGCAAACACTTTTATGGAACTTACTGTGCACCAGACCCCATCCTTACTGCTTCAGGGACATCAGGGACATCATTTTTACCATTATGTGTGTTTCTCAGGTGTGAAATAATTCATAATAAAACAAAAGGGAACTCGGGGGGCCCTAGTATGAACCAAGGGTTATCAGAGACACCGATGAGCATTTTTATTTTATTTTTTAAATTGAACTGGAGCGCTCACTGCCTGAGCTCATTCACTCAGCATGACTCACTGCAGGCCCCGGGTGCAGAATGGGAACTTGCCCTCTGTGAATGGGAGAGCCCTCACCCACACACTTTTGGGGTCCATCCAGTCCCCACGCTAGGCCAGAGCCCCGGGGCACATGTGCTCCTGAGCCAGGGCTCCAGTGATAGCCCCATGCTCGCCCCCAGGTGCCCCCCTCCCGCCCCTGCATCAGAACGAGCCTGACAAGAGCGTGTCTCTGCCTCTTCCTGCCCCTCTCTCCGTGCAGCCAATTATGTCACTGCGTTCTGACCCCAAAAAAGAACTCCAAAGCTCTGCGTGACTTGGTGGCCATGTCTGAAGCCTACCAGGTGAGACTAAGAAGAGTGCCATTGATTGTTCCCCCCAACTCGCTTTAACATGCCAGCCCAGAGTTTCCTAGGGGAGGCATACAGGGAAGGGGAGCTGTTCAGGGCCCTGTCTCTATACCATCTGGCTGAGGTGTCTCGGGCGCCCAGGTGGAGGCATTCCAGAGGAATCCAGGTGGCAAAGCCTATGACTGAACTGTCTTTGGTGTCTTAACCCCATGCTTGACCTGAGGAGGGGCATCTAGCCCTGGACACCCAATGGGATGACCCTTCCCTGCCCTGTATCCTGGAGGCCCAACTGATGTCCCTACCTCCAAAACAGGTAGCTATAAGTAGGGAGGGAGCAGGTCCTGGGCCTGGGCCCCTCTGGAAACTTCTCAGTTTCTGTTCCCTGTGGGACTTCCAACCTGGCCATCAGAGCTTACAGTCAACTTTAAACCCAAGCAAAAAGGTGACCCAACCAACTTCAGATTCTCTGGAAAGAGATTTGCAGTGAAGGCATTTATGTTCTCATGGGAAGGACAGAGTCAGCCCCCCTATGGAGGGAGGTAGGGACAGGATTGCTGTCCTCCTTGCCCCACTGGGGTCCTAACCTGCCCAGGGCCTGTGCTGAAGCCCCCATGCGTGTGTCCCCAGAACAGCCTGCGTACGCTGGTGGGGTCAGGCCGCTACGACAGTCACTCAGACTTTGCTGTGGTGCTGCAGCCCTTCTTCAGCCACGTCCTGCCCCCCCTCAGGATGGTAAGCCCCCCTCCCCCATGGGGCTCCAAGGGAACAGCCTGCCACAGGCACCCTGAGAGGGGGAAATCCAAGGCAGCAATACCACGTGCTTCCCTGAGAGTGTGAATAAGTAGGGAAGACACAGGCAGCTTTCCCGATGCTGGTTTGGGGGGGCACAGCCTCCTCAAACATGAGTGAGCTGCCTCCCCAGAAGTCGTCCTTTCTGCTGAGAGCAGCACCCATTTTATTGAGCTCCTGCAACGGGCCAGATACCATGCTTTCCCTACATAAAAAAAAAATCTTCACAGCTTCCTTTCAAGGTGATTGTATCATCCCCTTATAACAGAGGCTTAGCCATGGGAAATCTCCTTCCTAAGATCCCATAGAAGGAACTGACAGGCAAGATTTGATTAAGTTCCTCTCCAGATCGTTCCCTTTCTGCACACACATGAGTGTGCAGTTATCAAAGAGGGCCCTGGGCCTTCTGCCCCACCCTCACCGCACTCTCTGCCCAACATGTCCCCTCTTAGCAAAAGAGTGCTGTGAGGGCACCGGGAGGGCGCTCGGTTCTGTCCACGTGGGCCTCCATGCCGAGGGGCTTGTCTGAGAGAACTGGGAACAGAGCCTTGGACAGTCCAGGAGAGGACCCAAGTGGATGGCACGCACCCTGGGTATAAGCTTTGCCCAGATCTAACCCCCACTCCCCTCACCAAGAAGAGCAGCACCCATTGGCCAAAGGCTGGAAGCAGCTCTCCCCGGCTGACTGGCCAAGACTTCCCAGGCACTAGGATCTCATTCCCTCACCATGATGTGGGCTGGGACATTACTCAAATGTGTCTAAAATTAAATTGGGCAATATTTTGAACTAAATAAGGGGAATTGTGGGGTCAGAACGGAAAGTGGGGGCTTGGGGTCACCCTCTCGAAGTGAAAGACCTTGTAAATGACCATTGAGTACAAGCATCCCTACAGGGAAGCGGCGTTGAGTGGTCAATCCCAGGGGTCAGGTCAGCCTTTACCCTCTGGGCTGGCCGGGTGGAGGAAGTGTGTTTCTCTCTTTCAGGATAACAAAGTGGATCTGTCCTACTTCAGTGCAGACTGCTACCACCCTAGTCAGAAATTCCACTCCCAGCTCGCCAGAGGCCTTTGGACCAACATGGTAAAATAATTCGGTGTCTCTGGTTCTCTGGGGTTCTTGTCTAGAGGAAAGCACCGGCCTCTATAGGTTGGACCTCATTCTTGACCCTGATGCATAGAGACAGCGTGGCCGGCAATCTGTGCGTGTCCGTAGAATGGAGCACATGGGGCCCTTGCGATCCCAGCGCCAACTGCACCTCCTGCTGTGATGTCAGCATGAGGCAGGGCTCTGCGTCAATACAAAACACGCCCCCACTTCATGCCACGTTTTCTGTGTCTAACAGGCCTAGGCTTGGAAGCCATGTTATCTTATTTGGGTGTCTCGGCAGCGCTGCAAGAGAAGTATTCTGAGTTTATGAGTGAGGTCAGTCCTAGAGAAACTAAGAGCCTTGCCCAGCATCTCACAGCTGGCAACTGACCGAGCAGGGAGGAGAAGCCAAACCCCCTGAATTAAAGCCTGAGCCTTCCCCGCAGCAGGACATGCCAGGAAATGCTCCCTGCAGCAGAAACAAATGGCTACACCCCTGTCTCTTTTCTTCCCCAATCAGATTCAACCACTGGGAAGTAAAACAGACTCCTTAGAGGTGAAAGAAAAAATCCTCCTCCAGTGCCCCCCTGAGGTAAGACGGGGGAGACCTGGTTTGTTCTTCAGAAACCCAGGGCCCAGATCCTGCCTCCCCGCCCCACCTCCCATCTTCCACCTGGCTCCCTTGCCTGGGAGCCGGTGGGTTCTGGAGGGCGGATGGAGGTCGATGAGAGCGGAGAGAGGAAAAGCATGCGTTCTTTGGGAATGGGAGAAGCAGCTGAGAGAGGAGGCCTGGGCTCATGCAGAGGGTCGGGGGCAGATAGGTGGAGTCCTGGGAAGTGGCGTTTGAGGCCAGGGAAAGTCTGATTGCAAGCTGGACGCTCAGAAGTCATGGGTCGGGTCGCGGGTGTGGGCCCAGGCTGGGCTCAGAGAGCCAGGGAACTGCCCGGAGTGGGGACAACTGGGGCTCCTTTTAAGGAGGAAAATGTCAGTGGTTGTTAAACATGAGTTCAGGCTTGAGGGTGGGGGCAGGTTCAGGTTCCCTTCAGCTCCCTGTTCTAGGCCCTGTCGCAGGGCTTTTTAACCATATAAGGTCGAGACCGGAGAGCCCTCAGCCAACGTAAAAGCAAAAGGGCTGACCCAGTCAGGGAGGCTGGGTTTCCCTTCTGGGTTGGGCTGGGTCCTGGTCTCTCCCCCTCCCAGCTGGGCAGGAAATGGACCTATAGCTCCCTTGTGTGTTTGCTGGGGCTCCAGAGAGAGTGGGCATGCCTGCCTGGTCCCCACTCCCTTTCTACCGGCTTTCCTATCCTAGCCTGGGGCTAGTTCCCATGTACCTTCAGCCTCACCAGAAGGATCAAAAGCAGGGCCTGGGCTGCTGGGTCTAGCACTGGGAGTAAAGTGACTAGTCAAATGATGTGACAGCCAGTGCACTGTGGTCCAAATGGCAGATGCCAGCAGAAAGACCAGGGCAAGGTCTAGAGAGCTTTACCATGCCAGGGAAACCCTTTAACTGCTAGATTCTGAGTGTGTCCAGGGGGTTAGGGGCAGGATGGTTGGGGCCTATGGGGACTCAGCAATGCCATAAACTATACTAGAAGGAAGTATTTCAATATTTTAACAGCCATATGGCCGTACTGAACATCAGCCATGGAAAACCCTCTCTGATCTGCCAACTCCCTGTCTATTAAATAGGACTAGTAATGACAGCCCATTCCAGGGAGCTGTCGCTTACTTCCTTGCACCGCAAACATTAAGTACCAGATAGGAGCCTGGGCTCCGGGTCAAGGGAGACAATCACCAAGGGTCTCCAGGTGACCCAGTCCAGGCAAGGAGCCCTGAAAGATGCCTCTCTGCATGGCCATTCGAACCCCAGTGAGCTCTGTGCCTCCCTCTGATGGAGCCTGTCTAGCCACTGGTGTGCAGAGGAGAGCAAATCCAGCCTCCTGCAATGTAGAAACCTGGCCTGGGAGAGCGGTTGCTAGGCAACCCCCAGCCCATTCCAAAAGGACCCATCTGTTGGCCAGCCCTACTTTGCCACACCAGGCGACACTCCTCAGATCCCATCTGCTCCTCCCGCATGCCTTGGAGCTATATAAAAGTCCACCAGCATCTCAGTGTGAGCTACAGGGGCCAGGCAACACATATTTTAGTCCTAGCTGTGTCTAAACATAGAGACAAATGGCAACAGGCAGGACCCAGCAGGGAGGAGGAGAGGCCAAGAGGGATGCAAGCACTAGGGAGCGCTCAGCTGCCCCCTCCCCCAGTCGCCTGCAAGTGCGTTCTGTCTGGCAGGTAGGCGGTTCAGGTTCTGTCGGACTTTAGGGTTGAACAAATGATCTTGCAGCCAACTTTTCCTTAGTCCCTCTGTGGACTGTGACTGCTGTCCCCTTCCTGCCTTTAGCACCTCACTCTCCTCCTTCCCTAACCCAGGGCAGCCAACTGTGGCTCCTCAGGCTTTGAAACAGCCAGTTACAAATCCAGCCCAGCTCATTTTCAGCTCTTGTTCTTCTTGTCCCCACAACACGGAGTTAACCCCCTCCTCTTTGAAATATATTTTTCTCTGCATCCATGACAGAACCTCCTGGAAGATTCTGCTCTGGGTACTGTCCCTCCTTATCTCTCTGAAGCATTCTTTTCCTTCTCCCAGCTCTAAATGTAAATATTCTCCAACTTCGTGTCTCTATCTGATTCTCTTTTCTCCTTCCCACTCCTCACTCTGAGATTTGTCCGTTTTCAGAGTTCCTGTTCAATTTCTTGGCACAGGACTTCTCAGTCTGAGTATTCATTTCTTCTTTCCCAGACTCCGCTTGTATATTGCTAGCCCTTCAGGAGTGCTTCCCCTTCAATGCCCTGCATAAGTGTACAGTTACCCAGAAGGCAGCTGCAATGTATGGTCAAGGTGTCAACAGAAAAGGGGAACCAGAGAGAGACACACAGACAAAATGACAGATTCTGAGAAAGAAACTGAAAGAATATCAACTAATATTTCCATCTTTTATCTTGAGCAGAATCTGTTGGCTTCCCTTACTCTTGGAGTTAGTGTTTCTGTTTGGATTACATACGGGGGACACTTACATTTGTAATGCTTTGGACTTCTAGCTTGCCTAATCCCGCCCTGACCCCGCCATCACCTCAAACCTAATATTTGTCATTGAAAAGATAATTTGTTGAAACAGCAACCAAATATTTGTCTTCCCCAAATTCCCGGCCCATGAGACTTCCCTGTTTCTGTCAGTTTCATTGTGGTTTTCAGTTCTGCGGCAGCCTAACTGATGGGAGGCTCCCTGGTGCCTTTCTTGCCTGCCACTCCTTCCCAGTCCGCCACCCACGTCGGATCCTCGTCATCGTATATGTCAAAGGTGATCGAGGCCAACTTCCCATCATAAAACCTTAGGGTGTCAGCAGGAAGCATCTTGGGGTTCTGTTGATGGAATCTCATGTAATAACTGAATTCCTCGCCACATCCTTCCCAAGCCATCACTGTAACCTCTACTTCAACTTCCAGACTCTAAGGCAGTGTTTTTCAAGTGCTTACCCATTAACAGGTCCCAAAAGCAACGAAATCAATCTTGTTTGTTTTGAGTGGAATAGGAGGGGATTGGATAGAAATGTCGAGGGCATTCTGGGTAGGACTTTATGACCTCCTCCCTCCCAGCACCATCGCCTTTCTGAGTCCTCGTGGTTCCCACAGCCATTTATCACAGGTAAGCCTTTCACACCTGTCTCCTGTAGTAGGTGTGTCTCTTTGGAAGGTGACCCCCTCTCTGTACGTTCCAGTTTGATCCGAGCAGCAGAGAAAAGGAGAGAACCACCTTTCCTTCAGGTAGAACTTGACACCTAGTCACTTGCCATGATGAACATGACCTTTTCCTGCAGCTACTGACTCACATTACTGACTCATATCAGGTGCTGTCTGGGCTCTGCCCCCACCCCATCTTTGCACAGCCCAAAGGAGCAGGACACTCCCTGGGGCAGGTTTTAGTCAGCTGCACCTCTGCTGACTGGCGCTACAAGCCTGGCCTGAGAGCATGGGTCAGCGGAACAGAAGTCCTTTTCTACGAAACCTGCTCTACACCAGGTCTTGAAACCACTCTGACTCACGCTCACACCGATAGGATGAGCCCTGGGCACCTGGGGCGCCAGTCTGCCCCTGCCCTCGCCCTGTTCTCGTGGCTGCTGTCCTGCCCTCATGCCCCACCGCATCTGCCATGTCTCCCTTTTCACGGACCCTTTGACACAGTCTTCCTCCTTTGGCCTCTCCCCCAGCCCTTGGACCTTATGACTGAGGAGATTCCCTTGGCCCTCTGCTGCCTCCCCTCTGGGACTAGCTGCCAGCCCCCAGCCCCTAAGCCCAGTCAGGGCTCCTCTGAAGTGGAAGGAGGGGACAGGAAAATGAGCACCCCCCACTGAGCCTGTTCATTAAGGACCATACACCCCTGATCTTGCAGCCAATCCTCAGCTGTCATCACACTGTCCTGGGGTGCTCCCCCACATTATTGCTTCCCGTGTTCTCTGCCTGTATCCTCCCTTCGTCCTAGCACCGAAAACTATGCTCTGATCACACGGTGCTCTACAAACACGGCCCGTTCTTCCCAGAAGGCTTAGCTCACCCTCCTCTGAAGGCTGAGGGGCTGCTAATAACATGACTGAGTCAGGCCTAGCTGGCCCTGGAAACTTGCCCTCCTAAGCCTGCCTGTCTCGCCCTGTTGCAGACAGTACAGAGTGTGCCCTTGGCCCTGAGGACTCCTCCAGTCCACACTGCGGACAGGAGCATGGAGGAGACTCAGAGGGAAGGCCACGTGGGGATGGAAGTGTTGTGCCTGTGGATGTTTTCTCCCAAGTTCGTTCTGTCTCCCTCTCTTCACAGGCCACCCAGTGTGAGGAGTAACAATTTCCTAGAGGCCGCTCAGTTCCCGCCTGGCCCCGGCACTGCACTCTCTCCTTTCTTTTTACCTGCAACAGGTCCCTTCCCCACTCTGGGGCTCCACTGCACCCCATCTGCAAAAGGTGGGGCGTGCAGGGGCTGCAGATGGGGGGCAGGCGGGAATGCCAGGCAGGATGCAGTAGTGCCACAGCAGCAGGACTGAGTAGGGTCAAAACTGAAGCAGCTCGCCCCTCTTGATGGTATTCAGGTTCTTCTTTTCCATGCGATTCAGGCCAAAATACAGCAAAACAAAAGGAAACTCTGATGCTGGATTCAGTTTTTCCTGGGCAGTTTTCATCCCTAGAACTGATCTCCATTGACCCTTTCTCCAAGATTCTGGTCCTTTCTTTTCATCCCCACCTTTTCAGATCAGACAGAGGCCCTGAAGCGGGCGCAGGCTGAGCACAGGCTGCCTTTTCCTGACCCTGGTCTTCTTGGCGCCTCCTTCATGCTTCGTGGCAGTTTTTACATTTGTCATGTCCCGACTTCTCCGTTTCTCCTTTGCCTACTTCCTTTTCCTTCTCCTAAGCCATCGTCGCCTGCAGCTGAAAGGGCTGGAATTCTTGACTGGGCTTGTGTGAAAGCCAGTTGTGAAATAGGTGAGGAGAGAATAGTGTGTTTCAAGAGGGAAAAAAATGACCAAAATATGTGAAACTGACCCAAAGCGGGTAAGACAGATAAGACATAAAAGGAGACACAAAGAAAATAACAGAGGTCAAACTGTATGTATTGTTGAGCTAGGGATAACACTTTTGGGAGGGAGGAAGTAATACCACGAGTCATTTGCCACAGAAATTCCAAAGGAGGGCCTCCCTTGGTGGCCCAGTGGTTGAGTGCTGGGCTGCAAAGCTACCCTTAGCCTCTGCAGTGCTGATTTGATCCCGGCTGATGGTGAGGGTCCCACAAGGCGCGCAGACCTCTCCTGTCGCGCCCGCTGCTCCCCTCAGCAGTGTACTTTGTCAGTATGCCTGTTCTGTTCCCCACTCTGTCTCTGGTGAATTCTCTCACCCTCCCACGTTTCTGACTGTACCTAGTGCTTGTATAAATAAATAAATAAATCTTTAAAAAAAAAAATGTAGTGTTAAAAAAAAAAAAGAAATTCCAAAGGAAAGAAAAGGATGATTCTGAGGCTCAGGGAGATGTTCAGTCGCTGGAGAGAAAAGGAAAGCACAGAGCCCCGAACAACACGTGGAAGGGAAGCTTGGTGGGTCTTTCATTGCGCAACCCTTGCCAAGCTGTTATGTAAAACCCTCCAGGGATGAATGAAATTATGTTCTTACAGGCCTTTCTATTTAAGCATTGAAGAATCATGTTAAATAAATCTCAAGGACAGACTTGCTCATTCTTATCTTTCCTAAGCATCTTGGATGATGTCACATAACCTCTTCATGTGGTTTCTTTTCTCTCTCAGAAAAAATCCTTCCTGAGCACGGCCCAGAACAGCAACTACAAATACCCGCCCCCCAAGCAACTCAACCAGGTAACCCCTGATATATGCCTGCCTCTTGGGGACAGACCACTGCCACCTGCCAGTGACTCCAGGCATGGTGCAGGTTCCAGAGTATTCACTTAAACAGAAAGTTGACCTTCTCACACTCTGGAAATTAAAATGTAAAAAAGCCTGCCCCCCCTCCCCCCAGCCATGAGATTCCAGGATTGTCCTCAAGCACTCACCAACTCCAGGAAGCACCTATGGGTGCGTTTTCTTTCTACAGACATGGCTTTCTGATTAGGCAGCTCAGTCTGTCAAGACAGGATAAGGGGGAGGCCATGGAGATGATGTGCCACAGACTTCCTGTGAGGTAGAAACTGAGTGGGAAGAACCTCAGTTCAGGGCTGACATATATCCAGGTAGTCCCCAGGATGTTTAGTTCAAGTTGATTGTTCCAGCTCTGAGGGGCCCCAAAAGATTCAGGGTCCTTGGCTTATAGACTGCTGTTCCAAAAATGGCCTGCAGGACCCATACTACACCAGACTAGCTCTGTCAGCCACCAGGATGAGGGCTCATCACCAGTTTCAGCTGAGCCCGACAGTCTGTCTGCTCTGGTCCTGTGCTAGGGGCGGGAGGGAGCCAGAGCAAGAGCACATGTGATCCTGCCCTTGGTGAACTAGAGGTCATTCATGCAGAGGGCCTAAGTCTTGTCCAGAGAGAGAGAGAAGTAAACCAGAGAGGTGGTCCGAGCCCTCGTGGAACTTTTAATTAACTGGAAAAGGCATCCAGTAAACAGCTAAGCACAGTCATTTCAGATGGAGATGACCACTCTGAGGAAGTGATATGAGGAAGCGTAACAGGTGGCAAGTTCCAGTGAGCTGTGCAGGCCAGGCCAGCCTCGCTGAGGAAAGGAGTCTTGAGCTGGGACCTGTATGATGAAAAGATGCCAACTCTCTGAAGATCCAGAGCCAGGGCCTCAGGAGTAGGGCTGAGACGGGTGTATTTGAGGAAGAGAAAGAAGTTCAGTGACTGTGGCCACATGAAGGAGGTGGAGAGTGAGATGACCAGAGGGGTTACCAGGGGCCAGGTCATGTGGAGCCTGAACCCATGGACTTCAGGTCGAGAGATTGGAAAAGCCACTGGGGGAAGTTTAAGGAGAGAGAAATGTAACTTAGCTCCCCTTTTTAGTGGTTTTTGTTTTTGTTTTTAATTTAGGTAACATTAGTTTACAATGTTTATAATCACATACAATCACTGTATGTGATTGAGGTGTGGGGTCACACCTCTTCAGTTGTATGTCACCACACCTGCCACCAAGGCACCCACAGGCCCCCACCCTGTTCCCCACCATCCGTCCCCCTCTGCTAATCTCATCTCTGCAGTTAAATTTCTAGGGTTTGTTACTGATTTGGTTCTGTCTGACCCTTTGTTTCCTTTCTCTGTGTTCTGTGTATAAATGAAACCGTCTGACATTTGTCTTTTTCCTGCAGGCTTATTTCACTGAGCATTTTCCCCTCTAGTTTCCTTGATGTTGTCGCAAATGGCCAGAGTCCACCTTCCTGTAGCTGAGTCGTATTCCATTGTGTACATATATGTAGCCCTCTTCCTATCCTCTCATCTGTTGCTGGGCACTTGGATTGTTTCCACAACTCGGCTGTTGTCAACAGTGCTGCAGTGAACGCGGGAGTGCAAATACCTTCAAGTTAGTGCTTTGGCCCTCTTCAGGCAGATACGTAGGAGTGGAATTGCTGGATCGTATGGTAGATCTATTTTTAGTTGACTAGTTTGGAAAATGAATTGGAGAGCAGCAGGGGTGACTGAGGAGAAACCTTCAATAAGTCAGCTGAAGAACTGAGATTAACATATATGAAATTATTAAACAACTGTTAGGTGCTAAACTCTTGTGTAGCCATGACGACTTCATGGTTGGGGAATGTCACTCGTCAGTCTCCCTCAAACTGGTGTTGGCCCAAAAGAGGCTTGCCCCAGGTAAATCACTGACCAAATTCCATTGTAATTGAAATGTCAACTGCATCTTGTCAATCAGGCATTTGTTTATTTATTTGACATGTCTCTATTTAGGCACCTACATGGGGCTGTACCATGCTCAGTGATAGCTATTCAAGAGTCAGCAAAGTGGGTCTGGACTAACTAGCTTGGCTCTTACAGCCTCACATACCTTTGGTTCAGCTGCTGGAAGGTGTGTTGGTTATCTTTTGCAGTGACTTGCTACTTAAATAGCCACAGGTAGACCACATCACCATTACCCTGGAGCTTGTTAGAAATGCAGAGTCCTGGGTATGCCCTCCCCTAGTCCTACTGAATGAGAATCTGCATTAACAAGACCCCCAGGGGACTTGGGAGCCCTGGTGTAGGGTCTAGCACTTGGTTCTTTTGTGACAGGGGACTTTGCTCAAGTTCTAACCTGTGTTTGTTCCTCTGCACCGCACATGCTTGTCTCTGGCTCACCAGCTCATGGAGATAACTCTAAATCATTCATGGCTATGGAACTTTATTCTTGGTTGCATTTTGGCTGGATGTTTGTCATCTGCACTCAGGCATGTTCTTGATTTCTGTAGCATTTGCACACCAAAAAGGAATTTATCAGTGCAATGAATTGAGCCATCCCTAGGAATAGTGAAATTCAATTGATTAAGCAAATAATATTTAAGAGGTTTCAATTTTGTTCCCTCACAAGGGGGCATTTTAACAAGGCTTGCCTTCATCATCTTTTGACTAAACAGAGAGATGAGCTCCTAATGGTGTTGGTCATCACAGTCCTGGAGAATCAGTCAACTGGTCAGCACCTGTTTGTGGAGACCTTTTGTGCGCAACACTGGGCTTGTGCCTAGGGCCCCTGGGGACAGGCAGAAGCCGGGGACTCTAGGGAAAAGACTCCTTCCCATCCTACCCCACCCCTCCTACTTGCTGGTTCTGCTTATATCTGTTCTGGCACTTCCCTTCTGCCACCCTCTCCCCTGGAAAATGCACTCTGTATTCCAAAGACCAGAGAATTTGACTGAAGATATCAGACTTATGGGCATTTATCTATATATGCATAAGGTATTGGTGACAAAGATATACATGCACAAAGATATACATACGTACGTAAAAGAAATGTAAGAACCAAGAATTTTGAAATTATAAAAAGGTTCATGTTATTTTCCTAAAATTTTTTTGAACTAGTTGCTTTCTCAATCATTGACCCTTAGTTTAATGCTAATTGACGCCATCCAGCCTCTCTGTAACTGCTAACAAAGCATCCAAATCTGTGTCCCTTGGGAGATCACCTCTACCATGATTTCACGGTTTTCTCCCCTGCCTTGACAGGACCACTGGTTGCGTTAAAGTGTGTGGATAAGGTGGGCTGGGACACACTGGGCGTGGGTACCCACACATTGTGATTTCCCTCTCAACCCACCTATAGCTAACACGTGTGAGCTCACATGATCCTCTACACTGATAGGGCTCTAGACTCCACCAAAAATCTCTTAGCTAGTTCCTGGGCAGAAGCCCCCTTCCTGCACAATGACTGTTGGGTGTTTTTTCTTGTCTCCTGCTGATTTAGAATTGGGGTAGTGACTTCACATGTCAGCATCTGAAGCCTTCCAAAACTATTCCCACCTCAGGTGAGTGAGAACGTCATCCCCTGCTTTTAAATAACCATCTTGCTAAGTGTCCGGTTGGCAGGAGACCCTATGAACACACCCTGGAGCTTGGCGGAGCCTTGCTGATTCTAACGCCACACAGGCCCAGAGCCCGGCAGCCCACAGAGGCTGCCTCACAGCCACCGCTGGGCTCCCATGGGGAGGGCCTCTCCTGCAATCAGTCTTCTCATCTCCATGGCATCCCAGTGGGAACCCGTCAGGCCCCCTGACCAGTGAGGCCGGTGTACTCATGAACTGGGGTCCTGTCTACCTACGCTCACACCCCCAGCCCCTGAACTTCCCTGAACCACTCGTGTGAACTGAGCTGCTCTCAGGAAAGGCCACTGCCTGCTAACTTCAGTTCCCTGGTTGCTCTGCATGGAGAGAAGAGGTGAATTTGCTAAGCCTTAGGCTAGAAATAGTACAATGGAGACCTATGAAACTGGAGCCAAATCTCAGATTCCTGGTCATGTTCACATGTTCAAAAAAAGACCACCTCCTAACTGTTCATCTTTTTGCCTGTCTCCCTAGTCCATCAGCTTCAACCCTCAGACTTCCATGTGGTGGCCGCCTTGGGTGACTGGATGACAGTGAGTTCCAAGCTGAGCCGGAGTGGGCACCCGCCAGACCCTGCATAGACCCATTCCTGGCTCTGCCTCCCACGCTTGGCTGACACTGCTCGGCACCTACCTGTGTCAGGCAATGAAAAACACAGCCAAGTGACCATAAGACACCAGCGGACCATCTGAAACACCAGACCTCTCCCTTCTAGTCCCACGAGCACCACCCCTTCCCCGGGCCTCCTCTCCACCCCCAGAGACAAGGCAACCCTCTCTCCCAGCACCCAGGCATTTCATCCTTGTGTGGCACTCACCCAAGTCGGCCTGCCTTGGTCAGGGAACCCATCTGCATCCACCAGATGCACAGACTGGCAGGTCTTCCTCACACACTGCCCGGTGACCCCTCACCCCCAACTTAAAGATGTGTGCTGGGGGCCAGAGGGAGCCCAGTTCCTGCACCTAATACAGTTTGCTACCCGAATTACATCAGTCAGCTAGTGACTGCTGTGTGCAAGACTCTCTGCTAGCAACTCTGAGGGAAGAGGAGGAGGAGGCATAGTCACAATCCACAAAACACTAGATTGCCTGGGAAAACAAACTTAGAAGCAGCCACATAATCACACAGGAGACATGCAGGACTTGAACGTCAGGTGCTCACACATTGGTGAGGACACAGGACAGCGTGGAAGCACCAGCTCGCAGCCATCTTTAGCGCTGGTCGGGGGTGAGGGAGGAGCCACCTGTGGTGAAGGCAGGATGACTGAGGTAGAGGGAGATTTTTCATTCTTTCAAAATCTTTGCGTTGTTCCACTAGTGAGGGTGAACATGTTGCTTTTGTAAATTCTAAAGAGGAATTTTATTTTTTTAAGAGAGAGCATTTAGAGAGAGTTTTCCAGAGGAGGGAGAAACTGACAGAGATCTTGGAGAATGAATTAGAGACTCTTAAATCTGACTGGACAGGAGGGGGTTCAGCATCCCAGAGGAGATGGAGAAGCACTAACAGGCAGGCCAGTCCCAGGCCCTCATGCGTCAGGAGTGGGGACAGATGAGTTTGCTGCGAGCGGAAGGTTGGGTGGAAAGGAGGTGGTGAGCAAGTTGGATCAGATGGAGGACAGCTCAGAAGCTTGGTGAGGGGTTTGGTTTACCCTGCAGGTAAGGGAGACCGCCGAAAGGTCAGCGTTGGGTGAGGACAAGCGAGGGCTGGGGTGTGAAGAAAGGTGCGCTCAGATGAAGAGGCAACACGCTCGAGACTGTGGGGTCACGTAGGAGCCCAGGGTGTTGTCCATGGTGAAAAGAGGCGTGTCAGCAGAAGGCACAGAAAGAAAGTTGTGGGAGTTTGACTGGGGAGGAAGAAGCTCAGTTCCTCCAGGACGGGGTTACTCTGTGTAGAGGCTGGGGAGTCGCCATCACCCCAAGACTGAGCAGCCTGGAGAAAAGCCAGTACCGTTTTCAAAAACAACAAATGTAGGTCCTGGCTCCCACACAGGGTGGGGATGAGGGGTCTTTCCCAGCCCCTGGACACACGTCCAGAGCCTTCTCTTTGCCTTTCAGACAGCTGAGGGAGCCCAGCCAGGCATCAGTCAGGCCATATCCTGGAGGGGACTCTCCTGGAGGTGAAGCTCTTCTCCCCTAATTTTCTGTTGCTGGGATTCCCCAAGGGGGCATCAGGAAGGGTGTGTCCCCAAGGCTCCCTGATGCTCACGTTAGTCCTAAGGGTGCTGGTAATGATATACGAGGGCCACCTGTCTGATCCTGACTCAGAAATATGAGCTATGTGGAGCAGCAGGTCGGAGGGTTGGGGGTGGATGTTAATAAACCCACTTTCTTTTCCCCAGCATTGGGGGGGATAAAGACTTGGCGAACCAGACCACACTGCCCAGTAAGTAGCAACACAGAGAAGCAACATCATTACCATCATTAGAACCCCTCACTGAGGCCAGGGTCTTCCTCAAGCGAGGAAAGAGAAGGTTATCTGTCAGGAGGGGTGGAGCTCATCTGAGGAGACCCAGACCTGCCCTCCCACACCTGTACCCCGTCACCGTGTGCCCCTGTCCCTCTCACCTGTGTTCTCTGCCTCCTCCCTCATAAAAGATATTCTGAAGAAGTTCAACCCTCTCATCTTTGGGTCCTCCAAAGGTACATGGAAAGAGATGGGAGGTCTGAATGTGGCAATGGAAGGGGCCCGAGCTTGGTGAGTAGACATGGGTACCAGAGGGAGCATGGAGGGTGAGGCAGAGGGCCAGGGAGGGAAGTGGGAGGCCACAGGGAGGTGTCTGGGAGTCTGATGAGCAATAACAGCTGGCCCTGACCTGACCCCTCGTGTGGGCTGTCTTATGTAGTCCTGCCCTGCTTTGAGAGGGGCACAGCGGGAGGACTCTGGGGTTTAGATCATCTCCTGGCCACTCTGAGGTTATCAGAGGAGCCAGGATCAGTCAGACAAGGCAGAACAGGAGCCTCTGCTCTACCCATTGACTGTCCCACCTGTCCTACTTGAGGTAGCCTGGTAGGGAGCACACCTTCTCCAGGCCTGGGGTGCCGTCCTGCTCACCCAAGCCTGATTTCCCTGCCCAGTGGAGGTGCTCGGAACTGTCTGTGGCCCCCATGGGTCTTTGTCCTTCCTCTTCACCCTTTCCACCACCTGCGGTGCCCGGAAATCTCCAGTCTTTGACTCTGAAAATGCTGTATTTTGACATTAGGGAATCCGATGTGAGGGCCCCGAAAGAACACTGGTGTGTGTTTGTTTTCATTCTGATTTCTGTTGTTGCCAACAACCCAGGTAATTGAGGCAGAAATGCCTGACAGAGTTCATTGATTTTTGGCACGTAGGGAGCTGGGTGTTTGCTTTGTAGAAAGATCGCTGCGCACTGATCACCAGGGAAACGACTCTGGCCTGACTCACACTGTTGACAGGGAGCGTGCAGCAGCCGCAGGAACAGGGCCCCACGCTCACTCGCTCAGTCTGAGTCTCCAGGCCACAGGAAGCATTGTTAGTTCCTCAACGTCATAAACAGGAAGAACTTATTTTTCTGCAAAAAAAAAAAAAAAAAAAAAAAAAAACGGGGCTTGGTGGGTCATAACACCAATATCTAATCACTGTTATCACCATTACTGTTGTTATCATCATCATTTCTTTTTATTATACAGCCCAGTTTTCATGAACAGGAAGTTGATTCCCCGGTCTGTTCATATTCAAGCCTCGTCCCTCCCCCACTCATTTCCCATGTGGCCTTTTTTTCCATTTTTACTGCTGCTCAGTGTCTCCACCAGAAAGTGGGGAAAGCAGTCAAACGCTGGCCAGTACCTCTGATGCCCACTGCTAGAGGAAAAGAAAGTAAGCCACTGACTTTATTAAGCAGGGTTGGAGAATTGTCCTGTGACTGTCCTTTATCTGCACTCTGCTCTTTTACCCGAAGAGCAAGGCCACAGCAGCTAAGATAGTGAGACCTGGAGTCAGACCTTCTGGGTCCACATCCCAGCTCCAAGAGGTGCTGGCCGTGGGTCCTCTGGGCAAGTCTTGAGTCTTAGTTTTCTCATCTCTAAGTGAGAACAATAATAGCACTGACTTCTTGGGGTTGACGTAAGGACTAAATGAGGTCAGTAGTCTATGGAAAACATTTAGTACGATATGCAGGACTTATCCTGAGCCTGAGGGTGGGGGGCACTGGTTGCCAAGAGCAGAGGGAGTGGGCATTCCTGACTTCCCTAGTGGTCCTGCGGGCTTGTCCACCATGCACTTCTCTGGTCACATCCAGAACCTATTAAAAGGTAATAGGCACTTCTCTAGGCACCTTTAACCTTTTTTTAAATAACTTTCTGACACACCCACCAAGAGCAATAGTGCAAGGAATGCATTCCTGGATGTATAAATGGGAATCATGGGCAGGGATGGCACCTGGTGTGCTTGGCCGTGTGCCCAGCTCACAGAGGCACGTGAAGATACCAGGCAGCCAGCCCGTACCAGCCACTGCTTTTATGACTATTTCCACGGACGCCTCCATAGCTGTACCCCTTTGCTAACATAAATTCTCTTATGCTAGTTTTAAAAACAGCTTTATTGGGTATAAATGACATGCAGTTAACTGCACATATTGAAAGTATGCAAATTGATAAGTGTGACATATGCAAATACCATCCCCGTAATCAAAGGTAATGAACATCCATCACCCCCCAAAGTTTCCTCATGCCCTTTGCTCTCAGTCTCTCCCTCCTGCCTCTCCTGTATCTCCTCCACTTCCTGGGTCCCAGGCAACCCACACCTACTTTCTGTCCCTATAAATGAGCTTTAATTTTCTAGCATGTCATAAAAGTGGAATCAAACTGTGTACCCTCTTCTTGTCTAGCTGTGCTCACCCAGAAAAATTACTTTGAGATATATCCGTGTTGTTGCATGACTGTCGCAATAGGTGCAGCTCTCATACAACACAGATCATGGTGTATTATGCCTTTTGTATAGATGCAAAAAAGGAAAACATTTTTCTCCCTGCAGTGAGAACTGTTAGGAACCCTTAACTTTCCTTAATGTCACACGGCGGGGGTGGCTGTAGTCATCACATGGCGCACTGCATGTCTTATACTTTTTTGTCTTAAACTGGAAATTACTACCTTTGGACCACCTTCCTCCAGGTCCCCTCTGTCTTTCCCCATCTTCTGTCTTTGGCAACCATATATCTGATCTCCTTTTCTCTGAATTTGGTTTGGTTTAGATGCCACACATAAGTGAGATCATACAGTATTTGTCTTTCTCTGACTCAGTACACTTAGCTCGTTGCCCTCAAGGTCCACCCATATTGTCAGAAACGGCAGAATACCCTCATTTTTTTAATGGCTGAAAATATTCGTGTGTTTACTCTCTCTCTCTCTTCAACTTTCTTACCCATTCATCCATCTGCAGACACTTAGGCTGTTGCTACAACTTGGCTATTTTGTAAATAATGCTGTGAGCATGGGTTTGGAGACATCTTCTGGGGTTAGTGTTTTCATTTCTCTTGGATGTAGTCTCACAAGGAACTGGTGGATCTTAGGGCAGGTCTGTTCTTGAGGAACCTCCGTATTACTTTCCATGTGACTGCACCAACTTACCTCCCCACCGACAGCAGCCAGCGTTCCCTCTCCTGCACATCCTCTATCATGCTCCCTCTCCTTTGTCAGTCAGCCATCCTAACAGGTGTGTGATAACACATTGTGGTTTTAATTTGTATTTCCCTGATGTTGCACATCTTTACACACACCTCTTGGTCTTTCCTGTGTGTTCTGTAGAGCAATGTCTGTTCAGGTCCTCTGTCCATTTCCCAAGGCTTGGTTGTTTGCTATTGAGTCGTATGAATTTATGTTTTAGAAATATTAACCCCTTATAGATATATGTTTTGCAAAGACTTTTTACCACTCCGTAGGTTGCTGATGGTTTCTTTTGTTGTGTAGAGCCTTTTTTTTTTTTTTTTTAGTTTGATGTGGTCCCACTTATTTCTGGTTTTGTTGCCTGTGCTTTAGGTACCATTTCCCTCTTCATTGCTGTGTAGTATGTGAATGGCATCTGTCTTGCTCATCCAGACATTCATGTCCTGATTTATGGCAGATACCTGAGAAATGGAGGACCTAATCATGTTTTGTTGGGAGGAGACAAAATATGAGGAGCTGGGGAATGGTGTGGAAATCCAAACTACATAGAAAAAAAAAACAAAAGGATGAAAAGAACAGAGGGAGGCTTAGAAGGAAAGTTTAAAGGAGTTATTAAGGCTGGAAAGGAGAAAGTTGAGAGATAATTGAGGGCTATGACCTTTTTCAAATATGCAAAGGGTTATTTTTAAAACAGGCAGTTGAAGAATTGAATGGGCTTGGCTTGCAGTGAAAGTGCTGGATGACACGGAAGGGATATCCCTGGCGGGAGAGTTGAGCAGATCCCACCCCCAAGTGGCCAAAGAGGACACAGCCTGCAGATGGGCTGGATGGATACAGACCAGGCCGTAGAAGGGTCTGGAGCGTGCGGCCCAGGTCCATGGCAGATCTTTGATCATTACTAGGTTAAGATTCTTGAGAATCAAAAGACTCTCCACAAGCTCTAAAGGAACCAACTTTACATAACATTTTTCTTCCTAAGGCACTTCTCTTGAGGTTGTTAGTTTTTTCAGAGTACACAGATGAGATCCTAGAATATTTGTTGTTACCTGACTTCCTTTAGCATAATGCCTTTAAGACCCAAATCCTACAACTTGAGCCCTTGCTCCCCAGATGGTTCTAACCTCCGCCCCCCTTCTCTTGCATGCTGTCTAGGAGCCTGATGGCCCAGGCCAAGTACTTGATAACACTAATGCAGAGCAGTCCGGTGAGTAAGGGTCCTGGCCACCCCTGCAAAGTGCTGAGTCTCCATCTGGCTAGGGTGGGTGTACTGCAGCTCCTGCTATTGACTTATCACTGGGAGAGTGCAATTTTAAGAAGCAGGCCTGACCACCAGTGTACCCTCTTTGCTGCCCCCCTGACCAAGGTTTTGACCTAGGGCTGGCTGCAGGAGAGAAAAATGTATCAGAGATCATGGCCTTGGCCCCTGGCAACTTCCCACTTTACCCAAGAGTTGGCTTCCCAGAACCCTATTATATAAACGCTGGCTTCTAAAAATAGTCTTCTCATTTCAATCTTTCCTCCTTCTCTCTTGCCCAGCCCCTCTAGAACTTCTCACTAGAACTTTTTTCAGTGCTCTCTGTTTATATCTTGGAATCCAGCCTCTGGCAGGCTCCTATTATGGTGGTAACTGAGGGAAAAACAGGCACCCTTGAGGGCCTCCTCAGCCTCCCTCCCTGGACCCAGGGCCCAGGAAAGCAAGAGTCAGCTCTGGGCTTTTGCTTCTAGATGCATCTTTTGCCCTTAGTTCCTAATATGCTCCCTTCATCAGGACAACTTTGAGAGGATTTCAAAGGGAAAATAGTACAGAGAGTTCCCTCTGGAGAGCTCCTGGCACCAAGGCGAGGGAGTCTCCACTTGGCATCTCCCCTCTGTGGTGATGCAAAGTGGGTAAAAAGCATTTGGTGGATGTCTAGCCTACTGAGCATCACCTGCCTCCCAGCAGGCCTAAACTTTGGATCTTCTGTCCCTCAGGAAGTCAATATGAAGAAAGACTGGAAGCTGATCACTCTCTTCATTGGGATCAATGACCTGTGTGATTACTGCGCTAACTGGGTACGCCCTATAAAGGGAGTTGCCCTCCTCTGCCATTACGGTGCCCAGGGCCACTGGGGAGCAGGCCTGAGCTCACCGCTGCTGCACTGCTTCCCTGACTCCAGCAGTGTCCCGATGTACCTGCTCTTCAGGCACCGGGAGGTGATCTCACTCCTGCACACGATAATGGTTTGGGGTATCCAGTGGGTGATTGGCAATCCCCACCCCAAACCTGCTTGGGGCCCCTGCCTATTTGGGGTTTTGGTTTAAGAGAGGTTTCACAGGGGAAACCCAAACACTGTCATTGAACCGTGCCAAGAGTGTGGTTCGCTGCCTTTCAGGTATCATGAGTTAACCAGCCCCAGCTGGCTGGCCTGGAACCTACCGCACAGGCTGGAGGAGAAGCCCCTTCCCCCACGCAGGAGTTTGCTCTTACCCCCTGTTCTCTCCCTTGTTGCCCAGACTCTGGAAACAGAAGTGACCGATCCCATGGGGATTTAAATGTTATTGTGTCCTAGATGCAGTGGCGTCCAGGAAGCCAGAACTGACTCCAGAATACCTGCCCCTCATCAGATAGGCTGCCCCCAGAATTAACTCAGGCAATTTTTTAGGAAAGGGTTAACTCAGCCTCCAGTTCGGAGATGGGTCATAGGATGTGAGCCTCGAGCTGAGTCACAGGGATAGGAGTTAGGGGGAAGAAAACAGCAAAGGGTCCAGGCAGTTGGGCCAGCTTGGGCCCCAGCCCTACAGAAGACAGCATGGTCACCAGGGGGCCGCTTGGCGGGACTCAGCCCTGCAAGGGTCTGCCTTTGGGCTTGAGATTCTGTGGGCTGATGGGAATTGTTCCTGTCGCCAAGTAGGAATTAAAGGCTGGCTTTTTATAAGAGACTTTGTGCCCACCAGCGACAAGAGCTGGGTTTCCTAGACTATCCAATGCCACCACAATGCCTCTGTACCCACCCTCCCCATCCTGGGCCCCCTAGGGCCCTCCTGGACTGGGCCCTGGGCCACTCTTGTCCTCAAAGTAGAGCCCAAGGGTTGAGGAGAGCCCCTTCTTTGCAGAATGCCCACGCAGTGAGCGACTATGCTCAGCATATCGAAAAGACCCTGGACTATCTCTCAGACAAGGTAGGGAAAGCAGCTGCATGTGCCTAGGTCCCATTTTCTGCAAATCTGCTCCCCCCATAGGGGTGGGGAGCTGCCTCCCTGGGTGCATCTAGGCAAGTTCCTGTTCTGAGAGCTGCATGCAGAGCCGGAGCCCCACTGTCCACTGTGAGCAGGCAGCTGATGGACTGGGAGGGAGGCAGCTGCTGCGTTCCTCTGTGAGGACATTCTAATTGGATCAGACTCTACTGCTTGGTAGCAAAGAGCTGATCTCTGGAGCCAGGGATGGTGGCTTATAAGCAATGGGACTTTGGGTGTCTCGGCTTTCCAAACTATAAAGTGGGGTTGATAGAAAAGATTCAGTGGAATAATACCGGCCATAGTCCCTCTCGAGGCATCAGTTTCTTTATTGGTAAAATAGGGAAAGGGAAGTTGGATTGCAGATGATTCTGGCTCCTTCCAGCAAAATCCAAAGCCCCTCCCCAGTGTAACTGCCTAGGGACTAATGAAGTCCACCCCTCTGCTCCCCACAGCTTCCAAGGACTTTCGTCAACTTGGTGGAGTTAATGGACATAGTTAGCCTGTATGAGAACCGAGGACAGGACTGTACTTTGTAAGTAGATGGCTGACCTGGAGCAGCAGGCTCAGCTGCCAACAGAAACACTGATGTAGGCAGAGCTAGACGATCCCATACCCAGGGAAGCCACGGCCCTCAGGGCCTTGGAAAGGCCTCTGTGTTGCTGAACAATGACTGCATGCAAGTCGCTTCATTTCTGTAAAGTGTAAGAGACAGACCAAGAGATCATTTAAAGTCCCCTGACATCGAAGTAGAGACAAACACCAACCTCAGCAAATAGTTCCATCTTTCAGAGGCAGCACAAGGCAATGAGCTTTCACGACCACAGATCTAGCCTCAAATCCTGGCTCTGTCACTGGGCTGTGCAACCTTGCAAAAAGCACATAATCTCTCTGGGGGCCTATAAAGTCTCCTTGCGAAGTAGTTGTGACGCCTAGAGGAGAAGCATGTAACAGGAGGTCAGGCTCTCAGAAACAGGAGATTTTAAAACACCCTTGGCAGGAATGTCCTGAAAAGCCAGGCTTGGAATTAAGGTATTGACATGCATGATAAGAGTTCCTTTTGGGGGGACTGGCGTTCATTCAAGTTCAGCTGTGACTCTAGCAGGAAGTTGACCTCTGTTGAGGTCAGAGGGTCACCCAGTGTTCTTGGGATGGTTGCAGTGGGGGTGAAATATATCTGCTAGAAAGGTGACTAGTAGGAACCCGCCCCCTGGGTGGAGTGGCCAGGGGTTAGCAGGTATAAATGGCTTCTCCAGAGTCCAGGGGCTTGGACCACCAACCACCTCTTAGGGTGGTTGGCCCTCCTAACTTTCCAGGAGACACCACACTCTGGAGCCCCGAGGCTGAGTCCTTAGGGTCATGAAGGAAGTAGAGTATTGTGTTCTCCTTCCACGGGGGCACTCCAGGAGTCGTAGACTGAGGAAGGAAAAGTCAGGCAGTAAGGGAAGGGGCAGCCGTCCACAAGAAGACCGGGCAATGAGTGGCAGCCCCTCTAAGACCCTGTGCCCCTAAGTACCATCCTGTGGCCTGGCCACAGGGGCCAGGGCCCTGTGGGTAGCAGTTTCCTGTGTGTCACCTGGGGTGGGGGTTGGTGTGCAGACCCAGGCCCCTCCAGGAAGCCTCTGCCATAGGATTCCTCTTCTCTCAGGTCCAAATGTGCTTGCCTCAAAGTCACCCCAAACACCCCAGAGATGGAGCAACTGAGAAAAATGAACCAAGCCTTCCAGGTGAGCCCGCTTTACTTCCTGAGCCAGAATCCCCAAACTGTGTTCAGCAGGGAGCTGCTGAGAGCAAGCAGGTCACAGCCCCTGAAATACTTTTCCAGGCCAATCAAACCCAAGGCTGGGGAGGGAAGAAGGTGAGAAATCTCAGAAGGGAAGCTGGGACAGTTCCTCCCTCAGTCCCTGGTGGCCCCAAGCAGCCCTGAGTTCCTTGTGGAAGGCATCACCCCCGCCCCAGCAGGGAGGGCAGGGGAGGGGTCACTGCCCTGTTGGTCTCCCTCCCTGGGGCAGGGCGAGGCTTCTGTCCTTACCGCCTCCCAGCACACTATACCTTCTCACGTGGGTCTCTGCTTGTGGGGCCCCTCCCTTGCAGGCCCACCCTGAGCTTCTCTGCAAATCTGTCATGTCTCCTGACCTCTTCCAGGCTTCACCTCCTCTCAGCTTCTGCCTGCCCTTCCCTGACCCTAAAGGCCTGTGGTTCTCAGACTTGTACAACTTGTCTCACTGCCCATATGGATGGAAGCTCTCCTTGAGGATACACATGTCGAGTTTATCCCTTATGTAGTCCACATTTGGGCACAATAACTCTATGATCATGGACGTGCATCCCCCAGCCCCGGCATTACGGAGAGCTGGCATTGAGATGCCCGCATGTAAGCTGGACCCGAACTGGAGCCCCATATTCTAACCTACCACTTTGTATAGTGAGGACGGGGGAGACCTTTGTCCAAGGAGACTGGTCAGAGGCTCAGAGCCCAGCTTACAGAGCCCTGAGCGTGGGCCCAGCGGTGCTCATGCACGCGTGCAGAATAGCGCAGACACACACGCTAGCACAGCCCGTGAGCCACCTGGTCGTGTGGCTGGCCCCTCACAACCAACCAAGGCAGCCAGACTAGATCAGTCCAGGCCGCCCTGCAGAGAGGGCTGAACTACCTCTCTCTCCCTCCCCAGAGAGCCGTCGCCAACTTGAGCTCCTTACAAAAGTACCAAAGGGAGGACTTTGCGGTAGTGGCGCAGCCTTTCTTCCGAAAATCAGTTTTCCCGCGGAACGAAGTAAGCACCAGGCACTTCCGGGAGGAGTGTGTAGGGAGGGTCTGTCTTGGGTGAGGCATTTCTGTGTGTGTGTGTGTCTGTGTCTGTGTGTGTGTCCATCTCACCAAGAGGATTCCCAAGGGATTGCTTTGTTCTTCCTTTTTCTGTTTTTGGTGGTGTGACTGGAACTTAGAGGAACTTGGATAGGAAGTGCAAGGCAGGCATGACCTGGCTCCTTTCTGGATGGGATAAAATAGACAGTTTCCTAAAAGTACTGTCCTTTTAGGGCTGGGATGCTGAAGGGAGAGCGCTGGACTGTGGGTGCATGGCCAACACACCTGAGCCAGTTGGCAGCAGACTTGAAAGGAGAAATGCCTGGGGCGTGCAGGGGCCGGGGCAAAGTGCCCGTCACTCAGGAAGTTAATCCTCTTGTCTTTGGTCACAGGAAGGGCAGGCTGACCTTACCTACTTCTCCAAAGACTGTTTTCACTTCTCGTCACGTGCGCACGACCAGATGGCCATCGCACTCTGGAACAACATGGTGAGTGCCAGCGTCAGGGCAACTGTCTCCCACAAGAAGCTCCTTTCTTCCTCAGGTTCAAAATGACACCTACCTTATTTGCCCTGACATTCCATTGATTCAGTAGTTCCTTGATCTCTGGGGCAATAACTCTGTCATCAGATCCACTGGATGCCAATATCAGCTTCAACTCCTCAACTGTGTGACCTTGAGCAAATGACCTCTCTCTGTAGCAACATCTATAAGAACAGTGAAGATGACACAGACCTAAGATAATGTGGAGATAGCATCCGGCACAAATGTCAGTCCCATTATTCTAGTCCCAACACATTCCCGACTATTATCTCTTTAAATAGCACAAAGAGCCACAGAGCCTCTTTTCCCAGGTGCTCTCCTATTCCAGTCCCTTTTGATGGAGAGAACAGGGCATCTTCTAAGTGAGCATTCATCCCAGGGTCCGTAGGGGTACTGGCCTCGTCCCTGCCCTACGTGGCAGGTCACTTGCTACTGGGCAGTCAACTGTATTTTCCCAGACCTTGACCTGTAGCCCTGATAGCTGCATCCCCCTGTGCAGCACACATGAAATGCCTTTCCAATCCACTGCTTTCTTTTGATTGAGGCTCAGTGGGTAACCCAACCCCCACCCCAACCTGCATGAGCCCTCATTTCCCCCATGGTGACTAAACACCCCAGACTCCTGCTCTTTCTGTCGTACTTTCAGGCCCACTGTGCAAATATCCCCACACCTTGTCAATGCAGCCAGCATAGCCAGTACCTTCCTCAGCTACACACCTCCTCCTCTTCCTCTCCAACACCTTCTGCTCAGAGCAGCACCTCAGTCAGCAGCTTCCATTACAGACTCAGCCTTCATCTACTAGTGTTTTCCTCCCACTGACATCACACGCTGCACACTCCCAAAAGTCTCACCACACTCAGTCCAGGACTCTGAACTGCAGGCAGAATATCTTTGAGTTCCCCTCTACAACTCTCCACAGTAACTGTTGTCACCAAAGTTTGCACAATGTAATTCCTAAGAGCAATGTTTTTCTTTAGTAGATTTCTATTCTGAAGTTGTTCTCCAGTGACTAAGTGATGTGACTACAAGCCCCCCGAAGAAGGAGTATCTATATACAGCTCCATGTCTCCCTGAGGCCTCAGAGGAATCTGGAGATTCCAAGACAGACCAGGAACTTGAAGCCCTTAACCTTCCCAGCCTTTCCACCAGGGTCTGGTCTTCCTAACTGGTGGATTTCCAAGCCTGCTTCATGACTGGTCATATCAATGCCTCCAACATGACAAGGCCCACTGGCCTCTGTCTGCACGATTAGCAGTGTCCTCTGACTTTCGCTTAAAGCCACTCAGTAGTTCTTCCCATTCATCTAGGTGGGAAGCTTTTGTTTCTTAAAAGGAAGTGAGAGGGATTTAGATCTGAAAACAAAAGGTGAATACATCTCCATGAAGCCATCTGGGTAACACTGGAGACTCCCTAGTGATACTCCAAATTAAAAAACAACATCAAAAACAAAGCAAAACAAAATTTAAAAGCATCTTAACAGTATCTTACCCGGTGCTATATAATTTAGAGAAATAAATATATAGTTGAGTTTTTCATCCAAAACTAAGGCTATAATCTTTTCTCCCCGCCTCCGAATGATATAAAATAAGAGGCTAATAAAGAACCAGAAAGGAGCTGAGAGGTTACTGAGCCATAATGGCCTGTAACTGAAGTACAAAGGCACGCATAGCAGCTGACCCAGGATCTCACAGCTGCAGTGTTACCCAGATGGCTTCATGACAGAGCAGGGATTAGAACCCAGGTCTAATTGCCCAGGGTCCTGGCCCCAGCCCCATCTGCCTCCTAGTTCCCAGTGTGATAAGCACATATATAACTGGTGAATTCATGTCTCCTCCTTCGAGCCCTATGACATAGTGTCTGCAGGCTCTGGCTGAAACCTTAAACACTTTCATCTCCTGCCTCTCCTCTCCGAACACTTTATGCCTCCTTCTCCAGAGTTTTGCAAAGCCAAAGCCAGAACACCCATGGCCCAGGGAATGTGAGCACTCCTAAATTCAGAAAAAAATATAATAACTTACTAAATCATATCAAATAGGAATGTTCTATTTTGGGAGAGCAGGGGAAACTGTGTCTGGCAAGCTATTAGATTCATTAGTTTAGAACTCAGATGGAAATTTAGAAAACACATGGGGGTTATTAGCGTAGATTAACAGAGCTCCTAGAGAAAGAATAGGTGGGCAAGAGGACCAACTACTAGCCCCGGAGCATTCATCCCAACTTTTGACACCAGTGACAGATGGGAGAGAGGGGAGGTAGGAGGGAAAACAAGAAGGCCATGTTCAGAGAGCCCAGATAAGTAAGAGTTTTGAGAGGGAGGCCTTGACAAATGCTGCTGGAAAGTCAAGCAGGATGAAGACAGGCAAGTTGTATCAGGCAACATGGGGGCCACTGGTGACCTTGACCAAGGCTTCAGTCAAATGATGGAGACTGAAGACGAAATGGAGTAGGTATGAGAGAGAGGAGGTGATTGGGAAGTTCACCCGCAAATCCAGATAACTTCCTAGAGTTTTGAGGAGCGATAGTAAGAGTGGGTGGAGCGTGGATGAGGACAGCAGAGGGCAGGAGCTGTCGGAGCAGGTCGCACGCTGATGCAGGCAAGCAGTAGAAAGGGAGAAATCCATGTGATCCTCACCTTCCTCTGCTGGTTCCTGGAATATCTTTGCAAATCAGCCAACCTGACTTTCAGCATCTGTTCTGTCCTAAGTGGTCCTGTTATAATAGACTTGTGCTTCCTCAGCTCTAAGTAAAAAATTTAAGTCTGAAAGCCACCTCCTGTTCACACATGCTTGCTTTTTTTTTTTTTTTTTCCTGAGATAACATTAGTTTACAACACTATATATGATTTAGGGGAATAGGTTCATACCTCTGCAGGTTTTCACACCTGCTCAAATTTCATCCTCTCATTGAGACTCAGGGCAATGCAAGGTGAGTTGTCAGAACTGGATTTAATGTCCTCCCCTGATCTTGGGGCACTTTAGCTGCCTGCCATTCCCCACACAGCCGGTGTGCCCACAGCTCTGTCCAGTACTGTGGGGTCTCTCCCAGACCAGGTAGCCCCTCCTCCTCTAGTTGTATTCCTGAGGGACAGATGAAAAAGGCTTTATGACAACAAAATGCAAGATCACAAGCAGGTGTGGCTGCAGCTGGCACAGCATTCTCTCACTGCCTTCTCAGCAGTACCTGGGATCAGGAGCTGATGAGGTCAGGGAGCAGATTATAGGCTGGGTGGCAGCCAGAGTCTACAAATAGATGACAGTGCCAGGGCACCGTTGTCAGTGCTGGCCACATGTCAGGGGGCAGGATCCCAGCAAAAGAGGATTGTAGGGTCAAAAGCATTAAGCAGAACCTCGCTCAGTCATAATCGCCCCCCAGTATGTTTCAAGTGAACCTTCTCATCTACGTGGAAAAGAGAGTTGCTCCAGTAAGAGAGCGCCAGTTTCTAGCCAAGTGTAATAACAATGTCATGGAAACCAATATGTTTTCAAAGTTTTCCTGAAACTGACTAGGCCCACACACTTCAAGAAGTTGGTAAATATAATTATCACCATTTTATAAAATTGAAAATGCAGTCTGTGATTACAGCCATCCACAAGGGATGAAAGTTCTGGTTGCTGCCTTAGCCATATACTTGCTGGGACCCCTAGATTGGCCAGTCTGTCCTGGGCCTCACTATCCTGTGTAAACCCAGGGTCCTCTCCTGTTCGGATGGACACAGACCTGCTCTGAATCAGCAGTTAGGTCCAGCTCTGGCCCCAGGGCAGCTGGTGTCTGCCGTAAGTCTCACCTCTTTGCTCGTTTCAACCCATCCATGCAAAGAGGTAGAATCTGGTGTGAGATACTCCTCTGATGGAGGAAGAATCGAGGTTTCCTTTTTCTTCAGCTTGAACCACTGGACAGTAAGACGACCTTCAGCGACTTCACCTACAGCCGAACCAGCCTCAAGTGCCCCTCTCCAGTGAGTAAATGTCCCTTGTCTGATGGGATGGATGCCTGGGGGAGGAGCTGGAGCAAAAGGAGGCCCCTGGGAGGCTTTATCACTGTGCCCCTTCATTCACTGCCACCATTCTCATATTGCACCTCTCCTCATCACCCCTGAAACAGCTCAGCTCCTCAGGGTGCACATAGCCATGAGGGACAGAAGAAAATACCTGGTCCAACTGGTGAGAGGTGCTTAGGGGAGGCAGCCAAGTGAGCACTGGGCAGTATCTTGAGTCAGCCATTACCCCTGAGGAGTCTGACACGTCCTCTGTCTTAAAACATGCGTAGCCGAGCTGTTATAGCGAGGCCCTCAGCTAGGAAAAGAGTCAGAAGACAAAGAACTAAGATACCATGTGTCGGTTCTGGAGCCTATAATCCTCTTCCTCCCTTCCCTCCAGTGCCATTTTCCAGGCCCTTACACTGCCCTTCCCAGGGCCACTGACAGCCCCTGACTTGTCGCCCCAGTCTGCTTTCTCCATCCATCCATCTTAATAATCGCAGTCAGACCCACCATACAGCCTATCTGGGAGTGACTATAGTCTCATCAAGGCTCCTTGAAATCCTGCCCTGGTCCCTGATGCCTGTTGGAGGGTCCAGGGGGAGAAAAAAACTTCCTTTATCCCCCGGATACCTCTATCCACCTGGAAAATGGACCCTCTTCCCATACCAGGCCCAGGACAGCCTCTGTCTATGCTTTGACTTCTGTCGATTCTATTTATCTATTCCTTCTGGAGGCTCATTCCTGTTTCTGCTGTGGAAAATGTTCCCATCCACTAAGGCCCGGATTTTGCCCCTTCCAGGGTACTGCTCCCCTCTTCCCCTCAGACACACAGCTGCTCAGTGTTCCTTTTCTGCAGACACCTCTCATGAGCCCCGATCTCTCTCAATGATGTGGTTGTTTCTGAACATGTCTTCTCTGGGCAGTGAGAGGAGATGGTCAGCACCGTCAGCTCCACACAGGACTCCTCACAGAAGCCACCCCAGTAATAGTCACGGAGAAAGGGATGCAGAGAGGTGGGAGGAAGGGGAGAAAGGAGCCAAGCAGGTGGACCCAAATGCCTCCTTTCCCAGCCCTTTTGGTTTGGGGTTCTATAATCTGCTCCAGAACCAGCCGTCCTTCCAGGCTGACTGTCCTGTGCCCTGGGCGCTCACGGGATGGGGTGGATGGAAACAGTGGTCTAGAGGAGGCCTCAAGGACATGGAGGTGAGGCTCCGCCAGCTCCCCAGGACTCCCTCCACTGGTCACCCAGTAGTTCCCAATTCTTCAAAATCAGCTGGCAGGAAAGGAGGTGCTGGTGAGAAGCCAGAGGGAGGTACAGCTGAGGATGCCCACTCTGATGCCCACGCTTGAGCACAGCGCAGCGCAAGGGGCTGTACCATGGGATGAGCTGTGAAATGTGCCAGGTCATTGTACCATCTCCAGGGTGGGGGCTTAGCCAGTCTTAGGTGGGCAGATGGCCAGTTTTCAGTGGCCCCCAACCCTCTACTTCTCCACAGACGCACCCCTACGTCTGCACCTACAGCCTCAAGAAAACTAAAGCCTCCTCTAACACCGCCTGGTTCAGCTGGCTCCTGCCACTGTTGATAATTCTCCTCCTCATCGCTATAGGCTGCGGGATAATGGCATTTATAGTCTGGAGACGTGTCCCAGGAAGTGAGCCGATACCTGGGCCTAGACCTGGACCTCAGCCTGGCCTGGCCCGTCGCCGGAGAGCAGCAGCCCAAGCCTGAACAAATGGGCTTCTAGACTTGACGTGTGCTTATCCTAAATTCCCAGCCACCAGGAAGAGCATTTGTTTTGACACTGGTGACATAGGAAGCCAAAGGGACAGTCACAACTTCCTAGGGCCTATGCTCCTGAAATTGACAAATTTAAATAAAGGCCAAAGTTTTTCTATTCTTGGCTGAGCCTGCTTGGAGTGCTCACTTTCCATCTGTTGTGCGGCACAGATGTGGGGTTGGTGCCCTCAAGCCCTGTCTCAGCCAGAGCTGCCAGCTCTGCTGACCTGCGCTCAGGTCAGCCTCTGTCAGGCTCCAGGCCAATATCCTCAGTCACCAAACCCCTTATTTCAAAGGTGGGGGAAATGCTGCTCAGCTGATGGTAGCTGGAATTCGGGAGCTGACTGGCCACCATCCCGGTGTCCCACACTCACCTTTCATGCTCCTGCTTGTACCAGATTGATGTAGAGCATGTGACATCTCCCAGGCTGTGTGTGTCATGGCTTAGCTGATGAGACAAACGCCACCAAAAAACCAGGAGCTCCACGATGGTATATGATTCAGTCCTGGGGCATAGCTGGAAATAAGGAATTCCTGGGAGAAGTTTCCTAAAAGAACAATTTTGAAATGTCATTTAAAAGGGGAAGAAAGAGGAATCGGACATGAATACTTCACATGTCCTCAGTCTGATTTCCTCAATGAGCTAAATGTATGAAAGAACTCTTTCTCCATCGTCAGGTTCCTGAGAGCAACCAAGAGCAAGTCTGCTAGGACAGGTTGTATCCACGTAGTCCCTGCTAGGGACGAGGCCTGAGCGCCCGTCCCCACAGCACTCTTATATTCTGGACAAAACCCAGGCAGGGAGAGAGAAAAACATTTTGAAAATCAAAATGGCGGCTAATTGTATCTCACGTCAGTTTCACCTCAACAAAAAACCAAGCAAGAATCTATTATCTGCAACCTAAGGACTTCTCTGCTCCCAAAGCCTGAGGTGCCAGAGAATGGGAACCCCAAGTAAAACACTTGACTATGCAACATGCACAGTGAACCCCACAGCCTGAGCCTGTTTCTGGGGTACCTCATTTATATAACTGAAATCAGAGACCCCATTTTGCCCACCACACAGCACTGCTAGCACACAAGCAACTGTGTAAAGTGCTTTGTAGCTGACACACTGCACAGATTCTCTGTGAAGAATTGTACTAGGGCCCAGGCTGTCAGGGGGCGAAGAGATCCAGAGACTGGTTTGGGGAATTGAACAGTAATATATGGCTGGAGACCCCCTTCCTTCTTCTGTGAAGGTTCATCGTCATCTGTTTCTGGCAAAACGGAACAGAGTGCCCTGAGGACTTAAGTCCAGTCTCGGTGTTGTGATGGGCTTCTGTTTCTGGTTCTGGATAATGGGAATAGCCAACCTGCCCCCACCTCTTCCTATAGACTAAAAGACTTAGCACAGACCTCGTAAGGCGCCACCACATCTCAGCCTGTGCTACTGGCTTTTGACAGTGTAACAACAAAAATAACCACTAAAAACAAGATTTCTATCCTTTTTCTTTAATCCTCAAGTGTCTGTTTCCAATAGCACCTGCTTCAAAGAACCATAGAATGTATAACCTTGAGTCTACCCTCACTTGAACTGGGCATTGGAATTTATACTACTTGAACCCCCAATCTGAAAACTTAGCACAAAAGTGGCCCCAAGCTGATAACCACAAACACCTTGGCAGAAACAGAGAAATCCTCTCTGGAGAGACAAAGCCACAAATCAGCCCCCAAATTCCACCAAATATATGTAAAAAGTCAAAAATAAAAGACCCTTGACAGCACCCACTTTAACCCAGTGTTGTCATAGGTGCACTGGATGCAGGCCATGTCCTTTCTCTGTGGAAAATATGCAGGCCCGTGAGAACAGCCACACATGAAGCCCCAAATCCTGCACTCCATGATCCCCTCCACAGAGGCTTATGAAGGCAAAACAGAAATGAGTGTGGGATAACCTTGGTTAAAAACCTTCAGAAAGAACATGGAAGTTTAATTGAGCTTGAAGAATGGAGAGATGATTTGGTTAGAGGCCAAAAGCAGTGAGTTCATTGAGACTGAGAAAATTCCATCCAAGTGGGGAGACGAATGAGCATGGTGTGTATAAGGGACAGCCACCACCAAACTTGAGGGTGGATGAAGCCAACACATTATGCAAAGGGCAAGGCTGTGCATAGGGCTCATATTGTTGAAATGGTTGTAACATCAGGTTGTGCTTGAGTTTGGAACATAAGTATTACTGGGGAAAGATTAGTACAAAGAAAAATAATACCAGTAAAAGTCAACACTGTGACAAGCAGCGTGGTGCACAGTAATCAAACACTGATGTCCTATTATCACCCCCTCTTTACAGAAGAGAAACCAAGACTTGGGAGAGGTCACAGGCCCAGGGCCATACTTTCTTTACATAATAGGACAGTCATCAAACAGAATAATAGTGTCCAGGGCCTCCCCTGGTGGCATAGCGGTTGAGCGCTGGGCTGCGAAGCTGCCTGCAGCCTCTGCAGCGCCGGTTCGATCCCCGGCCGTCGGCAAGGGTCCCACATGGCACGACAGACCTCTCCTGTCTCTCCCGCTGCTCCCCTCAGCAGTGTGTTTCGTCATTCTGCCTGTTCTGTTCCCCACTCTGGCTCTGGTGAATCCTCTCACCCTCCCACGCTTCTGACTACCCAGTGCTTGTATAAATGAATAAATAAATCTTAAAATATATATTTTTTTTTTAAAAAATAGTGTCCAAGGAAAGGGAATAACTCAAAAATATGAAACATGATTCCAGCAGTGAATTGGGCCAAAGTGCAAATAAATGTGATGTAAAATAAAAATCTAGAAAAGGGGGAATTTTATTCTCACAAGGCTATGATATTACTGAACTCCTCTGATTCAGTTGGCCTAAAGAACTCAGCCATTTCTAGTTAACAATATATTACTTTAAAAGCTATCTAGAAAGACTATGATTTATGTTGCTAGAGTATATGTGTTATAAAAGCTAGTAAATCTTTTAAATGGCGGGATTAGACCCAAAACATTTTACTTAACAATAGTTTGAAAGACAGATGACGTCTTATTATGTTTAGAAAGATTAAAGACAAAAGGAATTTAAAACATGAGAGCAAGACATATTTTAAAAGAAAGGCAGAGTTGGGGCCTCCCCGGTGGTGCAGCGGTTGAGCACTGGGTTCCAAGCTGCCCGTGGCCTCTGCGGTGCCGGTTCGATCCCCGGCTGCTCCCCGGCCACTGGAGGAGGGTCCCACATGGCGTGCAGACCTCTCCTGCCGCCCGCTGCTCCCCTCAGCAATGTACTTCGGTCCTTCTGCCTGCTCTGCTCCCCGCTCCCGCGCTTCTGACTGTGCCCAGTGCTTGTATAAATAAATAAATTAAATATTTTTTAAAAAAAAAGACAGAGTTATAAAAGAATTTCTAAAAATGCAATATATTGTTATTAAGGACAAAATAGACTTCAGTAGATGTGTTCAAATGGCAGATTGAACATCTAGTGAAACAGCATTCTCGGGTATTTACAATATACCGGGCACTGTTTTAACATTTAGGTCTATATCACTTATTAATTCCCAGAGAGCCCCAATAAGATAGGGAGTGCTATTCCAATCTCCCAGGTACACAAGCAAATCTGTATCTTTTCAGCCTTCTTGTAAAAATTATGAGATAAAATAATCATTTATGAGATAAAATAATCATTTCAAAAGTTGGTATTTAGTAATTAGCTCCCTTCTCATATCAGTATTAATTCTAACAGATGATTAAGGGGCTTCGTAAACCAACCAACATAATGAGGAGATATATATGTAGTACCCAAGAGTTTCAAAGCACTTTTTTTCCTTTTTAATATAAATTTTATATATCCCATACAATTGCAACCCCCTTATTTTGACCCCAATCCCTCCCCGCCCCGCTCCCTATCCCCCATAGAGTGTCTCTGGTTCATAGTTGTTTGTTGATTTTGATTTTTACTTTCTTATAGTTATTCTTTTTCCTGGTCCTTTATTTAAGTTTTCTAGATTCCAGCTATGAGTGAGACCATCCGGTATTTTTATTTTTCTTTCTGGCTTATTTCGCTGAGCATGATCCCTTCCAGCGCCATCCATGTTGCTGCAAATTGCATGTGTTTATCTTTTTTAAATGCTGAGTAATATTCCATGGTGTATATGTACCACATCTTCTTGATCCAGTCATCTATTTTTGGGCATTTGGGTTGTTTCCAAAGCTTAGCTATTGCAAACAGTCAAAGCACTTTTTTTTAAAGACATTCTCATTTGATCCTTACCACAAACTTGGAAGATATGCAAAGTACAGTATTTTTAAGAAAAAATATCCCAAACTTGGAAAGGCAGGAGAGGAACCATTGTCTTCTCAATATTATTTACAAGCTCAGCTAAGAAATATAGTTATTGGACCTCCCTGGTGGTGCAAGGAGTTTAGACACAGCACTGTGAAGCTATCTTCAGCCACTGAAGCACGAGTTCGATCCCAGCCAGGGAGCTACCCACATGGTACAGACCTCTCCTGACTTGCCCGCTGCTCCCCTCAGCAGTGTACTTCAGTCAATCTGCCTGTTCTGTTCCCCACTCTGTCTCTAATGAATCCTCTCCCCCACCTCTGGCCTGTACTCCAGTTCTTGTATGCATAAATGAATAACTCTAAAACAAAAAGAAATATACAGTTATCTAAAATGCAGGGAGTTTGACTTTGTACTACCTGAATCAAGCCCAGATTCTGTAAAGTCATGCTGACTATAGATTCCTTACTGGCAACAAAGATAACCTCAAGATTACAGTTTTATCACCCTTTAACATTAACTATTTTGCAACATTTCAGCATTCCTTTAACTAATAATGCAAATTTCCGACAAACTCTCCTTTGCCAGATTTAATCATCCTAATGATTTCTTCATTAATTACTGAGCGAAAGGCTGCATTTGTATGAGAATGCTTTTGACTTTTTAAAAATCAAGAATGATTTTTAACATAACTAGGGAGAAAACAAATTTCCAAAAGACAATATATAAAACCTTAGGCTATGTTACTCAAACCTAGTAAAGTTGAAAAAGTGGGAACTCACAATCCACTAATTCCATCCCTGGGTTATAGTTCCCAAAGAAAACTTAGCAAATGTGTCAGTCTA